GTACGGTACAATAGACACACTTCTGACCGTACGGTCAGTTACGCCCTTACGAGAGAGCCGGGCTCGAACGAGCAAGTGTTGTCGGATAAATGTTCTTCGAGGCAGTTCTACCATTGCCGCCTTGTCGCCCCCTGGCCTCGGCTATGCGTTCGTCAAATTGGTGGGAAGAGGTGACGACATGCATCAATCATACGCGTACGCCGGTGGAGTCCCCCCTAAACCTGTGAGGTTTTCTCGTTGCATCTTTAGCAAGGCAATGATCGCCTTGTCGGCCTGATTGTGGGTCCGAGGAGTCGATGATCTCAATATTAGGTCGGGGAAGAGATAGAGAAAAGTGAAGGGAAAAATAAAGTAATTCGGCGGTGGATGTTTGAAGAAATCAACTTGCTCCATGGTCGTCCAGATCGACGACGACGGTCTCCGGATTTCTTAATTGTGCTTGGCTAGCCGACGCTTGTGAGGAAACAAGGAGCTAAGACTCGGAATTCCGGAAGTACCTAATTTGTAATGAATAACTCACGTGACACTACAAATTCCATTGACGGTATTTTCATTAAAGGTTGGAATCGTACCTCCATCATCTCCAGCATGGCATCGCTCGACGAGCACCCTCCGATAATGGAGGCTCCCATATCACCGTCGACGGCCTCGATGGACCCCTTCAAGTCTCATCTCGTCGCCCTTTTGTCCGTTTATGAGCTTGGGCCATTCCCAGGCACCCCGATACCCCGATACGAGGGGCCGTCCGACTGGCAGACGGAGACCATCTTGCGCTCGCTGGCTGCTGTTGCGCGTCGCATGGAGATTGCGGAGGATACCGTGGCAGCATTCAAGGTGGGCAAGAATCTATTGGTGAAGATCGACCGATCTGGCCATCATATGCATTCTGATCTTTTTCTTAGGAGGCGGAGGAGCAGAAGGAGGAGGAGGAGGAAATGTCGGAGAGCAGCGCCCACTCGTCTGCGTACGCGACGCCCGACGAGAAGCCAGTAGGAAACCAACGGGCGAACGGGATGTCTATCTCGCTCGACAGCATCCAGTCATCCATAGATCCGTCCAAGGTGTTTTCGCGGGCTTACGGGAAGGCAGCTCGCGCCCAAGCAAGCAGCAACGGTTACAATTCAGCACCTCCAACCTCACATGCCCAGTGCCCAACATGCGGAAAGGCTATTTCGGATCCACTCTTCCTTTACAACACCGCCCCCTCCTCGGAAGACACGCCCCTCGGCTCCAGCGGCTCCAGTCCCCTCCTCATCCCTATGGGTCCCCTCGCCCATGCGGCCTTTGAAAGCGGTATGAGCGCTGTCGAGGAACTCAGGCTCCTCAAGGCTCAGGTTCAGGACGTCGCTCGTGTCTGCAACGCGGTCGCAAGAGGCGATCTTAGTCAGAAAATCACGGTTCCGGTACAGGGTGTGGTCATGGTTCAGCTCAAGGACGTTATCAATACGATGGTAAGTTTTACGTTAAACTTGTGCATGGTGTAGCTAAGTCCTTTCCATCCTCAGGTCGACAAGCTTGGCCAATTCGCAAAGGAAGTTACACGTGTATCCCAGGAGGTCGGAACTGAAGGGTGAGGCTGTTTCTCCACTTCCCCTTCTTTTCCTCCCGTGTTCCCTCTTTCCGTTATCGCATCGCCTATTTTTACTCCACTTAGCCCCGCTGTCGCCCCATTCAGTTCCTTATTAGGACAAGCACCGTTTCCCGGGTTTTTTCTGCATTTTACATCAGGACGCTAATGTCGTCTCCAGAAAACTTGGTGGCCAAGCGCTTGTTCTCGACGTCGAGGGCACATGGCGCGAACTTACCGGCGTCGTCAACAAACTCGCTGCAAATCTTACATCTCAGGTGCGGTCGATCGCCAAAGTGACGAAGGCTGTCGCGTTGGGGGACCTCAGCAAACAAATCGAAGTTGACGCGCGAGGCGAAATACTCGATCTAAAGAACACGGTAAACGGAATGGTCGTCAGGTGGGGCTCTACCCATGTCATATTCCATGCGTCTTACACCCCGCCAGATTACGGGCACTGGCAGCGGAAGTCACACGGGTCACACTGGAAGTCGGAAGTCAAGGAAAACTAGGAGGACAAGCGCACGTACCAGACGTTGAGGGAGTATGGCTAAATTTGGTTCGGAATGTGAGTTGATCCATCCGCTTTACCTCCTCGCAATCTCACAGCGTTCAGGTCAATCGGATGTGTTCATCGCTCACGGATCAAGTGCGGTCGATTGCAGTTGTTACGACTGCAGTCGCCCGAGGCGATTTGACACAGAAGATCGAAATATCTGTTGAGGGCGAGATGTCTACCTTGAAAAGTACGTTGACAGGAATCCTACACGGACTGGGCTTATAAGTAGTTAAATAGGCACTGTCAATTCGATGGTGGACCAATTGTCAGCTTTCGCATCTGAAGTAACTCGAGTCGCGTTGGAGGTTGGAACACAGGGGATCTTGGGTGGCCAGGCCAAAGTCGAGGGTGTGCAAGGGACGTGGGCTGATTTGACGCGCAACGTTAACGCATGTCTATCTTCTACTCGGCCTTCACGCATCGCCTAACCATAACCACAGAAAATGGCCTCAAATTTGACCGATCAAGTGCGATCTATCTCGGAAGTCACCAAGGCTGTCGCCCTAGGCGATTTGAGCAAGCTCGTCGACGTCGATGTTCAAGGAGAGATGCTGGATCTTAAGATGACCGTCAACTCCATGGTCGCTCAATTGAGTACCTTGGCTAACGAAGTCACTCGTGTCAGCTTGGAAGTCGGAACGGAGGGTATTTTGGGTGGCCAGGCGTTCGTTCCTGATGTTCAAGGAATGTGGAAGGTCCGTTCCGTTTATATTCTTTATATCTTGTCGCGTTCCCATTGGCTCATGCATCTTATAGGTCTTGACCGATAACGTCAACCTGATGGCCATGAACTTGACCAACCAAGTGCGATCGATTGCTGCAGTTACGAAGGCCGTCGCTGGTGGCGATTTGACCAAGAAGATCGAAGTCGATGTCCGCGGAGAAATTCTCGAGCTGAAGGAGACCGTCAACGGCATGACAGAGAGCTTGAGCGTGTTTGCTGACGAAGTCACGCGTGTCGCCAGAGAGGTCGGAACGGAAGGTCGTTTGGGTGGCCAGGCTAGGGTGACGAATGTTGGTGGAACCTGGAAGGATCTAACGGATAATGTCAACATCATGGCTAACAACGTACGTGGTCTTCATGTTTTCTGCTCCACGCCGTGTGTGCTAACATGCTGAGTAGTTGACACTGCAAGTGCGGACAATCGCTGTCGCTACGACTGCTGTGGCTCGCGGAGATTTGACCCAGAAGATTACTGGAGTATCGGTGTCGGGCGAGATGTTGAGTTTGGTCAACACCATCAACGACATGATTGACCAGTTGGCTATCTTCGCCGCTGAGGTGAAGAAGGTCGCCCGGGAAGTCGGAACGGAAGGCAAACTTGGTGTCCAAGCTGAGGTCGGCAACGTTCAGGGTATCTGGCAAGAAATCACGTACGTCCACCCACTTTCAATCCGTCGGTTAGCCAGTGTCTGACCCGACTCCAGTCTCTCTGTGAACACGATGGCCGGCAACTTGACAACACAAGTACGAGGTTTCGCGCAGATTTCGGCGGCGGCTATGGACGGCGACTTCACTCGATTCATTACGGTCGAAGCCAGCGGGGAGATGGACTCGTTGAAGACGCAGATCAATCAGATGGTGTTCAACTTGCGAGACAGTATCCAGAAGAACACGGCTGCCAGGGAAGCGGCCGAGTTGGCGAATAGGAGTAAAAGTGAGTTCCTCGCGAACATGTCGCATGAGATTAGGTGCGTTATACTCTTGCTTCATGAACGAGTCTATGCTAATCGTTACTCGATCTCACTTTAGAACGCCAATGAATGGTATCATTGGCATGACCGAGTTGACTCTGGATAGCGATCTGAACAGATCTCAACGCGAGAGCTTGCTCCTGGTCCACAGTCTGGCCCGGTCATTACTACTCATCATCGATGACATCTTGGATATTTCGAAGAGTACGTGATATCGCGCTCTCGGAGATACCGGTTTCCTCACGCGTGTCTGTAGTCGAGGCTGGCAGGATGACCATGGAGGCCGTGTCTTATTCACTCCGTCAAACTGTCTTCGGCATCCTGAAGACACTGGTTGTTCGCGCATCACAGAACAACCTTGACCTGACCTACGACGTCGAGCCCGACATCCCCGACCAACTCATTGGCGACTCGCTCCGTCTACGACAAGTCATCACAAACTTAGTCGGCAACGCCATTAAATTTACGCCCTCCAAGGCATCCCGGAAAGGTCATGTCGCTCTCAGCTGCCGCTTGTTGGCGTTGGACGACCAGAGCGTTACATTGGAATTCTGTGTTACGGACACCGGTATTGGTATTGCCAAGGACAAGCTTAACCTCATCTTCGACACCTTCTGCCAGGCCGATGGCTCTACTACCCGAGTAAGGTCACCTCTCATCAATTGACGGTCCAATCGCTGATATCTCGCTCGATGACAGGAATACGGTGGTACTGGTCTGGGTCTTTCCATCTCGAAGCGGCTGGTGTCGCTCATGCAGGGCAACATGTGGGTGGAGAGCGAGGTCTCGAAGGGCAGCAAGTTCTTCTTCACCATCACGTCGCAGATCAGCCACTCGACAATGGAGGCGACTTTGTCCAAGATGGCGCCCTTCGCGAAACGCACCATTCTCTTCGTTGACACGCTATTCGACCACACCGGCGTTGTGGGCCGGATAAAGGAGCTCGGATTGCGACCGCATGTCGTTCATGAAGTCAGCGAAGTGTCCGACAAGGAGAAATGTCCCCATATCGATACTATTGTGGTGGATTCGATACAAGTGGTGCGTTGTTGTCGCCATACATATATCAGCGCCTTCGATCCTCATCTGACTCGTTACTTCTAGACGGAATCCATCCGCGAATTTGAACATTTGCGGTATATTCCTGTCGTTCTCCTCGCTCCGTCAATGCCGCGGTTGAACCGTGAGTGACTGCGCATTTCTTTTCCCTTCCTATGCCTGACTTGCGTATGCCGTTTTCCAGTCAAATGGTGCTTGGACAACAGCATCAGCTCTCAGGTGACGACACCCGTCACTGCCCAGGACCTCTCTTCGGCTCTCGTTTCAGCACTTGAATCCAACACCGTCAGCCCAGTATCGGCTCCCAACGACGTCACCTTCGATATCTTGCTTGCGGAGGACAATTTGGTCAACCAGAAGCTTGCCGTCAAGATTCTTGAGAAGTATGGACATACAGTCGAGATCGCAGAGAATGGAAGTTTAGCCGTCGATGCCTTCAAAGGGCGGGTTGCTCAAGGGAAACCTTTCGACATCATCCTCGTGAGTTCTTCTATTGTTTGCGATCGCAATGACTAAACGTTCTTTGGTAGATGGACGTGTCAATGCCTTTCATGGGCGGTATGGAGGCTACGGAACTGATTCGTTCCTACGAAATGCATAAATGCTTGACGCCTACGCCCATCATCGCGCTGACTGCTCACGCCAGTAAGCCTCATTCTATACCCCGTCACCAGCCCTTTCTGACTGTACCACCCTCAGTGATTGGCGACAGAGAGCGCTGCTTGGAGGCTGGAATGGTACGTCTATGGCTTACATCGCTTTAGTCATACGCAATTGACCTCCTGTCTCCCTTTCCAGGACGATCACATCACAAGTATGTTCGATCCAACATTTAAGCCCACTGTTTCCTGACGTCTTTGTTAGAACCTCTTCGTCGTGGCGATCTTCTAAATGCCATCAACAAGCTCGCAGGGGAGCGTGGCTCTCAAAAGCTCCTGCATCTCCTGCGGCGACCGCACCCCATCAGCCACAGTCAGAACTACTCATAGAACTTTTCTTTCTTCTTGTGCCCCGGCGGTTTGATACCCAATCTCGCGATTTGATCCTTTATTCTTTTTGGCTTTGCTATCTACCTATAACTCGCTCATGCTTACCTCCTCTGTACTTTTACGTGTACTTTTACCCCGCATCTGCACTCTTTCATTTGTTACCAAAGTCCAGTATCGATTTGGCAAACCGAAGATCTGTAATTACATTGATGTCGTATATCCTAAGTAATTATTAAACCTTTCCCTATCATATGCCTCGACGACGGAGGGTCAGAAATAGCTCTCGATGACCTAAAAATAAGAATCATGGTCCCGCACGATCTTGATTTAGTCCAGGATCTTAAAACGCGATTCCGGGGATGACAGGTAGGAGGGCCTCATCTACAAGGTTTTACGTTTGGCGTTGAACACCCCAACGATGTTAATAACTTACACCAGCAATGCGACCTTCTTCCTCTATATTTAACATGATTAACGTTAAATTACTAGGGGCTAATCGATGAGCATCACGATTTGGAGTTCATTACTATAGCATACTAAAATGAGGCACAAGAATAATCATCCACGGTTCTGCCAGTCGCACCGAGGTTGGAACCGCCTTCTAGATCCCTGGTGCCTTGCGTGCCATCTTGAGACCACCGTATAAATAGTACCTGCAGGCTGAGAGAATTTCTCACAAGCCGACTATTCTCCCATTTCCCTTTCTCAAGCTATTCGGCCCTTCATTCTACAGAGCTCCCTCTGCTCAGCAAGATGAAGAATATCTTCGCTTCTTCTCTCTTCCTTCTCTCGGCTATTCCGGCGCTTATTTGGGGCGCCACTGTTCCTAACGCGGACACCCCCCTGTTCTACCTCGTCTCCAGCAGCAAATCGCCCGCTAATCTCCTGGTATGTCATCCTTTCTGTTACGGCCACACTCCGAGTCATATCCATGCCATTTGCAATTCAGCCAGTAAGAATGTCAAGTGGCGGGGGAGGCGGCCTCGCGACCCTGAAGGGCAGCGGCGTCCCGGCTCAATTATATTTCTACCAAGGAACCCTCACCGTCTACGACCCCAACAATAACACTTTCCCATATCGACCCCTCGTAAATTCCATCCAGGACGCGAGTGGATGCCAGAGCTTCGGGGCATTGGTATTCGTGCAGGGGACGAGCACGAACAAGTGTGCGCGGTACAGCTCGTTCCAGATCCAATCGAATGCCGAGAACAGCCAGCTCGGAGCAGAGCTCGTGTTCAATTATGTCGGAGGATTCTATGCTTGTGGGAGCGGCCAGGAGGTGGTTTCTTATTGCGAAGGTTGTTCGGCGCTAACCAGTTTTGTTGCTTAGATTTGGTACAAGATAAATGCCAGTGACGGTCCTAGCGGGTGCGACCTCATTCATCTCTACACCGTCCCTACGGCTTGAGAATTCCGACGTGGGTCAGTAGAATTGGCTAGAGTAGATATCAATCTTGGCACCAGGACCATCCATTCCAAATTCCAATAGTCTTCGAACGCTAACTCTATCAGACGCATGGAGTGGGCAGCCATTTCTTTATTGATTCTCTTATACATAGCACTAGTAACGAGTATCTTGAGTTATCTCTCCAGCTCGCCATGGGGATGATTAACGAGCGCTTGAGTGTTCAGTTCGTGACCTCGCAGAATGACCTCGCATCTGATTACTTACGCCGCCCCTTGCTTGGACGTGCTGCAAGCCTCCGGCCGGGCATGATTCTGACAACCATCTATGACTTTGACGTGTTTTCTAGAGGCTGTAAAACGGCCTCGATGAGCCCTTATTTTACCGACCACGAGATCCGATGACTATCAGGCCTTTTTCTTCTGGAACACGACCGGACCCCAAAATGTACGCTGCGTGCATATAAAAGTCGGCCTGCCCGTGCGGTCCTTTCACTCCAACCTTTACGATCCTTGCAAACGCAAACCATGAAATTCACGAATATTGTCACCGCCCTTTCCTCGGTCGCTGCTCTGCTGTCGGGAGCTGCCTCTGTTGTCCTCCCTGGCGCCGATACTCCGCTCTTCTACTTTGTCGCGTCTTCCCCTAATTCCTCGGCGAACCTCTTGGTGCGTGCTTCCGAGAATGCTCGACGGCGAAGTTCTCTCTAACCTCTCGATAGCCTTTGAGGATTAACGGGGGTACCGGTGGTTACTCCACTTTGACCGGCAGCGGTCCTATAGGTCAATTTTACTTCCAGCAAGGACGCCTCAGAGCACACGATCTCGCTGGGACCACCCCGATGCAGTACTACATGCCCCTCCTTGGCTCCGTGCTGACTTCTACTGGGTGTACCACCTATGGGTCCCTCGGCTTTGTCCTAGGCGCGAGCTCGAACAAGTGTGCTCGCTACGACGGGTTCCAAATCCAATCCAACACCGAGAACAGCCAACTTGGTGCAAAACTGGTGTATAACTATGTTGGGGGGTTCTATGCATGTGGAGCCGGACAGGATGTAAGTTCTCATCGTATGACTCCTTAGATGCTGCGCAAATATCTGACAGATATTTACCTAGGTGTGGTACAAGGTTGATGCTGCCGACGGCCCTACAGAGTGCTCTCCGATTGAGCTTTACACAGTCCCCGTCACTGTTTAAGTTCGCAGAGCAAAAGCAGAGAATAAAATGATGCCTTATTTGTCGAGATGCGAGCTATTACTGACCCTGACGAGTCATGGAATATCTGAAATCCTCGAATACTTTAAATGGATGTTGACCCAGAGCGGACCACCGGACTTGCCTTGCTTTAGGACATGTAGAGTAACTTTGTACTATGGCATAGTCAGAACTAGCCATTAAATTCACCTAGTTTGGGCACGGAAACTAATCAAGTATTTCCTTTCTCTGATTTCAGGGAACGCGTCGCACTGCGCGTATAGGCACGTGATTTCATTGATTGATCAGATGGTGTGACGATCAAGTAACAATCGTTGTGACTCACACTGGTCCTCTTCCTCCACCGCGACAGGGCGCCGAAGCCTCTTCGTTTGTTTCTCCTATCTTTATTACCTTCATCAACAAAGGTGACCATTCAGATACATCAATTATTCCTGTTAACCAACATTTGTTTCCAGGATTTTTCTTCCTTTATCAGGCCATAGTTTCAGAGCCCAGATCGCTCGATATCTTGTTTGTCGTGGAGGATGGTATGTACAATCCTTCTTGACGCGTTTTTCCACGAATAACTTTTCTTCGATAGCCAGTATGCACAGATTGTGGAGGCACAGTCATCGAATATGACCAGGCTGCAGGAAACGGGTTTTGCGTGAAATGCGGGACTGTTGTCGAAGAAAACACTATCGTCAATGAAATCGCGTTTGGAGAGGCATCTAACGGTGCTGCGATAGTGCAGGGGTCGTTCGTGGGGCAGGGTGCCAGTATGTCATTATCCTTTACCATGCTATGATGCCCTAACTCGACAAAGCACATGCCCGAATGAGCGGACCGTATGGAAATCGGGGCAGTAATGAGTCGAGAGAGCAGACCATCGCAAATGGTATGTCTTTGGCCGTGAATGCTATTCCCCTTTTCATCGCAAAATGTAGCCAGCAAGAAGATCCAAAACATTGCCAACGTTCTCCGACTCTCAGAGGTTGTCTGTCTGGCCGCAACACGACTCTACACCCTCGCCGTTGAACACAAATTCACGAAGGGCCGGAAAAGCATGAACGTCGTAGCTGTCTGCCTCTATGTCGCCTGCCGTCAGAAGGAGACACGAAACTACATGCTCATCGACTTTTCGGATCTCCTGCAAGTCAATGTCTTCGAACTCGGACACACCTACCTCCAACTCGTCCAGACCCTCAACCTTCGCCTGCCTCTCGTCGACCCATCCCATTATATCTCTCGCTTCTCCGCCCTCCTCGAATTCGGTGACGAAACACACAAAGTTGCGACTGACGCCGTACGCCTTGTTCAACGATTCGACCGCGACTGGATGACCCGCGGCCGGCGACCAGCAGGGATATGCGGCGCCGCTCTCCTCCTGGCAGCTCGGATGAACAACTTCAGACGTTCAGTCGAGGAGATCGTGCAAGTTGTCAAAATCGCGGACACCACGCTGAAAAAACGACTAGAGGAGTTCAAGGCGACTCCAAGCGGAGCGTTGACCTTGGCCGATTTCCGGAATGTCTGGCTGGAGGAGGAGATGGACCCGCCTGCATTCACGAAGGGAAAAGAGCGAGAAGAGGCGGAGAGGCTGGCGTTGGAACAGGGCGAAGATGTAGTGGACAAAGGGAAGGGCAAGGCGAAAGAGAAGGGTAAAGGAAAGAAAGCTGGCAAGAAGCGAAAAGGGAAACGGAAACGCGGGGAAGAAACGGAGGAAGAGGAAGAGGAGCAGCCGGCAGGAGGCGCGAACCCCGACTCACAACCTCCGCCTCGCCAGCCGCTTGACCCATCGATACTGAACGACAGCATACTCGCCGATGCCATGCCCATACCGCAGCCTGTTGTGGACGATAGCAACATCGACCCCGCGTTGTTGGCAGAATCCATACCAGACCTTGGTCCTCCGGAGTTTTCGACAACCACCCCAGCTCTCACGCCGCCTCCAACAGACTTTGTTGAGGAAGGCGTCTCAGAAGCCCTCGCTGAGGAAGTCGCGACTTTCCTGCAGGGTTCTCAAGGGACCCTCTTGACAGAAGCTCTCGACGAGGCTGAGGAACGTCGCCTTTCGCAGATTACGATTGTAGACGAACTTCTGGGATTGAATGAGGAAGAGCTAGATCGTTTCATTCTTTCTGAAGAGGAAGTCAAGATTAAAGAACGTGTTTGGGTCGAGCTGAATAGGGAGTACCTCGAGGCACTTGCAGGTAAGGATTTACGTTATCATTAGGCCTGCTGGTTCTATGTTACGTTATGCCCTCATTTTGGTGTACTGGTACTAACGACGTCTTTCTTACAGCAAAAGGGAACCAGGATGGGACAACTACGAAGAGCAGGAAGGTTCGTATCCCGGTCATGGCACTATTTATTTGACCGCATTTCTCCGCGAATTTTCCGCGTGCTTCCAAGTTCGACCTAGCTAATTTTACCTTTCATTTATTTTAGCGTCGTAAAACAAACACAAGACCTCGAGACGCGTCAACAGCTGCTGGTGACACCGCCGCAGAATCCGTGCGCAACTTGCTCAAGAAAAACCCTAAGTACAGCAAACGGATAAACTACGAGGCCCTCAAGGACCTCTTCGTCGAGAGCGGCGGCTCTTCTTCCATCCGCGCGAACATGACCATAGGCGACGACGAGAAAGACGATGCGGAGCTCTTCACTATGGATGACGACAAGAGTGATGGGGAGGGTATGCTGAACCCTACTATCATCGTTGAAGAGGAGCCTGGGTCTGTTGCGTCATGGAAACCTCCTAACGAGCTGCAGAAGACGAAGACGCGCATGATGGCTCTGGAGGATATGGATATGGACGAGGATGCGAGTGATGAAGATAAGGATGATGATGCGCTCGGATGGGAGGACGCGTATGAGCAGGAGGTGTAGATTTTTGGGACTGTTTGCAGGATTGTACAATGTAATGATACTCACCATCGTCGCCGAGCGCTAAAATGTACCATAGATTGCTTCACTGGGATATGTTGTATACCTTCCGAGTAGTCATTAAATTAATTCGAGACGTATTGAGTAATGTTTGGGAGTAGGAGACGATCAGGGTGTCGATGATAAGCTAGGGCGAATGAAGAGTGTATGTACGGGATAATTGTAATGATATGGTACAAGAATGGATGTGTGTCGCATGAATTGGGAGGGCTAGTCAAAATGCTAATATCGTACTATAAAATGGCATATGTCAGATCGAGACGAAATAGTACAGGCGTATCAGTAGAGGAAGGAGAAGGGCATATTCGGTACATTGGTATTATCGAGAGATTCCTCCGCCTAGGACGGATAGGCGGGCGTCGGCGGGTCGTCTCCGTACCCACCCCCATCGACAATGTCTTCTGGGACCATGAACATGTTCGCTACGAATCCAAGATGCTCTCCATGGACCCTGCCATCCGTCTCAGGAGGCAGCTGGGTGGAGACCGTCTCTATCTCGGAAGGATGGCTGAACGACCGCTTTTGGTGATGGCCGACGTTGAAAGCAGGCGACTCTGAAGAGAGGAGGAAACTTTGGTGAACGTCGTTCTCGCTCGTAATCGGCTCGTATACCAACGATGGGTCGGAGTACCTCCTTTCGTCCGCGACGGACGCCATCGATTCGTGATGACCGGCAGAAAATCCAAGTCCCAAAGGCGGAAGAGGTGGCAAGGTGCCTGGAAAGGGATTGTAGAAGACTGGGGGCGGAGGCGAGTCCTGCGAGTAACTTGAATCCGTGTCGTAGTCCTGAAGAAAAGCATTAGCACGATGAAATTGAAAGAAAGTAAGGAAGCATACCTGATTGAACGGGTTTGTGAGGTGAATATCACACCAATCCGTCCACGGAATGGGGTCTCTGTGGATCGTCTGCCACTGTGGCGGATCGTGCGGGGCAGACAGATGGGCGATGGACGCGATCCGGGGACCACAGAACATTCCTTCGATATCCGAGTCCGACGAATAGTCCTCCCTCCTGAGCGAGCCGTCTGGGCTGGGATGGACGAAGTCTCCCTGTACCGGATGAACAGAGCACCGGTCCTTTACCGCCTCTGCGACCGCCTGCTGGTTGGCGAAGAACTTCGATCCCGCCACCCGGTCCTTCCTGAGATCCTGAGGCGTCGACTGATAAAGAATGATACGACTGGGTCGGCGTGAAAGGTCGTCGCGTGTCTTCAGCGGTTGCCCATATCCATTCAAGAACTCGATGTTCGCCTGTGGGATGTGCAGCGCACCAGGCGGGCACGACGACGCACGTGCCAAAGCGAGGAAGAGCGCCTCGTCTGAGGCGATATCATCGTGCTCTGTCTCATAGGGCGTGTCGTCTCCGCGCTTGGGCTTCTTCTTGACCATGTTCCCTGGTGTGAAGCGGTAGCCGGGGTGGGTTCTAAGGTGCCTGCGCTTCTCCTCGTCGGCCATCGTCACCCACGGCTCCTTGTCCTCCTCGCTCATCTCCCGCCAGATCTTGCCCACGATGCGAGATATGTTGCGGTGATCGTTCTCCACGGACTCAGGGATTTTCTTCTGCCGCACGAAGTCGCATCGGAAGAGGATGAACGCGTTTCGCGGACGAGGAATGTGCCCCGGAGGTTGTTTTCGCGCATGGGATTTCTTGCTGGGGTCCGGACGGGTGTTGGTAGGATGTGGCAGCGTGAATGACGCGCCTAGACTGCGCACGGAAGGCATGGCTATCGTGGAAGAGTACATGGAGGTGAAGACCGACCAGGGAAGAGAGCTGGAAATGGGGTCGTCGAGAGAGTGGCAGCCAGAGAACGACCAAGAGAGGTGAGCGATATCGATGATCAGACGAGAGAGATGGCGAGAAGCCGGGCAGGATGGGAAATAGGGCTCCTCAGGAAGACGCTGAACTGATCTTTGTGTTATTCAGTGCAGGGTACACGTTGCAGAGGCCGAGTAAAGAAACCGCAACATTGCGTGTGGGGGATCCTTTTGAATGTAAACACGAAACAGAGATCCAGGGCCGACGGCAGTCATCGCGGTTCCGCACTAGGAGAGGAGCCAATAACTGCCATAAGCCCTATGGTACTTGACGGCGTTGACAGAATCAAAGGGGCCCGTAGTACTTTTTTTCCCTCGCCACTGGAACAAGAGATCGAAAGCAGCCGATGAGGACTAAAACAAGAGCAACTCCGTTGTGATTTCAATCCCAGCGACGTGGTTCAAGTCCGCGAAGTTGATAAAGCCAAGGCGGGACGTCGTGCCTTCATTGTTCTCTCTTTTGGGAAAATAGAGCCGGGCCTATGTCTTCAGGACGAGCTCCAACGACGATGGCGTCGCGACAAGTGCAGGTTGCGAAGAAACCATATAACTCGAACAACACCAGTCAGGGGACGACATGGATATGCGAGAAAAGAACCTTGGGATGCGCACCTCGTTCACATTTCACATCGGAGCGCACCTCGCCACGAAGTAAATTGGGGTGCGTTCGTCCATGTCTTATACCGAACATCCCGAGGGCTGTCTATCCTAGACGTCAGGGAACTGTGTTCAAATATAAACCTCGCAGACGTACGCCGATAACAGACTAAATAGAATATACTAATGATTGAATTTTTGGATCCGGTACGAGCTGATGTGCCTTGCAGGTCGGGATCGATATAAGGATGCACCTTTCCAGATGGAGGCAAATGTCGAGCTAGCCTAAGAGATAATGACGACAAGGCCGATCGGAGAGGACATGGCCGCGCATCGACCGCCGCGGTGGCAGCCTGGTGACCAGGCGCACATCACCAACGGGATTGATTGGATGCGTTCTCCCTCCTGAGGTTTGTTCTTAGACGGCGTATATGGAGATAGATTCCGTCGGCACTCTTAATCAATTTAGATTATAACTGAGAAAGGCAAGTAGAAGAAGGAGATCCCGTGCGTACCTCCACTCGAGACGTAGAGACTCTAGACACGAACGACGGCGATGACAAGCTCCAAAATCTTTGGTTAAATTAGACATATAAATGCTGCACATATCTAATTAAAATCAGAAAGGACGCCCATGACGATTAGAAGGAAAGTCTTGGAAACGACCCACTCGGAGCTGCTCATCAGCGACGTTAGCCCGGTTTCAGCCGCCCCCGTTGGAATTTGTAACGCCTAGATAGCCTGAGCGCGCAAAACGATGACCATTTGGCGGTTGAACAAGGCGAGGTACCAGCAGAGATGTTGCCAGAACTTTGCTGACGTTGTCAACGTAGAAGAACAAGGACAACCATCACAGTGGAACGAGCGCTTGTCCTCTTTAGGGTGGGTATATGATAAGATAAGATCGTGACAAGATCTTAGCCGAAGTTCTTGGCTCGCTCGCGATACAATTAATTTCGACTAGGACGTATCTCGAAGGAAGAAATGAGGGAGATGAATTATCTGTACTACCTATCTAATAGTCCATAATTCTCCAGACTCCCAGAAGACGCAGTGGTCTGGAGAGATGCCAGACGAGGGTGCAACAGGATTGTTAACTCAGGGTCACTCTGCGGCAGGCTCTACTACTTACTTTTTATGGGATGCTGCGAGTATCCTCCTCGCATCCTGCAGGAGATTCATAATGAGGCGCCGAGATCGGGATCTCAGAAGCCCCTTTTATCTCAAACCGAATAGGCCCCGTCAAGAACGAACTTGGAGCTGAGGCGCCGTACCCCAGCGAGCGAGCCGCTTTGCGAGTGTTGAACAGGCGAGGAGAGAATTCAGGTATACTAAAATCAGTCTGGATAAGACTGGCCGTGTTCATGCTCGTCGATAGACGTACGTTTGCTCATCGGAGTATAAATCCCAAGAAAGATGAGTGCGTCCGGCCAAATCGCGTACTGTATGGATCAGGGTGAGGCTCCACGTAAAAACCTTGGAAATGCCGTACCGCAATCACACAGGCAATCGCACAGATGCTGCGTTCAGACACAATGAGGGACGGACATCCTCCCTAGATCAAACGTTTATCATACCTAGTAAGCAACCCTGAAAATTTAGCGTCAGTATCTATTCAAGTGTTCAAATGTATATGAGCTCTGACCTGTATTAATCGTAAAGGCTACGAGGAACGAAATCATAGAGTCAGTCCTGGTATAAAATTGAGAAATTAGTGTAATCTAGGGCGAAAGCGTGGCCTTACTTTTGGTATCCGGTCCGGCGCCTAATTAGTACAGTGAGATGGCAATGAGTATGTCGGCCGCCGCGCAGCAGCCTAATCCGAAGTACGCCACAAACTGATATGAGCATAAGTGGATCTAGCACAAGTATGCCAAGTAGATGGCGCTCGACGCTCACGGATGTTCCTTTCCATCTTGCATAAGTATGCAATTTGAACCTGAGATACGACCATGGAGTCAACATGGCGTCTGCGGAACATAAGTTCAGCGACTCACCCTAAGGACGCGAATGCTGGGGTCACCAGGATCAGTTATAAGTATATAAAGCTGCACAACTAGGCAACGTCACGCTCACCGAAGCCCATTCCTGAATATGGCAAATCAGCTTCTCGGTCGAGAAAAAAGGAACGAACGTTGCGTACCTACGGCTCCCAAGGAAAGTAGGTTCTAAAATTTTATTCCCGGTTACTACCCTTTTCGACAAGTGCTCGAGCACAGGAAGACTCACGATGGTGAGAAGTAAGCTGTAAGCGAGGTATTTTCGATGTTGCAAGACTGAAATAAAGTGAGTCAGAGTTATTTTCACGAGACTCAGAGTAGCTCTTACATCGGTAAATTCTCCTGGAGTAGATGCTGAGGCAGACTGTCCAGAATTCCGTCAAAACTCGAAGGAATATCTGAGGGCTTACAATCTAATGATACCATCACAAAATGCCTTGAACGACAAGATGAGACCAAGTAAGAATGATAGAATGTTTCAGTTATTCTTACCGCGACGCATATCTGGCTCAGAAGCGACCTGAAAATCAGTTAATTTTGAGAATCAGCAGATGCAAACTTCATTGACGAACCACGGCGGTGATTTAAGAATGGAGGTGTTGCCATAGTTCGAAACGAGATAGGTGTATGAACTGTGCGCGTTGAGGGCAGTATGTAATGTGTCGCCCAGCCCTAGAGATATAGAATCCGATAAGCGCTAGCGTAGTCCAACCGTGCAATTCTCTTACCATAGAAATGAGATCTGATTGTCCGCCATGATCGTCATTTGGGTGAGAGAGCGAAAAGAAAATATTGACCGTCGCACGAAGATATATGCTTTCCCCGCGATGACTACGGAAGAAGAGAACGGCTTGTATGCAGACAACACCCCAGAGGCTACGGTAGAATTCGTTAATGACATGACTCGGAATCACCCCACTTATGTTCCGGGAAGACTTACATTGCTGCAATCAACATGCCAATATACGGGACGCCGAGGTTTCTGTGGAGAAAGCCTGCCGGTACGTCCATGAAGCTGTGGTAGGTGTGTCGAGAAGGGGGTAGCAAAGCAAGTGCGGTTCTCGAGTCCTAGCACCTTGCCCGTTTTATAAAGCTCCTTAAAAGTTCAAACGGGGTGTTGAACAGCGCTCGCGAGTCTAGATTTAAACTGCCATCATTGCGACCGCCAATCTCTGTCCGAAAGAGGAATGCAGATCATCAGTATTGTTACGCCAATCCCATCCGAAAGATGGTCACCAACTCACCAGCATTGTCTGAAACCAAGTATACCTTCATCCAACTGAGTTGCAGTGTTTTGGAGCTGCGTGGTGATGGTTTAATGGTTCGGCATATCTCCAACGCCTGTCGAACGGTATATCAACCTCAACCTTCCGAGCTCCGCACTTGAGGCGGAGATCTTCACAACGAAATAAATAAAAAAGAAAAAGAAACAACATGGAATCTGTATCGTCAGTACATCTCCAACGGAATATCAGATTCGCGGAAGTGCCACCCCTTCACACCCTCGTACACTGGGCGGAAGCGCTTCTTCCCTACGAAGATCTCCGGCATGCGATTAGCCGTGTGCGCGCGGTGCTCCTCGAATGTGCGGACGCGGGTCCGTATGTTCTTGTACGTGTTAGTGAGGTGCTCTGGGTCCCTGTCCGGCTTTGTGTTGTGCATCGACGCTGGGCTAGCCGCGTGCAATGTGAGTCGCTCCAACCCAGGGAAGTGGGCTACCATGGTGTCAAGAAGGTTTATCTGGCGCAAGAGGCGTCAAATTGCAGAAGAGGCCATTCACAGAGATGAAACTAACCACTATGTCATCAACGAGGTACTCAGTGAACATATACGACGCGATGGGTATCTCAAGTCTTTTTAGTGATTTCATACGTGAAATAACTGGGGCATTGTGAGGACCGAAACACCAGAGGCCTTCGTACTGGGTGCTGACGCGGAAGTCTTCAAGCGTGTCAACATGTCTCTGAAGCGGTACGCCGAATAGAGATTTGGCAAACCCGTCAGACTGGCTGGGTGTTTCGGCGGAAATCCACTTAAGTACGAGCTTCTTCACCCCGGAATAGCTCTCCAGATAGCGCAGGAAGGCAGGGCAGATCCTGCTAACAATCACCTCCTCGAGCCGGAGGCCCATAGCTGAGATCGCGGTCCAAATCTCCTCGAGGGAGGAGCCGACCTCGCGTTGCTGAATCGCAATCTTACCATCAAGATAAGACCCATTTAAGTGCTTCATGAGCTCCGGTAAATACTGGAAGATAGCAGAGTGTCTCTTCGGTGGGGGGTTGTACGGCTCGCGGATATGGCTTAGCTCCAAAGCGACTAGATGACGCAGATGTGGCTGGGTTATGGGGTCTATCTTGACGAACATGCCTGTTATGAACAGTCGTTGTATGTGGCGGGGGTTTTCAGGGGAGCATTCTGAGAAATATTGGTGCAAACTGCTCGTTGGCCGCAACCCTCTCGTCTCTCGACCGTATCCGCCTCTCATGGCGAGAACATAGGTAAGGTCCGGTGCTGTCGCAATCAATCTTGCGAGGTTCTTGAAGGTGCGCCCTTTCTTCGAGTTCGGCGTGAGCCTCGTCGAGTTGTCGCTGAGCTCAACGTGTTGCAGATATGGGAACTCGTGAAGCGGGAGGGTGATGTAGGCGGACGTTGCAGCGAGTACCAGTGTCCGAAGATTAGGCAGGGTTTGGAGCGCCTTGATGGCGATGTTTTGGGACCATTCTCTGTCTAAGTAGCGCATGGTCCAACTGGGCTACCCGTGAGCAACGCCAAATATGAATTAGAATGGCTAGAAACACTTACGTGACCTTTGAGACACTTTCGAAGGAAACCAACGCAGGACGAAGATGCTCCTTCATTGCGTTGTCGGCCCTGTCGATCTCAGCTTGTGTATAGGAGTCGGGACCGTACGCGCCTTCACTGTTATAGACAACAGGATCGTCGGAACGTCTTGCTGCTAATGACTTGATAATGAGATGTCGCGCAGACCTCGTCAGTCCAGGTGCTTTGCCTAGCGCGAGTCCACTGAGCTTCGCGATACCAGCCTGTCGCGAGGGTGTCGAAATATCGATGGACACGGTGTGGAGTACGCACGCCTCGAAGCACTCAGAGAGGTCCTTGCAGGCAACCCTTAAGGACTTCCTGTCATTGACATCGATCTAGAACGAGTTAATGGTCGAAGATGAGTGTTATTGGTGAAGTTTTGACTGACGAGCTCCCCAATTTCGAACAATAGCTCAACAGGAAGCTTCAGAAACCCAACCATACGCGCAGCTTCTGGGACTGAAATGGGTGTGGGGCTCGTTTATTCTTGGACTCGGTTGGTCTTTGAGAGTCGTTTAGGGTTGAGGAAGGTCCGGACGGAAGCAATAATCAATGGTCAGGAGGCTGTGCGCATCGGCAGTCTGCCAAGACCACGCCGAGGGGGCGATAAGATCGCTGATGGCGATGCTGTCCTGCAGGACCCAAGCAGAACCTAAATCCGCTAACCAGCTTCGGGGCCTCTGAGCCCGAGGAGCTCATTACTTTGATACTATATAACCATGAGGTACTTCGAACACTGTAGTCTGTAGGCTATATAATCACTGATTCACTCCTTTCAATTAATTAGAATTTAGCGATCATCCAAGTGTAATTTAATGTAACTTCTAGCTCTTCAAGCGTGTCGAAGTGACGAAGAAGGGCAGCGTCGTCATAGAACAATTCCCCTACTTGGTCGGAGATAGCGGGCGTCGGGTAGTGGTCGTTACGAGTGACAAGTTTCTTGAGAGCAGACTAACTTACGCCATCATCGAAGAAGCCGGCGCCCACGGCGTCGACGGCTATTTCCTCCAGATGCAGGTCGATGGAGGTAATAGCACACCATTTTTTATCTAGGGATGAGCTGAATTTCCCCTCCTTTCTCCGCCTCTTCCTGTCTACTTGTGGTAGGCCCATGCGGATATACTAAGGAATGGGCGATAGGAGGGGAAACACATTGGTTGAACGTACGGGACAAGAAGTGATAGAGGACCGACTCTAAGGGCGAGCAATTCGTAAAAATTTAAAGATTTGCATGTGGTTAATCGCTGTGCTTCTCAAGCCGTAACATGCAGTTTGTTTACTGACTTGATGTGTGGGGAGATTTCCGTCGTTCTTGCTGGATATTCTGTAGATTATCTCTACTTCACGTAAGCCGCTGATAAAGTCTAGCATTAGAGTGGGTATATCGTAGCCGTCGATGTCGAGAGAATCCATTTTTAAGAGCTTCTGAAGGATGTCCATAATCATGTCCATCCATTTCGACTCCGCTCGGGAAATCTTCTAGGCAGGAATATATTATCATTAGTTCATGTGATCAGCGACTGATTGAAAAGGAAGACAGATAATTCAGAGATCCTCGCTTGGCGTATTGGATGTAGTTAATGAGGAGAGGGTGGCAAATAAGTACTTCGCCAATTTATTGTTAACGTCGCGTATGAGGGTGTCTTGCCTCCGGCGGTCTGGTGGCGATCTGCAAGACGAGCTCCGGGGCAAGTGCTCGAAGAAGCATGGTGGTAGTAAAAGGCTGTAGCTTACTCACACGCATGAGCTGCATCGACTTCCCGGACTTCCTCAACGTCGCGTTCAAAACGTGCTCATAGCCACGGGCGCTAGATGGGCGCTTCTGTGATCTATTTTAAGAATCGACGCAAGGTGCCAAAATCCCCGCCTCCGGCCTCTCACGAGGGATGACTCTGAGTAAATTATTTGATGCACAAGCGATTCAGTGTCTGAGATTATCGAAGACCCTCCCGACCTGCATCCGACATATTTTACTCATCTGGAGTCCATGATGGCAAATGCCAGAGTCCGTGTGACGCCTTGGCGGAAAAATCATCCCCTTAAATTGGCCTATGTCCTCGTACATATTACTAGTCGTCTAACTCTTACAATGGAACGTTCGAACGTATTATCCAGCGTTTCGGTCATATATGCATCTCTGCCCCTGATTGCACGATAAGATAAGATAAGATTCCACCATCGATCACAAATTTTCGTGTCAAACCTCTTATCAAGTAACCACCATGGCACCGCTAACCCATCCTTCAATTCAAGGTAAATCGAACTTATGTGAAGTATTACCTTGCTGATACACGTCTATTAGATGGCTGGTTTCGCGAGATTTCGTCTCAGTGGCCAGGACAAGCTATGACTTTGAAGGTCAACCGAATCCTGCATACAGAAAAATCTCTCTACCAGGACGTCCTCGTATTCGAATCAGAGACATACGGAAACGTCCTTGTACTTGATGGAGTTATTCAGTGCACTGAGAGAGATGAATTCTCGTGCGTCTTCCGTGAAATCGCAAGGGTGGAACGCTAACGAAACTCTAGGTACCAGGAAATGATCGCTCATTTGCCTTTGGCAAGCCACCCGAACCCCAAGAGAGTTCTTGTCATCGGAGGGGGCGACGGAGGTGTTGTTCGCGAAGTCCTTAAGCACGACACCGTCGAGGAGGTCGTGCTCTGCGATATCGATGAGGTGTGTCTATTTCCGTACTTCACGAGTGACTCAACTCAGACTCTTGCAGGCCGTGGTCCGAGTGTCTAAAATTTACCTTCCTCACATGTCTAGCCTACTAGAGTCGCCGAAGGTCACGGTTCACATCGGAGACGGATTCAAGTTCCTCGCTACACACGAGGGCACCTATGACGTGATCATCACCGACTCCTCTGACCCCGTCGGCCCGGCCGAATCCCTGTTCCAGAAGCCCTATTTCCAGCTCCTCCACGACGCCCTGACCCCAGGAGGCCACATCTCGACTCAGGGAGAGTGCTTGTGGTTGCACCTCCCTCTCATCAAGGAGCTCCGTGACATGACCCGCGGATTGTTCGCCAACGCCGAATACGCCTACACTACCATCCCCACCTACCCATCCGGGCAGATTGGCCACATCGTGTGCGCCAAGGCTCCTGGACGCGACCTCAAAACGCCTGTGCGCGATGTTCCAAACACCCGGTACTACAACAAGGCCCTGCACTCTGCTGCGTTCCAGCTACCGGAGTTTGCGCGGGTTTTCCTGGAGGAAGGCAAGGACATCCGGCCTGTGTTCGGTCGCGAGCTGTTGAAGGCGCAGAACAAGCGGGAGAAGAAGATCCTCCTGCTCGGCAGCGGCTTCGTTGCTCGTCCATGTGCCGAGTACATCGTCCGCGATCCGTCGAACCAACTCACGATCGCGTGCCGCACGCTCAAGTCTGCACAGGCTCTCGCAGCCGACCTGCCCAACACGACAGGGATCTCTCTCGATGTTAGCAACACCGAGGCTCTCGAGGATGCTGTAGCTGCTGTCGACCTCGTTATTTCGCTCATTCCCTACACCCACCATGCTGCGGTTATCTCTGCTGCCATCAAGGGCAAGACCCATGTTGTCACCACCAGCTACGTATCGCCAGCCATGCGTGCCCTTGACCAAGCCGCCAAGGACGCAGGCATCGTCGTCATGAACGAGATCGGTGTCGATCCAGGTATTGACCATTTGTACGCCATCAAGGTCATCGAGGAGGTACATGAGAAGGGTGGAAAGGTACATGGTGTTTCTCGTCAGCAGTACCTCTCTGACTCTCTTCTAGATCAAGCAATTCCTCTCGTACTGCGGCGGTCTTCCTGCCCCAGATTGCTCCGACAACCCGCTCGGATACAAGTTCTCCTGGTCTTCGCGTGGTGTCCTCCTTGCCCTACTCAACAACGCTTCGTACTACTCCCAAAATCAACAGGTTACGATTACAGGCAATGAGCTTATGGCCCAAGCCAAGCCTTACTACATCACACCCGCCTTCGCCTTCGTCGCCTACCCTAACCGCGACTCGACGCCTTTCCGGGAGTTCTACAACATCCCAGAGGCAGAGACCATCATTCGCGGCACCCTCAGGTACCAAGGCTTCCCCGAGTTCATCAAGGCACTGGTGCAACTCGGCTGGCTCGACGCTACTGAGAAGGAGTGGCTCGTCGAGGGCATCACCTGGGCCGAGGCGACGCAGAAAGCCACAAGTGCGAAGGATGCGAGCGAGAGCACGCTGATTGCGCGCGTCAAGGAGGTGTGCCAGTTCCCTGATGAGCTCGAAGCGAACCGTATCGTCTCGGGCCTGAAGTGGATCGGCTTGCTCTCGAACGAGAAGCTCACGCCCCGCGCGGGCAACCTCCTCGACACGCTCTGCGCTCAGCTCGAGACTCTCATGGCGTACGCCCCCGGCGAGCGCGATCTTGTGATGCTCCAGCACAAGTTTGTGATCGAGTGGGCGGATGGGGCGACAGAGGTTAGGACGTCGACGCTCGAGGCATATGGTGCCCCAACTGGGAAAGGTCACTCAGCGATGGCCCTTACGGTCGGCGTGCCGTGTGGTATCGCGACCCAGCTTGTGTTGGATGGTGTCATCAACCAGCCTGGCGTGCATGCACCGTACTCTAAAGAGATTTGTGACCCTCTTCGCGCTGAGGTCGAGAAGGAAGGCCTTGGACTCACCGAAAAGGTCTTGTAAGTTGTAGATTTGGAGAAGCGAGGTTGAACGAAGAAATCAAAATTAATCAACATCATTAGAGATCTATGTACATTGTATTGTCTTTGTCAAATTGGCACAAAAGCTTTTGGAATTGACTTTCTTGCTTCAAGCATACTTGACTGATAAGATTGACGATGTCGATCAACGCTGATTTGCTATTTACAAGGACCAAACATGATCTTCACATCCAACTTCCACTATTGTTATTGCTTTCTGGGCGGTTTCACATAGTTCTTCTCTGTACCGCCACTTTTCAAGCGTCAAAGGACAGGAAAATGACACTGCGACCAGTACCAATCGATGGATTCTCGACACCAACCTCACGAACGCAGGCAGAGACAGAAGCTGTTCTCCTAGAGCATATTCCAACCCCGGATCCGAGTACGGGGGAGCCAACGCCCAAAGCTGCACTCGATAAGAAGCTACACATGCAGTTCCTCGTCCGGAACCTCGTCCAGGGCTTCCCGACGCGGTATACGAGCCAGGATGCCAGTCAGCCGTGGCTGATGTTCTGGACGGTGCAGGCATTCTCGGTGTTGCAAGTCGGGCTGGATCCAGGGAACAAGCAGCGGTACGTGGACACATCAACCATTTAAACGTGGCTCTAAGGTCTCTTCGTAGGATTATAGACAAGATTATGACCTGGCAGCACCCCGATGGCGGGTTCGGAGGGGGTCCAGGACAGGCGGCGCACCTGCTGCCGACGTACGCGTCTGTGTGCTCGTTGGCCATTGTTGGACGGCCGGGGCCTGGTGGAGGGTGGGATCAAATAGATCGGTGAGTGTAGTCGCTACCTATCGTGTAGGATTGTGCTAACGAGAGACCTAGAGAGAAGATGTACAGGTTTTTCATGTCTTTGAAGCAGAAGGATGGCTCGTTTTTGGTGGCACATCATTCCGAGGTCGACGTTAGGTACGTACTACGACATGTCTCCTAAGATTTCTCCTCTAAACATAACGATAGAGGGATCTATTGCCTTCTTATCGTCGCCACCTTACTCGACCTGCTCACGCCCGAGCTTTTAGAAGGGACAGCGTCATTCATCGCGTCTTGTCAGACCTACGAGGGTGGATTCTCATCGGCCTCGCATCCCTCGTATTCGCTTTCTGGATCTCTACTTGAATCACCACGCCCACCGCTGGGCGAGGCCCACGGTGGATACACCTTTTGCGCTCTCGCATCGTGGGTCCTGCTGCAACCATACCTAGCCTCGTCGTCTCGTAAGCCGGAAGAAGCCACCGCTTCAATCGACGTCAAGAACCTCCTACGATGGCTCGTACACATGCAAGGTGTAGAGATTGAGCTGGGCGGGTTCAAAGGGCGAACGAACAAACTCGTCGATGGGTGCTATTCGTGGTGGTGCGGTGGTGCTTTTGCGCTGCTTGAAGCTCTCGGTGTCGGTGGCATCCAGAATGCGGATTCAGACGAGGTGCCGATCGACAGTGGGACGGGCGAGGGGGTTTGGGATGATGTAGATGGTATGCAGTTTACTCCTGCAAAGAAATTCGGAGTTGATCGACTTTTAGATGGGCTATACAACCGCAATGCATTGCAAGAGTACATCCTTTACGCTGGACAACATCCCGCTGGAGGTCTACGTGACAAACCTCCGAAGAACGCCGACGCATATCATACATTGTACTGCCTGTCTGGGCTGTCCTCCGCTCAGCATCACGTTTTCCCATCGAAATTGAGAAGATCGCAGCTCGAAGCCGCTTGGGAAGCTTCCGAGTCGCTAGAAGAGGATTTGAAGAAACGCTCCTTCACCGAGTTCCTGTCCTGGACGGAGGAGGAAGGCGGGTCCCATATTGTGGGTGGTAACGAGAATCGTCTGGTTCGTCCTTTGATCTCTCATCTGACGTTGTCTGATCAACGACTCCTTTCTCTCAGAATGCTACACATCCGTTGACGAATATGACAATTACGCATACCGAAGGCCTTATGACGCACTTCTACAAGCAGACAATCCCCGCGAAACCTATTAAAGCTAAACCTGCGTCGACGTCCTAATTGTGTTGAACCATCTGGACGGAATTTACATATTTTACTAGCTTTCAACTCGCTGTCATAACGGAATTTCAAGACTCATGTGTGTATTTTACTTGGGAAATAAATCAAAGGCATAATTCTCGAATTTTGGATCCAACTACTCTTTGAGCACATATTTGCTCTCCGCACGAACGAAGAGAAGGAATCGGGCTTGCAGGAAGATATGGAGCTCCTGAACAGCGTGCCGCTCAACTACGCCCGCAATTCTTCCATGTTCACAGAAATGCTGCACCAATCCCCCGCGTGTTCGTACTGGCTATTCCGGTGTTTAGATTAACTTTTTTCTGAGAGGAGATACATACCGTTTATCACTATTCCGAGGTGGAATCTCAAGTGAAAGATTCTGACAGGTTGTGTACCTCCGCGAAAATGCGTGCTTTTTTCTCTTTGATCGAGCTACTGTCTCACTAGTAAATAGATATTAGACTCTCACTAATTATGCATTGACCCGTTGTCGACGAACCGTTTAATTAAGGCGCACCGGTAGTCCAAGGCTTTTTTGCACCAGAGACGCGTCGGTGATAGGGGCTATGCCCTGCACGTGACCTCCTCTGATGGTCGGTTGCAAAGTGCATCGCCGAATTTTCACGTTTCTTTGCTTCTTTCTGCCACCACTCCTTTTAACTTCAACCACCATCTACCTGACTACCTACTCATGGCTGATGCGACCCAAAATCTCCAGGTGGCAGCCCAAATTCAGGACAGCATACTCAATGCGACAAGCGCGGAGGGTGGCGAGACGACTTCAGACTCGGAGAACGTGGTGATGACGCAGGCAAAGAGCAAGCAGGAACTCATCGCTGAGCGGGCGGCGAAGCGTGCAGAGAAAAAGACTGCTAATAGGCAGCAGGCTGAGGGTCATAGACGAGCTGTGAGTTGTCGATTTCTCGTGAATCTCGCGTTTCTGACGAAGCCAAACAACGTTAGGGGGACATTCTATACGAATCGAAGAACTATAAGGCAGCATTGGCTCAGTACATTGAGTCTGTTAATATCTGGCCGTCGGATGTCAGCTACCACATCAACCTCGCGGCCGTATATCGCAAGCTGGAGTGGTAAGCCTTTACCAGCAGTAACGTCATATGAATCATGCACTGAGTGGCGTTGTAGGTATGAGGAGGCAGCGCATTCAGCCACTCGAGCTCTTACCCTCGACCCGAGAAGCTCTGAAGCTCGATATCTGCGAGGTGTGGCACGGTTAGAACAAAGGCTGCTGAAGCCCGCTCGAACAGGTGTGTATTAATCCATCTGACGGTTCATTACATCCTTACCTTCTTCTAGACTTTGAAAACGTCCTTGCTCACGATCCTTCTCACCTTCGTGCCCGCGCCGCCTTGACGGAAGTCAACCAGTTCATTGCCGCAAGTGGCCAACTCGGTTCACACGAACTCGGGACGTCACCCGTCGACGAAGCTACCAAGGACCTCGACTTCGCATTCCCACACTACGACGACGAAGCGCTCGAAATAGCGTCAGTGTCCGACTCGAGCGACTGCAACCACGTTGGCAACGGTGTCCCATGTCGATTCTACAATCACGATGGCTGTGCTCGTGGCGCCGCCTGTGTCTATTCCCATGCCCCCGATGAGAAAAGCGTCAGAGACGATCTGTACGTAACGTTGCCTTTGATGTTTCATCTTTTCTTGCTGATGATACGTCGGTGATGGTGATTGTAGAGGAAGAAACGTCTGCATCTACTTCTTACTCGATAACTGCAAGTTTGGAGCTGCGAAGTGTGTCTATTCGCACTCGAGAGCGGCGCTGAAGGAGCATGGGTGGTGGTCGGATCCGGAGAAGATCGCCAAGGTCAAGGCGGTTCTTGAGGTCGCTGAGAAGCAGGCGCGAGAGCAGCGACACCTTGAGCAGGAGCGATGGAAGGTCTATCTCAAGTCTCTCAAGGCCGCTGGTAAGCCTCCCAAATCGGCCTGGGGTGAAAGGGAAGAAAGAGGAGAAAGCGCCGGAGGGCAAGCCGGAAGCCGAGCCTACCAAGGAGCCCGCTTCGACCGACGCCCCTGCTGCGGCTCCAGCTGCTGAAGGCGACGAGAAGCCCAAGTCTTCCTCGCCCAAGTCTTCCTCGCCCAAGAAGGAGAAGAAGGAAGGCGGCAAGCCGAAGCCCCGTCATCCCCAGCGTAAGAAGTCAAAGAACGTCACCGCTACTGCCAAGCTGGAAGCCGACGCTCCTACCCAAGACGGTTCTGCTGCCGCCCCCGCTGTGCCTACTCCTGAAGCTTCCTTGAACGGTACTGGAGAAAAGTCAACGACCAATGGTTTCACTGACTATCAATTGAACGAGCCTCCGTCTGGGGTGAAGCCCACAGCTCCCGAAGCCTTGGTGCGCTCTTTTGATGCTGCCTTCTGGCTATCTAATTAATGGTCTTCTAGGACAAACCTACCGTCCTCGCATACTGATTTTTTGAACATCTAGATGGAGATTACGCCATCTGCATCATTTCATCTATATTTATGTCGTTGTTTGTATCATCATTCCTCAGAAATTGTGCACCCTATGTCCACCGTGGATCTTCCTGTTTCTTTACGCTCTTGTTGTATCCATTTACTAGCATCGTCTCGTACTTATTATACATGTGTTTGATTCTTCATAAACAGTCTTATCGGCATCCTGGTCCTTCTGCATCAAGGTAAATTAACCCCACCCCTCACCCTTCTAGGAGTTCAGCTAAAGGGCACTGATAAAGCTAGTGTCCCGTGCATAAAGGATGGGTCCTTTCGCTCCTCCATCGGGACCATTCCGCCTGTCTGGTGACTGTCTAGAAAGCAATGCCAATTCTTAACCTCAGACTTCTATCTAAGCGCCCACCTCGGCCTAACTACTTTCGGTCATCCCTCTCTTTATAAATTAAGCCCCATAGGCGGTGATCAACTTTTAGATGCTATGGGCCCAGCTGTTGCAGAGAATGTACGAGAGAATGGCGGGCCGTAGTGTTAAGTATACAACCCGAGTTAACAGTATTAATATACGCGAATTTATGCTTAATAGAACAACGAGATTTCTGTTAGATCGGCATTTATTCTGCCAGCGATGGGGCCAAAAAACTTCTGTGGATTAACCGCAGTACTTAAACTGAAGCTCGATACTGTTCGAAGAGTTCGTCAACGGCAACAACGTCGCTCGCTTCTGATCCTGGGTGTCGATCAGTCGAATATGTGTTGTGGTGCACTCTGCGCGCTTCAGGAAATAAGAATGTATGCGGACAGACGTCAGATTGGGATACGTCGAGCTCGTGAGGGTGTTGTCGAGTTCCGACCACCCTAGCTGCGGTGAGATGATGTCCATCTTGAGCGTATCGGCCCCTCCTTGGACGTTGTCGACGGATCCGGGCCAGGTGAGGTCGATGGCTATTGAGGTTATCCCGCTTGGTTTGCACGGGGATGAGAAGAAATTGCTGATAGTTTTGAGGATGCCCGAGCACGTTCGGTGGCCTGTGAGGAGTTCGGATATTTCAAGGCTACGGAGTTTAGGGAGATGTTCCAAGGTGAACCAATATGCGGGCTGCGCTTGTAGAGATCCTGGACTGGATTTTACTAATGTTCCGTGGAAGATAAAAGGATTACATACTCAAGGTGTTGGTCAATGCTAGCCGCCGAAGTGGCGCCCCACGAATGGAATCGAAGAGGCATGTCCAGGCGACGATGACGAGCATAGGGCTCTCAACTTCAACGCTCATTGTTGTGAGACGTGGGAGGACAGGTAGAGACGAATATTTCAGATGTTCTGTGACGAGGTGGTGGCAGAGGAAGATAGATTTGCTCGTCAAGGTCAACGTTTGACACTGCGAAACGAGGTCTTCTGGTTCGAGAGTGAGTGGAATTATCGCCAGGTGGTTCCCAAACGTGCAACTAATCAATGTGATACGAGATATACTCTTCCACGAGAGGAAGAAACGGCAATCGAGGTCGTGCAGTCCCTCGATTGTGAGCGTGGTGAGGTGGGGGGAGACGAGGCGAAGGTTCCACAAAGCCTGCTTGATCTCCGGTTGACAGCCCTGCCATGAAGGAGGATCCTGTAATGAGCGCGTGACGATAGCAATCTCGTGCAGCTTTGGCATCGTCCCGAGAACAAAGCACAAAGCTCGCACCCCGTCTGCCGTTCCGTCGACGATGTTGATTATGTGGAGGCATTTTGCGTAAGTCGTGATCCGTTTATCCTCCTCAAGGATCTGTCTGAGGTTGTTGACAGAGGTCAGGTATTCCCTCTTGCTCCCATCCAATATTATCTTGGAGAAAAGGTGCCGTTGGGCACGAGCACAACACCCGCGAGAAGTAAGGGTCCATGCGCGAAGCGCCTCGGTCCGCTGCGGGCCATTGGTGCTCGTATGCTGGAGTTCGTCGATGAAAAGATCCAATATTTCTTGTGGAAACATTTGGAACTATTGTCGTCGTCATTATTAGTGTTTGTTGTCCACGATTGAGGTGAGAGACTGACCGATGCTGTGAGGAGGAGAGCGGTGATGACAGAGCAGGGTGCACTTCGTTATGTAATGCCGTCGGCGGCATTTTTCCCACGGTTCGTTGTGGGTCAATTTTCCAACCTCTTCCTTGTCCACCGTACTTCCTCTCAAGACTTCGGGTCCACTGTCGACAATTGGTTATTTTGGGGCTATGCCGTCACTACTCTCTTAGTGTCTAGCTTCTGTGCGTCGATTACCCTCTCTTTGACGGCGAATTACCTTCCATTCGAGGTGTCAGGTCACTTTCGTCATGTTCATCACTCAGGACGTCGGAACGGACCAGGGTGTCATCAGAGAGCGAATTTCTTCGTTTCCGGGAGAGATAATCACATAGGACTTCCTGCCCAGAATAAGAATGGCTCTGGATATCCTCAGGGCGGCGGATCGGTTCAAGTTCAAAACCTTGTCTTCGAGGACAACGATGAAATCAACAAGAAACGCAGCTTCGGGACAACATTCTCGAACTCACTAGCAATATCAGAGGTGTTCATTGGTGAGCGTATTCGTTCCTTATCCGTAAGTACTTTGCCCTCGTCAGATTTAGGGCAATATGCTGTCACCGTGTGCGCCAGGCATTTTGTCCAGTGACACATTTGAAACTCCGAAACGGATGTTCCCGTCATAGTCACGAAGCGGTGTCAAATGGGAACCACCATGGTACTAATTCTAAAGCACTGTTGGCGCTATGCTCTTTCACGGTCTCCCTCTCGACGTTCATTGCACATAGATTCAATAAGTGGGTAAATTTATTTCCTATCCGGAGCCGTACTAACAAAAACTAGATGAACAAGAACTCTTTTCTGTTACCACTAAACGCTGGTTGTACAACGACGACAAGCGTAGGTTGAAACAATAACGATTCTATCTTTTATCTATACTAATTTTGTCGCAGAACGTGCCATTCGTCATGTACCTTTCAACGTTCAGGCATTTATTGGCATGGCTGTCCAAGCGGCGGATGCCCGGACATGCACGTCTCTCAAGAAGATTCAGGATGGTGAGCTCGACACGCATGCATCTCTCTACACCTTTTCTGAGCGTTCTCTAGGGACTATGAATCGTGTCTTTTCCCTGAAACTCGACAACGGTGTTGATCTCATTGCGAAGATCCCCTTCCCTGTCGCAGGGCCGAAGCATTTCTGTACCGCAAGCGAGGTGGCAACTCTGGACTATCTCCGTAGCGAACATGGAATCCCTGTCCCGAATGTACGCGCGTGGTGTTCCAAGGCCGACTCGACGCCTGTTCGTGCGGAGTACATCCTCTATGACAGAATCCCCGGCGTGCCGCTCCACGACCACAATGGGACGGAAGTTCCAATCTTAAAGGACCCTTACGTTCAAGTCCTCCCCGCTGTCCGGCGTATCGAATCGCGTCTGGCGAGTACGCATTTCTCCCAAATAGGCAGCATTTATTACAAAGAGGACATACCCGACTCGCTGCGAGATCGTCCTCTGTACGCCCCGCATATTTCTCCAACTGCCAATTCTTAGAGGTCCTTGTAAGTGTACCAACCCGCTCACTTTCAATGTTTGTTGATCGTTGTCTATCCGAAAAGGGTCGAACGTGCATTCGTATATGTTCGCCCTGGCAGCGTGTGCACGGGCATCCATCAACAAATTCTGCACTGATCTTTCGCTACAAGAAGCCTACCACGACGTTGTAACGGACTACGAAACGCTGGTGCCACATATCGCCCCGCAGGACTCACAATACATCCTTTGGCACCCCGACCTTCACGCAAGCAACATCATCGTCACTGAAATGACGGACTCATGCACTCTACGGGGCGTTATCGACTGGCAAGGAGCACGCGTTGCGCCATATTATACTCAGCTCGACCCTCCGCCCGCCTTCACGGCAGAGGAGCACCCCCTCGTCGACTCTTCGAAGGACGACGGACCAGAGCTTTCCGTTCAGTTGGACACCCTGACTGACCCTGAACAGCAAAGGCTGGCACGTCTTGCCTTACGTCGCGCCTGGCGTGCACACCTCCACCGGATTCTCATGCGCAACGACGACCCCGAGCTCGCGCACGACCTGTATGAACCGATGGGGGTGATGGCGAAACTCATCAGGACCCGTCCTGCCACTCTCATCACACGCGGGTTGGAAGAGGGTCTTGACCTCATCCGCCACAGCTTTCTAATGAGCCGCGGTCTATGGGGACTCGCAGTGGGTGTCGACGGGGGCAGGGTCCCCCTCATGCCTTTCCCGCTCCATATATCCGATGAGGAAGAGAAGAGGATTACCGATGAGTTGACGCAGCGTAGACACGAGGCATCGGCGGCCGATGAAGTGTTAGAACGCCTTGGGGTCCCGCTGGACGGCGAAGGCATCGTGGACGTTCAAGATTACGAGAAAGGCAAGCATGAGATTGAGGACGCCAGACAGGCCCTTCTGGATAAGACGTTCTCCCAGGAGGAGAAAGATCGTTTGGTCAAGACATGGCCTCTGCAAAATGGCAAAGTATCTTTGACGGCGGAGACTTGTCACTAGGTCGTAGAAGACTCCTCAGCGGGCTGGATCAACAATTTCGTTCTTTCGCCATGCACACTTGAGCCAAAAGCGACTGGGCCTTGTAAACGAGGGATTGCAGGTATGGCTTATTCTGATCGCTTCTCTCAGTGCCCCAACTACTTTATTCCTATCAGAATGCCAGGCAAATATCTACATTCGTCACGAAGAAGTAAGATTAGAAAGTCGGGTGAGATTCGTATGCCCTTGGGCGTCGGCTCTAGTGTAAGAATGAGCGGGATTCAAGAAAACTGAGCCTTCCCGCCATAAGCGCAATGCAATTCACAAAAAGATTGAGCTTGAGGTGAAGATCAAATTTGAATGGCCTAAGGTCCACAAGGCCGAGAGGCGTCGACGCTTCCACGCTCAGAGGAAATATACTCGTATGTGAGATCTCTAAGGGAAAGTATAATTAGAAAGAAACAACATCAATAGGCGGGTGGGAGGAAGAAGTGTAAAAGAAGACCTACATCCAATGAGATAATGCGCTCCTCGTCGATCATATACGTGTGCGATTCCCCTACCATCACCCTCAATACAGACCTGTACGGGAGGCGTGTCACAACGTCTTGTGAGAATATCCTTTTGGAGTTCTTATTAGTACGTGGCACGATGGTAGGATTGTCGGATCCATATCGCATGCAGAGAGGAGATGCAAGACATGGCCGAGTGCTCGAGAAATCTAGCACCTCGATGCTTCTTCGGTTGAAAAATCCGTGGACAACACGACTGCCATGAGCGTTGACAGCATCGCTTCTATGGATGTTTCTTGGGAAATGATGAGCAACAAGGCTGCAGGCAGATGAAGAGAGAACTCACAGATAATTTGCACCCACAGTGTTCACTTCCATAAACCGACTCTCCCTCTCACCCCATGTTTCCCATGGCACATCTTCTGCTTCGCTGATTCCAGTTTCATCCACATATCTTAGGAACGTCGAACCCCAGACAAATAACAAATAGGCTTCACGGTGATAGTTGATAAAGAAGGTGTGCATCCGCGACTCAGGCAAATGCATGAAGAGCATCCCTGGCGTGGGCCGTGGCTGAAATTGCCCCGACTTAACCCGTATATACGACACGCCAGCCAGCGGTGCAGTGGAGGGCAGCCCAAACGAGGCGACGTGGACGGGTATTCCGGGCGTCGTAGGGGAGAAACGGTAGATGAGTATCTGGCCACTCAAGCTTGGTGATGCCAGGAGAAATGCGTCCTGACGGAGGAAGTCGAACTCGAGGTTCAGGTTCATGGAACGCCTTGGCAGCACATCCTCGAATGAATTCTGGGGGGACCTGGTCAGTATTTTTGAGCACGATGATAACGGGATTCGAAGGACGCACAAAGAGGAGCAGGCCCGTGGTCCAATTCCAAAGCAGCAGGTGGTTCAAACCCTCGCGCCACGACCCACAAAGTGCCACGACGTTGTCCGCAAGCGAAACCTTCATCGAGAACAGCCGGCGTTCGCGATGTTTGTGATCATGTATCTCGAATTCAAGGATACCGCCTTGGGATGCATTTGGATGGACTTCGTTTGTCGAGATTGTGCGGCAGTGAAGACCGATGTGCCGTTCGTCCCTCAATCCACTAAGTAGTCACACATCAGCACCGGGTACGTCCAACGGAAAGGAATACTCGCGTGTATTCCGCCAAAATGATCAGATCCTGATTAGCATCGATAGCGAAATCCTGGATCCAGTGTGTGCCGATCGGGTTGCGGATGGTGCAACTAGGTTGGGTGGACGATGGCAGATAGATGACTAGAATATCGTTCTCAGCCTGCGCCGCCAATATCCCAGCAGATTGCTTATATCGGTATCCTGGTGGAATCTTCACCATTGTGCATTTCTTCCATTCAAGAGCCGCCCATGCCCTCTGCCGACCTCGCAGGAGAACAAGTAGCTCATCAATCGATTTGCCCGATCCAGCGTCCCGCATAGAGTTCATTCCAAGCTCGTAGACGTAACGGATGGCTGTTGACTGGAAAACACCATAAAAAGTATGGCAGGCCTAGATGAACGAAGACCAAAATGCCCGTGTCGTAGCGTCAACGTTCGACAAGTTTTCAAGCAAAATATCACGTACAAGCGCCATCTGAAGGATGGAACGACTGTCGAGATGGGTCATGATCTCGATTAGCAACTCTTGAGGGAGGGAGGGGAATGAAGATGACATAGCGCTCGCAGGCTAGATGGCTGTGGAAGAGAGGATGAGCGGCGCAGCCTTGGCGGAGTGTTCATGTCAGCAACGGCCCGGCATTCCGCTGAGATTCCAAGAATTTCAGAGGGCATTTTCTTTGTTCAAATATGCTGCCACGCTAGCTCTCCTCGGTTCATCCGATAGGCACATCTCTTAAGGACACGGAAGTACGCCTGCAGACAGGCTTTATCTGGGTTGTATCTCAGTTGTGCAAGATCCAAGACACCCTCTTTGCCCGATGAGTCACGACACAATATCAAGCGTTTTCACTCGGATGCGGCTGACAGCTAGATGGATTGAACGCTGTTTATAGAGGAGTTGGTGAGCCAGCAGGGGGATAACAGTAAAATTAAAGGTAATTATGAACGCTATGTCTGTCTGTGTCTTCAATATGCTACGCTTCTTCAGGTTGTGTCCAATTGCCCGGTATCACCTCATATTTATTATACATGTGTCTAACTCATTCTTAGTGCTTCCGTTGGCTTCTGGTAACCATACCCATCTTGCTAATTGAATCGCAATACCAGCCATAATCACCTGAAGGTTACTGATCACAGCACCCCGGCGCCTAGTGGACTGCCATTGAAATCGCATCTTTGCCTCCGAGTTCTAGATAATCTGGTTTGCCGACGGGAGTGGAGTTTCTCTGACTGCTTTCCTGCTCTTTCTATCCGACGAGGAAGAGAGGAGAATCGCGGAGGAGTTGATGCAGAGGATACGCGACGCGTCGGCGGCTGAAAGTGTTAGAACACCTCGGCATCCCGCTGGACGGCGAAGACATTGTGGATGTTCAAGATTATGAGAAAACAAAGCGCGAAGTTGAGGGCGCTAGACAGGCCCTGGATAGGACCACCTCTCAGGGGGAGAACTTATTGTTTGGTCAAGACATGCCCTTCGCAAGATGGCAAAGCATCCTTCAAGTTGGCAGCGGAGACTTGTTACTAGGGTTGTAGTAAATTCCTCCTCACCATGCTGGGATCAACATTTTGTTTCTTGTCACTGTGCGCGCTTGAGCCAAAAGTGACTTGCCATTGTAAACGAGGAATTAGAAGGAAAAGGGCATTCGCTGCGTCATGCCGTCGGCTTCATCTTCATTTATTCCCACGAATCTTGTGGCGCATTTTCATTTTTGAAACTCTTCGCTCATTACAGTGACTTACCCACATCTTTGTCAAACTCTGAGAGTAACGCCCAAGCACTATTTATTCTCGTACTATGGAATCGATTCCTCCGCGTCAGGCTTTCCCTACAGGTCTATCGCCGGCTCTTCACAGGTGGACGACTTTCCATTCCAATTCCATTCGAGATTTTCATCGCTTGCATCACTCAGGAGTTCAGAACATGCCAGCTCCCAAACGGAGGATATTGTCCTTGAATTTCCGGAAGAACATCTGGGTTTACCTTCAGAACAAGGTCTCGGATATTTCCAGGGTGGGCCGGGGCAACGCCTTGGTCTCGAGGGCAGGTACGAAATCGTGCAGAAACTTGGATACGGGACCACCTCCTCGGTCTGGCTCGCAAAGGATCACATGTACTCCACCATGAGGCTCTCCTTTTTTCATATTTTCTTTATCTAACCCTGCAGCAGGAAGGACACGTTCACGGCCCTGAAGATTCTTTCGGGATACTGCAGTCAGCTGAATGTGGAACACAACTTACAAGAACTCGATGTGTACCAACGTCTCGGCGGTGCATCCCGCAAGAATCAGTGCAGCTCATTGAGCGATTATTTCTTTGAGCCCGGAGTCAAGGCCAGTGACGGAAATCACCTGTGTCTCGTCCTCGACTTGTTCCGGTGCAGTGCGGCTGACGCGCTGCAGGCCATGCCCGCGGGTTCCACATTTGCGCTCCCCGTTGTCAAACGCATCTTAAGAGATGTGCTTACCGCCATGGAATTCCTGCACGAGAACGGGATAGTTCATACGGGTGCGTCCTTGTTTTCGCTACGAAGGTCCTCGTTAACGTTGATTTCGACACAGATATCAAGCCGGACAATATCATGATCCCCCTTGACCAAAGTTTCAACGTGGATTTTTGGCTACAAAGTAATTGTCTGAACGAATTCTTGGTAGATCTGAGTCTAGCTAAGCTCTTAGATCTCTTACCATGTCCTGTCTGATACCCCGTTTTCTTCGTCTCGGCTTTCGAATAAGCCCGCGTTCCTCATATGTTCGGCGCTTTTCTCGGTCCTCGCCACGCAAAACACCATCCACTGTTACTCTTCAAGACGAAGACGGCAAGAGCGTTGACCTCACCTTCTCCGAAGAGCCTCTGGGCATGCCAGCAGAATACGGCTTCGGCTATCCCATAGTCAACTTTGGGCAGAGGTTTGGCCCAGAAGGACGCTACGAGGTCATACGAAAGCTCGGCTGGGGAGGGTATGTGAGTCCTTAACCCTATCATCGAGAGGACGTTCGCTCATGCTTGAAATTTCCGCTACAGTCCAGCATATGGCTTGCACGAGACCACCAAACGCCTAACTCCTTTGTGGCACTGAAGATGCTCACCGGGAATGCTACGGACCTCATCAAAAACGGCCAACTACAAGAGCTAGCAGTCATGGAGAGGCTCAAGCCCCAGGTGCACGACCACTGCGTCCTGCTCCTGTCGCATTTCGAGTTTCCCGGCACCTCCGAGACGGAGGGGAACCATACGTGCATCGTCACGGAGGCGTTTGCGACAGACGTAGAACGCATTTGGGCCGCGTTTCCGAGCAGACGGATGCCCATCTCATTAGCGAAGAAGATTTTGCGAGACGTTCTGGTAGGACTCTCGGGATTACATTCGGTAGGATGCGTTCATACTGGTGAGTATCTCGTCTTCACCTAGCAAGTAATGTATATCTTAAATCTTCGGTGTTCTTTAGACCTCAAATCCGCGAACATTATGTGTAGGCACCCGCCGTCGGCATCCTATGACGCCGTCTCCTCCCTCCTGAGAACCGACCCATCAGAGATGAACCCTCCAGACAAGAGCGTAGTTTTAGGGGAAGTACAGTCAGCGAAGTCTCAACCCTTGGTCGTTGCCCTCTCTCTGGAAGAAGCACTTCGCAGCTCATATGTTCTAGGGGATTTAGGGCATGGTACGTGTCCACACACTCTGCTTCTCAAAAAGTATCCAACACCCTTCGCCATAGCGCAGATTTTGGATAACAGAACTGCAGCCATGATCTCGGACGAACTTTATCGTGCGCCTGAGGTGATACTAGGGGGTTTTTGGGACCAAAGTGTCGACATGTGGGCGTTCGGTTGCATCGTGAGTGCGCCAGTCGTAGCTCTTCAGTATTTCTCGCAACACTCATATCGGTATCTATAACAGGTCGTAGAATATGTACTGGGAACGGCTCTCTTCACCCGCGAACACCCAAGGATCCCGCCTGACATTTATCATATCCGTCAAGTCTTCTCTGTCCATCTCATAAAAGATTACCAACATGCGCCCAAATGTCTCGATATGACAACTGGTTCGTGTTCGAGTTACTTTCCCTTTATACTCTTCTCACTCTTTTGAAAGGCAATTTCATCCGAAATCCCGCGTTGGAGCCCGGCTTCCTCGACCGTCTGTTCCAAGAATGGGGTACTCACAGAAGACTCGAGGACCACGATATTATTGGTGCGGCAGATCTCGCCTCGCGGTGCTTGCGCCTGAACCCAGAAGAACGACCGACAGCGGCTGAGCTTCTGGATAGCTGCCTGTGGCTCCAAGAATCACAAAATGTCAGTGTTCAGTGATGAAATTTAATAGGGCTTTTGCCAATCTCGTGTGGGGTCGCGCGATTTGAGAAGCCATCTAAAAAAATGTGTATAGACACAGCTTGCCGGACGATGGGTTCTTGCGGGCCGAGGGTGCTAAGAGAGCGCCGAGGGTCTTTATCCGGTCGATTCTGTCGGGATCGTGAGCGGCGTGCTGAACGACAAGGAGTTTGAGCTCTGGAGGTAATGTCGCTGGAGGCATTTCAACACATTGTGTCCGACTGTCGAGATCCAGAGGATCAGGGTGTACGTCCGGCGCTGCTACGCCCGCCTTCAAAGAGATTGATTTAGAATTTGATAGAGGCCGTGCGAGGGTAGGGGATGGTGCTCATTCAGCAGCGAAAATGGACTCGGGGCGAGCCACATCGACCCGCGAATAGCCTCGTGGGAGACCCTCTCTAATTAAACATCGTACCTACTGTAGTGCCGCCTTAGGTACTCCGATACACTCGGACTTCATATCGTTTGACGGGTGTAAGAATGGGAATAAGAATGGGCAGTTGTTGAGAAAATTCGCAGAAAAGGAACGATGGAAAATGGTCTGGAGTCCAAACGGCCGGTAGGAGATCTAGTTGCATGTCCGCATATTATCATGGTCAAAAGGAATACACTCGTATGTCAGGGTTCCTAGGGAAAGTCTGATTGGAGAGGATCGGTATGGGTATGACGAAGAAGTGCAGGAAAAGACTCACATCCAATGGGAATGCGATGATGTGCTCCTCGTCGATCATATAATTGAACGATCCCTCCTCCATTACCCTCGAGACCGCCCAGTATGGGAGGCGAGTCACGACATCTTTGGCGAATACACCCTTATATGTAACGATAGTAGGATCGCCTGCTCCATATCGCCTGCAGATAGGAGATGCAAGACATGGCCGAGTGCTCGAGAAATCTAGCACCTGAATTCTTGAACTGTCAGGCAAAATACTGACAACGCGGCTTCCGTGAGCGTGTCTGATGAAATGGTGCGAAAATAAGGTTACAGGTGCATGAAGAGAGAACTCTCAGAACTCACGGACAACTTTCATATGGTGGGTCCCCGTCCATAAACCGGCTTCCCCTCTCACCCCAGAATTCCCAAGGCACATCGTGCACTTCACCGACCCCGGCTTCAGACTCATCAGCATATCTCAGAAATGTCGAACTGCAGACATACAGCCAATAACATCGATGGATATAGATGAGGGAAAAGCATAGCATGCGTGACTCGGGCAAATGTGTGAAGAGCATCCCTGGCATGGGCCGTGGCTCGAAATGTCCGTATCCACACTGTATCAACGGCCTGAAGACTGGCGGTGCAGTGGGTGGCAGCCCAAACGAGATGATTTGTATAGGTGTTCCTGGTGTCGTAGGGGAGAATCGGCAGACAAGTATCTGGCCACTTGAGGCTGCTGATGTCAGGATAAAGGTATCTCGGCGGAGGAACTCGAAACCTTGAATATTGCCCCGCCAGTCTAGTGACACATGGTCGCCCGAATTCTGGAGGTCAGTGGTCAGGAGTATTGAGCACGGCGATCAAGGGACTAGAAGGACTCACGAAGAGGAGGAGGCCCGTGGTCCAATTCCAAAGCAGGATTGGGTCGAAAATTTCCGCACACAACGCCAGGACATCATCCACAAGCAAGATTCGGTGTCGGCTCGACATCAGATCGCGTTCGCTCTTCTTGTGTTGATCTATGTCGAATTCAAGGATGCCGCCTAGAGTTGCGTTGGGATGGACTTCATTCGTCGAGATCGTGCGGCAGTGAAGATTAATGTACCATTTACAAATACCCGGCACATGGCTAAGTGATCGCACATGAGCACCGGGCCTGCTATGCAAAACGAAAAAGAAGGCCTACGAGGACTCCGTCATAACGACCAGATCCCGGCTGGCGTCGATGGCAAAATTGTGGATCTTTATGCCAGGAACCAAGTAGCAGATGGCACGGCTAGGTTGAGTGGAAGTTGGTAGATAGACGACAAGAAGCTCGTTCAGGTTCCTATCCAGCCTCGCCATCGCCCCAGCAGATCGTTCAAAGTCTTTTCGACTTGGTGGAACCTTCACGGTCGTCAAGCTCTTCCATTCGAGGGTTGCCCATGCCTTCTGCCGATCTCGCAGTAGAACAAGCAGCTCATCAGTCGGCATGCCCGATCCAGCGTCCTGCAGAGAATTCATTCCGAGCTCGTAGATGTAACGGATAGGTGTTGACTGGAAGATCGCGTAAAAGCAACGGCAGGTCTAGATAACGATGTCAATGTCGTAGCATTTGTACCAAGGTTTCGAACAAAATATCACGTACGAGTGCCATCTGAAGAATGGAATGACTATCGAGACGGTTCATGATCTCGATTAGCAACTCTTGAGGGAGGGAGGGGAATGAAGAAGGCATAGTGCTCGCAAGGTAGATGGATGCTGTAGACAAGAAGGTTCAACAGCGCCGGCTTGGCGGAGAGAACGGCCCGGCACTGCGCTGCAATTCCCGGATTCCAGACTGATGTTTTTTTTAAAAAAGAAAATCCAATGGCACTCTGACCCTCTTGGGCTCATTCAGTCGACACGGCGCTTGAAGACACAGAAGTATGCATGCCGGCTGGTTTTATCGAAGTTGTCCAAGGTCCAAGACCTCGTATAAATTCCCTGATGGCATTGGCCCAAACATCTGAATCTCGATTCGGGGAGCCAGATGGATTGAAAGCTGTCTATCGAAGAATTCATGAGCTATATGGGAGGGAAAGGAATTCGGAGGAAGAACAACTGTTCCTCATTTTGTATCTACGAGACCAAAGGGAGCAGAAACCAGAACTAAAGGCACGAGTGCGCATCTTGTATGCCTCTTGACCCCGGCTCAAGTTCTAGAGTGGGCAGCATAATCCCCCGCCAGAAACATTCATTGGAGAAAAAGAGTGGTGAGAGTTTTTGCAGCAGTGGATATGGGGTAAACGCCGAGTTTGAATGGTCTAGGGTCCACAAGGCCCCGGGGGACGATGTAACTACATATCTGTCTACGATCATGCTCAAAAGAAATATACTCGCATGCCAGGTTCCTGAGAGAAATCACAAACAGACAGAATCAACATCAGTAGGTGGGGGGGGCAAAGGAGTGCACAAGAAGACCCACATCTAATGCAATAATCCGTTCCTCGTCGATCCAATACATAGATGGCTTCGCATCTATCACCTTCGAGACGACCCGATATGGGAGGCGGGTCACGACGTCTTGTAAGAATAATTGTTTGCGTGGCACAACGGTAGGGTTGTCGGATCCATGCCGCTCGCAGTTGGCAGAAGCAAGACACGGCAGAGCGCTCAAGAAATCCAGCACGTTGATGCTTGCTCCTTCAGATAATCCATGGATAACCCGGCTTCCATGGATTTTCCTTATGAAATGAGGAGAAATTAAGGTTGCAGGCGGTTGCAGGTGGGAGAAGCGAAATAAAATAAGAACTTACCGACTCCACACATTGAGATCGACTTCTGTGAACCGGCTCTCTCTTTCACCCCACATTTCCCATGGCACATCCTGTGCTTCACTTGCGGAGTCGTCCACGTACCTTAAGAACGTCGAACTCCTGACAAACAATGTATAGCGGTGACGGTAATAGTTGACGGAAAAAATATGGATCCGGGACTCAGGCAAATGCATGAAGAGCATTCCTGGTGTGGACCGTGGCTGGAACTGCCCTGAGTTAGGCCGTATATATGTCACACAGGCCGGTGGTGCAGTGGGTGGCAGCCCAAGCGAGGCGACATGCACAGGCATTCCAGGTACCGTCGGGGAGAAGCGGTAGATGAGTATTTGGCCGCTCGAGGTTGCCGACGTCAAGAGAAAGGCGTCTCGGAGGAGGAGGTCGAAGCTGAGGTTAGGGGGACAGTCCGGAAGCCTGTCCTCAAACGAATTCTGCAGAACGGCAGTCAGAGGTATTGATCACGACCCGGGGGGCTCAAAGAGCTCACGAAGAGGAGTAGGCCCGCAGTCCAATTCCAAAGCAGGAAGGGGGTCTGACCTCCTTGTCCGTACCTCCAAAATGCAACAACGTCGTCTGCAAGTGTAATTTGCATCACTACTGAATAACGTTCGCGACATTCGTCTTCGCGTATGTCAAATTCAAGGATACCGCCTGGGGTGGCGTTGGGATGGACTTCGTTCGTCGAGATTGTACGGCAGTGAAGACGTATGCGCCGTTTATCCAGCAATTCGCTAAGCAATTTAGTACCACGTGCGTCCAACGTAAAGGAAGTCTCACAAGTACCCCGCCAGAATGACCAGATCCTGGTTTCCGTCGATGGCAAAATCGTAGATCTGCATACCCTCAATCGAGTGGCGGATGGTACGGCAAGGTTGGGTGGGAGATGGTAGGTAGATGACTAGCAGATCGGTCATATCCAGCTCGGCCAACAATCCAGCAGATTGTTTGAAGGATTGCTGATTCGGTGGAAGCTCCACTGTCGTGAAACTCTTCCATTCGAGGGTTGCCCATGCCTTCTGCCGATCTCGCAGGAGAACTAGGAGCTCATCAGTCGACTTGCCCGATCCAGCGTCCCGCATAGAGTTTATTCCGAGCTCATAGATGTAACGGATGGGTGTCGACTGGAAGGCCCCGTAAAAAGCACGGCAGGTCTAGATAGCAAGAATGCCATTAGTCTCATGGAGTTTTTTCGAGTAAAATATTACATACAAGCGCCATCTGGAGGATGGAATGACTGTCGAGATGGGTCATGATGTCGATTAGCAGCTCCTCAGGGAGCGAGGTCAATGAAGAAGACATAGCGCTCGCGGGTGGATGGATGTTGTTGACAAGATGTGGGTTGGCGCTCTGATTTAAATTAAACGCCGCACCCATGGCCACTCCGTGTCAGAGACGGGCCGGCTTCCCGCTGCGCCCCCAGAGTGCATTTTTATTCCTCCAGGCTGCCGCGCTGGCCCTCCTTGGCTCGTTCGTGTCGGTATCGTGCTCGAAAAGCTCAGGTGCTTCGATCTGGGCCGCCGATCGGTTAAAATCTGGTTGTTGAGAAGCTCGTGCACTTCAAGTTTGGAAGGGCAAACAAATTTGGAGGCAGACCATCCCTCATCGAGTGATTTTGGCGGAGTGAAAGGGGCAAGAGTCAAAATTATTGCTGTTTTCAAAAAGGTTGGCGACCACGGTGCACCACCCTATGGATCCTTCCCGGTGTTTATTTACACATTGTCTCATAGAGTCGTGTATGACTTATTCTAAGCGCCTCTGTCGGTTTCCCGGTCGCCAGACTCTGCCTATTTGGACCAGAACACCAAAGTGCACCAACCATTTTATTCCCATGCAAGTATCTACATTCATCACGAGGAAGAAGCGCGATTAGCAAAAGCTGGCTGCGATTCGTATGCCCTTGAGGCCGGCTCGAGTGTGAGAATGGGTGGGATTCGAGAAGGTTGAGCCTTCGTGCCACAAGCCTGATGCAGTCCACAGAAAAAGAATGACAAGAATCCCGGCGGTAGTGCGTCTGGGGCGAGGACTAAATTTGAATGGTCTAGGGTCCTCAAGGCCGAGGGGCGACGCCGGTGTATGTCTGCCTACGACCACGCTCAAATGGAATACACTCGTATGTTGGGTCTCTTATAGAAAGTAGAATCAGACAGGGTCAGCATCAATAGATAGGTTTGATGACGAAGTGCAGGAAATGACCTACGTGGAGTGCTATAATGCGTTCCTCGTCGATCATATACGTGTCTGATTTCCTCTCCATCACCTTCGAGACTGCCCAATGTGGGAGGCGAGTCACGACGTCTTGGGTGAATACCTCTTTACGCGGCACAATGGTAGGATTGTCTGATCCATACCGCCTGCAGATAGGAGATGCGAGACATGCCTGAGTGCTCGAGAAATCCATCACCTCAATGCTTGTTCTGTCAGGAAATCCGTGAATAACACGGCTGCCACAAGCGTTGATAGCATCGCTTCCATGAAGGTTTCTTGCGAAGTGATGAGCAAAAAGGTTGCAGGCGGATGAAGAGAGAAATTTGAGAACTCACCGACGCCTTCCACCCTCAGTGTTCACTTTCATAAACCGACTCTCCGTCTCACCCCACGTTTCCCATGGCATATCCTGTGCTTCGCTGGCGCCAGTTGCGTACATGTACCTTAGGAACGTCGAACTCCAGACGAATAACAAGTAGGATTCACGACGATAGTTAATGAAAAAGGTGAGCACCCGGGGCTCAGGCGAATGTATGAAGAGCATCCCTGGCGTGGGTCGTGGCTGAAACTGTCCCGAAATAACCCGTATATACGACACACCGGCCAGCGGTGCAGTGGGTGGCAGCCCAAACGAGGCGACGTGTACGGGTATTCCGGGCGTCGTAGGGGAGAAACGGTAGATGAGTATCTGGCCACTCAAGCTTGGTGATGCCAGGAGAAATGCGTCCTGACGGAGGAAGTCGAACTCGAGGTTCAGGTTCATGGAACGCCTTGGCAGCACATCCTCGAATGAATTCTGGGGGGACCTGGTCAGTATTTTTGAGCACGATGATAACGGGATTCGAAGGACGCACAAAGAGGAGCAGGCCCGTGGTCCAATTCCAAAGCAGCAGGTGGTTCAAACCCTCGCGCCACGACCCACAAAGTGCCACGACATCATCTGCGAGCGAAACCTTCATCGAGAGCAGCTGGCGTTCCCAGTGTTTATCATGTATCTCGAATTCAAGGATACCGCCTGGGATTGCATTGGGATGGACTTCGTTTGTCGAGATCGTGCGGCAGTGAAGACTGATGCGCTGTTGGCCCCTTGATCCACTGAGTAATACACATCAGCGCCAGCCTGGGGCACGTCCAACGGAAAGGTAGACTTGCGGGTATTCTGCCAGAATGATCAGATCCTGATTGGCATCGATAGCGAAATCCTGGATACAGTGTGTGCCGATCGGGTTGCGGATGGTGTGACTAGGTTGGGTGGACGATGGCAGATAGATGACTAGAATATCATTCTCAACAGCCCCGCCAATATTCCTGCAGATTGCTTGATAGGTTGGTAGTTTGGTGGAATCTTCACCATTGTGCAGTTCTTCCATTCAAGAGCTGCCCATGCCCTCTGCCGACCTCGCAGGAGAACAAGTAGCTCATCAGTCGATTTGCCAGATCCAGCGTCCTGCATAGAATCCATTCCAAGCTCATAGATGTAGCGGATGGGAGTTGACTGGAAGACTGCATGAAAAGAACGGCAGCTCTGGATATAAACAGACCAAAATCCCGATGTCAGAGCTCGACAAGTGTTCGAATAAAATATCACGTACAAGCGCCATCTGAAGGATGGAACGACTGTCGAGATGGGTCATGATCTCGATTAGCAACTCTTGAGGAAGGGAGGACAACGAGGATGGCATAGTACTCGCAAGGTAGATGGAAAGAGAGGATGAACGGCGCGCGGAGAGTTCATGTAAGCAACGGCCCGGGGGCCGGCATCCTGCTATGCATTGATTCCTAGAATTTCAGTCCGAATCTTTTATTCCAAGTTCCAATACGCCACCACGTTGGTTCTTCTTAATTTGTTCGACAGGCACACCATTTTAAGACACGGAAGGAGACCTTTTTCCCCGACGGGACAAGATTAAGCGTTTTCACTTGGATACGGGGGGACAAATGGATTCCTGGCAAATCTGTAGTTCGCAAATGTCTAGCTCTACTTATTCGGAAACGAGTTAAGTAAGTCGCGAGAGTGATGTATGGTGAGGGGGAAAAAAAGGGACCCAAGCCCCAGAACTCCTAGAGACGAATGGGCAGCAGCAACGATCTTCATCATCAAACGTATGCCGTTGATTTGAATTCCCGAACAGCTAACGTTCCAAATATCCGCTCCAGAGGATCGTGTACGGGCGACGGAGGATGGAGGAAAAGGCGGAAGGTCAGCGTATCGTCTGGTCGATATCTGGCATCAAGCCGCACAGGCCCATCGAAAAGGCATTCTTCAACATCTGATCTGACACCCCGAAAGCGAATCCTGCGAACTGGGATCCGCTCAAGACGTTTCTGGGGACTCTCCAGATTTTTTCTAATGATAGTGATGAGAGTCTAGGAGCATGGCAGACCTGAAGGAAGCTGGATCGAATGCTGACGTCGAAGCTGGTAAAGCTAGTGGCTCTGCCAAACACATCGGGCACGCCGAAATAGATGCTCAAGTGTCCCTGGTTGGAGTTGGAGGCTGAGTGGAATAGACAGTCGAGAACAGCAGCGAAACACCGTCTTCAAGGGAGTCGAAGAAGTGTATGGCGTCTCCCGTGAAGCGCACCGTGAACGAGATGTAGGACGCGATCCTGGGTATTGGGATCATCTTCGATGTCGCTTTCGATGAGATAGTGAAGAAAGTGAAGGCTGCCTGGGTTCGAAGAGAGGTGGTCACGTTGCCGTCGTAGGTTTCTTCGATCTCGACGGCCGAGAATATGCATCTGCGCGCTGGGTAGCGGAAATCCTGAGACGCCAGAGCGAGCGCTCCTAGAGTCTTGATATGGTCTGAATTATCTGGAATGAGGTTAGCGTGATGAATTATGAGCTTTTTGAGCTCCTGGGGCAGTGGCGGAGGCGGCATATCGAGTGGAGGGTGTGGTTCTGGTCAACGTGTGAGGCTATGAGCGGCGTTCATCTGGTGCTCTCAGTTTGGCAATCGGCTCTAAACATAATACTGGCGCTGCACAGCAGGTCGCTCTCGACGTTGACCAGTACGACTACATTGCCAACCCAAGAAGAATGGCACCTTCGACTACGGACGTGCTCCTGACGGACCTACATGTCTCATACGTTCAGAAACTGGGCCAGGTAGGTTTATTTCCCGCTGGCATCCGCAAAGCAAGAACTCAAGCAGTTCGCAGAACAAGGATGACCTGACGTACCATCTCACCTCCCATCTGCGGCTCAACGCCATCTACTGGGGGTTCACAGCCGTGTGCATCCTGGGCCGCCCTGATGCGTTGGACAGAGACGAGATGATCGCCTTCGTGATGAGCTGCTGGGACGAAGAGGCAGGTATTGCACCATTTCTCGCTCGGTTGCGATGAACTCATCAGCATCGTCGGCGGTCGTTGTTGTAGGTGCTTTCGGGGCGCACCCGGACCATGACGCCCACCTACTCTCCACGCTGAGTGCGATCCAGATTCTCGTCATGCAGGACGCGTTGGATCGCCTGGACGTCGATCGGGTCGTGAAATGTACGTTGTCTGGCCTCGTATCGCGCATATATTGACGTTTGCTTCGTTCTACTAGTCATCCTGTCGTTGCAGCAGCCATCGGGTGTCTTTGCCGGCGACAAGTGGGGCGAAGTGGACACTCGGTTCCTATACTGCGCCGTAAACGCGTTATCGCTCCTCGGTCGGCTGGATCTACTCGATAAAGAGAAGACGGTGGGCTACATCGAGCGGTGTCGGAATTACGACGGAGGATTCGGGAACAGCATTGGTGCGGAGAGCCACTCGGCCCAAGGTGTGTCCGCAGTGCCAGTTGTGCACATCTCCGCCTTCATTTCGTTTCACATCGCCTGACTCGGTCGGTACGCAGTGTTTGTGTGCGTGGCAGCACTCGCGATCCTTGATAGACTCGACGTGGTGGACGTCGACACCCTTGCTTGGTGGCTATCAGAACGGCAGCTGCCCAATGGAGGATTGAACGGACGACCGGAGAAGCTTGAGGATGTGAGTCATCTTATAGGACGACTCCCATCTCCCGTGTGAACTGCCTCACATCGCTCCATTTACTGATCCGTGTCTTGCTGGCTTCGTTTAGGTGTGCTACAGCTTCTGGGTGCTGTCTGCGCTGTCGATCATCAACAAGGTCCCATGGATCGATGCCGAGAAGCTGAGCTCGTTCATTCTGTCTGCCCAGGTGCGTGTTCGATGCCGATGCCGTCCGGTTGACGAATTGCAGCTCTTCTGATTTCATTTCGCTGCAGGATCCTGAAAGCGGCGGAATTGCTGACAGGCCTGGGGACATGGTGGATGTTTTCCACACGCTGTTTGGCGTTGCCGGTGCGTTTCTTGACTCGGTTGCTGCACGACGCGATTGTTCATGCTGTAATTATTTCGGACAGGTCTGTCCATTCTCGGTTACCCAGGTCTGGTTGATTTGGATCCTGTGTACTGCATGCCTGCCAACGTCATCGAAACAAGGGGTCTCCGAAAGAACTGGCAGGCACTTCCCAGGAGACAATAAGTAATATAATCATTGTAGTCCTCATTTGTATTTGCATCTACATAACTAGTCATGAATTTCCTGTTGGCCGCACTGCCTCGGCTCTCCACGCCACTGCACGCCCATTGTACGCGGCATTGTGGGCCACTGGGCACAAGCGGCATCCGCGTGACCGCGTTGAGCGTGGCTTCCTGATTGGGGATGTCGGCCACTCGGCTTACGGCATACCGAGTCAAAATTTCAACGAGGCCCGGCGGTTCCCACGGTTGACAACCGATTACTTAAGGACCCCACGTCCCGTCGTCGTCTTTCTTTCTGCCCCTTCATTGTCTCCGACCCCATCGTTGTCGCCGCTCTTCTTAACGCCACCGCTGTTCTGCCCATCGTCATTACCATCGCCCGCACAGTGCTCGGTCGGTCGCAATGACAAACATGGGCTTTGCTAGTGGTTCAGCACAAACAAGCGGTCCTGGTCAGTTCCCAACAACCAACACGCTGGGCAACAGGTCCATCTCGGAACCTCCCGCAACGACCGAAGACGTCGACATGGACCCGCCTTTCCCTCGCTCGCACAGCGAATACACAATGAAGATACCTTACCAGTATACCAGCGATGTGAGTGGCCCTTGGTGTCGAGTGGCATCGCCAGCTGATTGCGCACAGACCCAGCAACGAATCGAACCACCCCCGGCACCGCGCGCGGTCTCGCCCGCACCAACGGAAATCGAAGAACCCGAATCGCAGGACATTATCGCCGCTATCCAGAGCAAGGGCGTCAAGGTCCGCGACTTTGGCTACGACCCCCTCCCCGTCACGGAGATGTTCGACCAGTACAAGGCTATCACCGAGGTCGACTACCGGTGGTCGCAGGGCCCCGAACGCCTACATGCTATCTCGGGGAAGACGTTACGCCGCCTGTTGAAGATCGGGTGGCTCACCCAGGAGGAGGTCGACCAGAACGCGTCGCCCGCGGACCTCGAGGAGTTGGCCAAGTTTGATGCGAGGAAGGAACACCCGTGGAAGACGTTTAGGCCCAAGAACAGGCCGACGCCAGACGAGAGGGAGAAGATGCTGTCGTTGAAGAGGCCGTATTGGTTTCAATTGGACAAGATCATGGCGGTGGCGGCGAGGGATGAATATCGGAAGAAGTTGGAGGCGGAGGAGGCGGTACTGGCTGCTGAGTCGCTGGCGAGGAGACTGGAGAAGGGGAAGGAACGGGGCGAGTTTCTGGGTCCGTTCTCGCCTAACGGGACGAAACGGTGTTTGGCGGAGGACGGCGAGGAAGTGGAACCGAAACGACGAAGACTGTCCCCCGAGCCTTACGAGGAAGAGGTGGTTACCCTCGTACCCCCCGAGAAGCAATACCCCGCACCCCTACATTCATACGACCCCGAGATCTACCCGGAAGCTGCTGGCATCATCGAGGCGTCGTCACAATCGCAGTCGCAACCGCGGCCTATCTTCCGGTTCGACACCCCGCCGCTCGAAGAAGAGCCACCGGCCCCACAAGAGAGCCCCGGCAGAGGCAACAAGCTCGTTCACCCCCGGAAGAACGGCATGAAGAGGGGCTTGAGTCGGACGCAGACGTTTGCAGAGCTGTGATTATCTTCCTTTCTTCTCTCTTTGCCCCTCTCTTTTCCTCTGCCTCCCATCTTCCTCCTCTCGTGCATTTGGACATGCGTTACCGCCGCCTCCCCCTCCTTCAGCCTCGCCCCGTTATTTTATTCCTGCCCGATGTACAACTTATGCTGAGACGCGTTGTTGTAGGACCGTATAGGTTGACTGTCCGCCCTACCCCGCGCTTCCTCCCTCCCATCCTTCTCGCACGACTACTCAACTTGCACCCGCCTTCGTCAGGGAGGCAAGAACACTCGGCCCTGGTACCTGGAACGCGGTCCTCAACGCACAAAAACACAAGATATGATATGGAAGATAGGGCCGCGAATTGGAATCCATGGTCGCTGCCGGCGACGATGCCCAAGCCTTGGGTATCGTCGGTCACATACAGGGATGCGAGGGTGCAAGTCATCGTGCTTTTCTTGGACGCTAGAAATATGGAACCATGATTGGAACGGCAGTGTATAGTTTCTGTTTCTCTCTTTTATTACCCTGTTGTAGTTTTAATGCTTCTGGTTATACTCTTATTGTTCATGCTTGATGGATACTTAACACTGTTGGCAATATACGCTATTCAGCAGCTTTGCTCTAGTCAAACAGTATGATCTTTGAGACGAAGTCGAACCTCAGAATCTGGAGTGATTACCCTTCGTATTGTGTACGTTTGAGGATTACCGTTTGATGAACCTCCCTACAACGTGCCAAAACAGATTCTCTTCGTCCTCGCCCTCTTTACCCCACGCATCAGACTCACGCCACGCGCTCTCCACCGTCCCATCGCCCACATCGAGCTGCAGCTCCTTCACCCAAACGTCGGACGGCCGGTCCATCCTACACCCGTCGAACGCACGAGCCCACAACGGTGCCCAGAACCGCTGCCACCACGCCACGTCCTCACGAGGGCTCAGGACGTGCTCGTACACGAGGAACTGGCCCTCAGGCTTGAGCACGTCACGCACGAGATTCGTCAGGGTTCGCTGAGGCTCGGGGATAGTGCATAGTGTCAGGATGGAGATCATGGTGTCGACCGGGGGCCCGAGAGCCTGAGCATTGGTGGATGGGAGGGCCTGAGAGAGGGCGGATAGGATGGACGTGGCGTCTTCGGCACCGCAGGAGAGGATGACGAGGGTCCCGTCCGACTCGTGGTACCCGGCTGCGTTGGCCTGTGCACGTATGTGTTCGTGCATGAGCTCGTTGGGCTCGAGGGCGACATAATGCGTCACTCGGGCTCTATCGAGGTATCGAACCGTATGTCCATGACCTATATTCCGCGCCAACATCGGTCAGTGCGTTCCTTTATCAAATGCAAACAGCAGAATCGACGGACCTGCACCGATATCGAGGACTACGCCATAGGCATTTGGCGTAATCAACCCTTCCTTGACCTCCTTCCCACCCGTGTCCACGCCGTCGCCAAAGACAGCCCAGACATGCGCCATGAACACGCGCGAAAGCTGATACGGACGGAAAACCAACCCTGGATTCTGGAAGATGGAGGTGAGAGTTGGTATGATCGCGACTTGGATTGCAATACGCAGGTCTGACAGGAGGCTAAACGCGTTTGCGAGCTTCATGGTGGGGGTCCGGGACAGAGATGCGAAGAGGCGCTTCGGGCGATGATCATTGACATGATGGTGGTGGTCGGTTTATAAGGAGAGACGTGATCTATTTTTGGCGAATTAGTCAGACGTCTGGTGGGCGCCTAAGTGGAAGTCTGGTATTGGCGCTGGCTTGTAAATGGTCGCTAGGGTGACTTGATTATCTAGAACTTGTAGGCGAAAGAGGCGATTTTAGCAGTCCGTTGGGCTCTGGAGTCTGGAGTGCTGTGTTCATCATTCTTTCATTGTGGTTGGCGTTGAGGTCGAGTTAGCGAGAAGGCTCTGGTGATCAGAAGTCGACAGAAGCGCTTACTTAGAGTGAACCGAACCCAGACATAATAGGTATGAGGTGATAGCGGGGAACTGGATGCAAGGAGTCAGGACCCCAGACATAGCATGCATAATCACCTTTAATTTTAATTTCTCCCCTTGCTTCCTTCGACTTTGAAGACCTAAAGTGAGGAACGGGCTCTTTATTTCTATGCTTCCGTAGATATAGGCGCACAAATCGCTCCATAAACACATTTCAATCCATCTGGCTGCCCGCATCCGAGTTAAGACACTTGATCTTGCGCGGCATCTGGAAAAGAGCTCTTGGGTCTTGGACAACTTGGCGAATAAAACCAGCCAGCATGCGTCCTTATGTGTCTTGAAGAGACGTGCCTACTGAACAAATCAAAGAAGGCTGGCGTGGTAGCGCATTGGAATACATAAAAAAATTCAGTCTCAAAATCTTGGAACCTCAGCGGAATGCCGGGCCGTTGTTGACTTGAACTTTCCGCCAAGGCTACGCTTCTTGTCTACAGCATCCATCTACCCTACCAGCGCCATGTCTTCTTCATTCCCCTCCCTCCCTCAAGAGTTGCTAATCCAGATCATGATCTGTCTCGACAGTCATTCCATCCTTCACATGGCGCTTGTACGTGGTATTTTACTGGAAAACTTGTTGAACGTTGAACGCTACGACACGGGCATTTTGGTCTGTTTTCATCCAGAGCTGCCGTTCTTTTCACGAGGCCTTCCGAGAGTCAAAACGCATCCGTTATATCTACGAGCTCGGAATGAACTCTTTGCAGGACGCTGGATCGGGCAAGCCGACTGATGAGCTGCTTGGCCTCCTGCGAGATCGGCAGAAGGCATGGGCAACCCTCGAATGGAAGAGTGTCCTGCAGATTCCGCCAACCCACGATCGCTTTGAAAAATCTGCTGGGATATTGGCGGGGCTCCATGTGGACGGTATTCGAGTCGTCTATCTACCGTCTTCCACCCAGCGTGTTCGTACCATCCACCACTCGATTCACGACATGCCCTTCTTCAACCATTTTGCCATCGACGCTAATCAGGATCTGATCATTCTGGTGGAAATTGTGTGAGTCTTCCTTTCCGTTGGACTACCCAGAGTTGATGTGTGATTCCTTAGACCATTGTCGAACAAACGACGTATCGGTCTTCATTGCCGCACAATCTCGACGAACGAAGCCCATCCTAATGCAAGCTCTGGCGGTATCCTCGAAATCGAAATACGTAAGGAGGCATATGCCGTAGCGCTATTCTCGATGAAAGTTTGGCTTGCGGACAATGTTGTGGCATCTTGTGGGGCGTGGAACGGGAAATTCATACTTCTACTTTGGAATTGGACTACAGGCCTGCTTCTCTTCGTCCGTCTTTCGAGCTCCTTCACCATCGTGCTTAGAAACCCTGACCGCGGTCCTCCAGAATTCTTGCGAGGATGTGCTGCCATGCCCTTCCCTCGACATTGAACTCCAGTTCGACTTCCTCCGGCAGGACGCATTTCTCCTGGCGGAAGCCTGGAGCGGCCAAATCTTCATCTACCGATTCTCCCCTACGACCCCCGGAATACCCGTACACGTCGCCTCGTTTGGGCTCCCACCCACTGCACCGCTGGCCGACGCGTCGTATACACGGGTCATTTCGGGGCAATTCCAGCCACGGCCTACGCCAGGGATGCCCTTCATGCACTTGCCTGAGTCCCGGGTGCACACCTTTTTCATTAACTACCTCCATATAGCCTATTTGTTATTTGTCCGGAGTTCGACGTTCCTAAGGTACGTGGATGCAACTGGTGTCAGTGAAGCACAGGACGTGCCATGGGAAGTGTGGGGTGAAAGGGAGAGTCGGTTTATGGAAGTGGACACTGAGGGTGGAAGGTATCTGCGAGTTCTCTCTCCATTCGCCTGCAACATTTTTGCTCATAATCTCGCAAGGAACATTAATGGAAGCGATGCTATCAACGCTCATGGAAGCCGTGTTATCCACGGATTTCCCGATAGAACCACCATCGAGGTGCTAGATTTCTCCAGCACTCAGGCACGTCTCGCCTCTCCTGTCTGCACGCGATATGGATCAGACAATCCTACCATTGTGCCGCGTAAAGAGGTATTCACCCAAGACGTCGTGACTCGCCTCCCATATTGGGCAGTCTCGAGGGCGATGGAGGGAGAACCAGACGCATACATGATCGACGAGGAACGCATTATCGTTTTCGATGTGGGTCTTCTCCGCTTCTTCATCACACCGTCTACTGATGCTAATTCTGTCTGATTCCACTTTCTCTCAGAGATCCGACACTAGTGACATACGAGTATATTCCCTCTGAGCGTGGCAGTAGGCAGACATGCACCCGCGTCGCCCCTCGCGTCGCCCCTCGGCCTTGAGGACCCTAGACCACTTATTAAACTTGCCCTTCGCCCCAGACGCACTACCGCCGGGATTCTTGTCATTCTTTTTCTGTGGACTACATTAGGGAAGGCTCAACCTTCTCGAATGCCGCCCATTCTTACACTCGAGCCGGCCTCAAGGGCATACGAATCGCAACCAGCTTTCGCTAATCTCGCTTCTTCCTCGTGAGTGTATGGATAAAATAGCTGGTCCAAATAGGCAGAGGGGTCTGTTGACCAAGAAACCGAGAGAAGCGCTTAGAATAAGTCATACACGAGTACTCTATGAGACATCGTGTAAATAAACACCGGGAAGGATCCATGGTAGACATAGGGTGGTGCACCGTGCACGATTGCCTTTAACTTTGACTCTTGCCCTTTCACTTCATCAATATTACTCGATGAGGGACGGTCTGCGTCCGAATTTCTTTGCCATCCCAGACTTGAAGTGCACGAGCTTCTCCACAAACAGATTTTAACCCATCGGCGGCCCAGATCGATCCGAGCACGATACACTGGGCGCACCGCACCGTAGTTGCAAGCCCAAAACAGGTAAATTTTGGATAAAAGTATTGCATTGTGTTCACCGAACAATTAGTTTCTTTGTGTTTTCAAATTTGGGTAAAATCACGAAAGGGGTCATTTTTAGCGATAACAAAGAGTTTGCAAAAAAAAAATGATAAAAGCAGGGTAAGTCAAAGGGGTCAAAGGTCACCGTGCTTGTAGACCATGCGCGGGTTCGCAAATGGTGTAAAAGTATGGTGGCTCTAATTTCATTAGATTTGTTTTTGCTTACTTCGGCCAAAATTTCGTAGTCTACTTTTTACCGTATTTGTAGTGTCTTTGAGCTGGCAAGTATGGTGCTGTGCACCCAGTGAGACCGACACGAACAAACCAAGGAGGCCCGCCAACGCGGCAGCCTGGTGGCAAAAAATGCCGTCTGGGGAAGCCGGCCCGCCTGCGTAGGCTGCCAACCCACATCTTGTCAACAACATCCATCCACCCGCGAGCGCTATGTCTTCTCCATTGTCTTCACTCCCTGAAGAGCTGCAAATCGAAATCATGATCCATCTCGACAGTCATTCCATCCTCCAGATGGCGCTTGTGTGTGATATTTTACTCGAAATAACTCCATGATACTAATGGTATTCTTATCTAGACCTGCCGTGCTTTTTACAGGGCCTTCCAGTCGACGCCCATCCGTTACATCTACGAGCTCGGAATGAACCCTCTGCAGGATGCTGGATCGGGAAAGTCGACCGATGAGCTGCTTGTTCTCCTCCGAGATCGACAGAAGGCGTGGGCAACCCTCGAATGGAAGAGCTTAACAACGGTGGAGCTTCCACCGAATCAGCAATCTTTTAAACAATCTGCTGGGATACTGGCCGAGCTGGGTGAGACCGATGTTCTGGTCGTCTACCTACCATCTTCCACCCAACCTAGCCGTACCCTCCGTCACTCGATTGACGGCATGCACATCGACGATATTGCGATTGACGGAAACCAGGATCTGATCATCCTGGCGGGATACTTGTGAGACTTCCCTTCCGCTGGAAGCACGCGGTGCTGAATTGGTTAGTGAATTGCCGGATAAACGGCGCATACGTCTTCACTGCCGTACAATCTCGACGAGCGAAGTCCATCCCAATGCAACCGCAGGCGGTATCCTTGAATACGACATACATGAAGACAAATATCGCGAACACAATTTGGTAACGATGCAAGTTACACTTGCAGACGACATCGTCGTTGTGGGTACTGGCGAGAAGGTCACCCCCAACTCCTGCTTTGGAACTGGACTGCGGGGCTACTCCTCTTCGTGAGCCCTTCGAGCCCCTCTATGACCGTGATCAATACCCCTGACTTCTGTTCTGCAGAATTCATTCGAGGACTTGCTTCCGGACCGTCCCCTTAACCTCAGCTTCGACTTCCTCCGACGAGACGCCTTGCTCTTGACGTCGGCCACCTCTAGCGGCCAGATACTCGTCTACCGCTTCTCCCCTACAGCACCTGGAATACCTGTGCATGTCGCCTCGTTTGGGCTGCCGCCCATTGTACCGGCGACCCGCGTGTCGTACATACGGGTTAGTTCGGGGCAATTTCAGCCGCGGCCCACGCCAGGGATGCTCTTCATGCATTTGCCTGAGTCCCGGGCGCTGACCTTCTCCATCAACTATTACCATCACCTTTATACGCTGTTTGTCAGGAGTTCGACGTTCTTAAGGTATATGGACGATTCCGCAAGTGGTCTTAATGAAGCACGGGATGTGCCATGGGAAATGTGGGGCGAAAGGGAGAGCCGATTTACAGAAATGGATCACAACGTGTCGAGTCGGTAAGTTCCTGTATTATCTCTCTTCGTCAGCCTGCAACCTTGTTTTCTCCTCATTCTGTAAGGGGCATCCATGGAAGCCGTGTTATTCATGGATTACATGACGGAACAAGCATCGAGGTGCTGGATTTCTCAAGCGGTCTGCCGTGTCTCGCCTCTACCATCTGCAAGCGGCATGGATCAGACAGTCCTACCGTTGTGCCACGCAAACAGATATTCTTACAAGACGTTGTTACCGCCCTCCCATATCGTCTCGAAGGTGATCGACGCGAGGCGACCTGTAATTCAGAACATCGACGAGGAACACATTGTCGCATTAGATGTAGGTCTTGTGCACTCCTTTGCCGCCCCCACCTACTGATGTTGATTCTGTCTGTATGATTTCTCTAAGAAATCTGACATGCGGGTGTATTTCTTTTGAGCATGGTAGTAGACAGATATGCAAATACGTCGACTCCCCGGCCTTGTGGACCCTCGACCATTCAAACTCGGCGTTTACCCTAGATCCACGACTGCAAAGAGTCTCACCACTCTTTTTCTGCCAAAGAATGTTTCTGGCGGGGGGATTCTGCTGCCCACTTCAGAACTTGAGCCGGGGTGAAGAGGCATACAAGATCCGCACTCGTGCCTTTAGTTCTGGCCCCTGCTGCCTTTGATCTCGTAGATACAGATGAGCAACGGTCCTTCTTCCTCCGAACTCCTTTCCCTCCCGTATAGCTCCTGAATTCTTCGATAGACAGCTTTCAATCCGTCTGGCTCCCCGAATCGAGATTCAGATGTTTGAGCCAATGCCATCAGGGAATTTATAAGAGGTCTTGAGGACAGCTTCGATAAAACCAGCCGGCACGCATACTTCCGTGTCTTCAAGCACCGTGTCGACCGAATGAGCCCAAGAGGATCAGGGTACCAGCATTTTGGATTTAAAAAAAAAAAAAGAAAATCAGTCTGGAGTTCCAGGAATTGCAGCGCAGTGCCGGGCCGTTCTCTCCGCCAAGCCGGTGCTGTTGAACTCTTCTTGCCTACAGCATCCATCTACCCTGCGAGCACTATGCCTTCTTCATCCCCCTCCCTCCCTCAAGAGTTGATAATCGAGATCATGAACCGTCTCGATAGTCATTCCATTCTTCAGATGGCGCTCGTACGTGATATTTTATTCGAAACCTTGGTACAAATGCTACGACACTGACGTCGTTATCTAGACCTGCCGTTGCTTTTACGCGATCTTCCAGTCAACACCTATCCGTTACGTCTACGAGCTCGGAATGAATTCCCTGCAGGACGCTGGATCGGGCATGCCGACTGATGAGCTGCTTGTTCTACTGCGAGATCGGCAGAAGGCATGGGCAACCCTCGAATGGAAGAGCTTGACGACCGTGAAGGTTCCACCAAGTCGAGAAAACTTCAAACGATCTGCTGGGGTGTTAGCACGGCTGGACAGGGACGAGCTTCTGTCGTCTATCTACCATCTTCCACCCAATCTAGCCGTACCATCTGCCATTCGTTTCACGGCATGCAGGTCCACGATTTTGCCATCGATGCTAGCCAGGATCTGGTCGTTCTGATGGTATCCTCGTGAGCCTTCATTTTCTTTACTCGTAGCAGGCGGGGTGCTTATGTTTGATCATTTATCAAAGTGGCGGGTAAACAGTGCATCAATTTTCACTGCCGCACGATCTCGACGAACGAAGTCCATCCCAACGCAACTACGGCCGGCATCCTTGACGTATGTCAATACATACCCGCAAGCCATCTGCTGTCGAGTCAACCTCGAATCTTGCTTGTGGACAACGTCCTTGCACTTTGTGTAGAAAATATCGACCTAATCCGACTTTGGAATTGGACCACAGACCTACTCCTCTTTGTGAGTCCTTCCAATTACTTTATCACTGGTCTTAATTCCCCTCCAGGATTCGTTCAACCATGTGCTACGAGACTATCAACGCGATCTGCGAAGTTTCGAGTTCCTGCGCCGAGACGCCTTTATCGTAACGTCGGAAACCGAGAGTGGCCAGATACTCGTCTACCGATTCTCTCCTACGACGCCCGGAATACCTGTGCACGTCGCCTCGTTTGGGCTGCCACCCACTGCACCGTCCTTTTCGCCGGGTGTCTACTTGAGGCTCGGGCAATTCCAGCCACGGTCCACGCCAGGGATGCTCTTCACGCATTTGCCTGAGTCACGGGTGCTCTGCTTTGTCCTCGCTTATCCCTATCGAATGTACTCGCTATATGTCTGCAATTCGACGTTCCTGATGTATGTTGATAACTCCGGGGCTGGTGCCAGCGGAGTGCAAGATGTGCCTTGGGAAGTCTGGGGTGAGAAGGAGAGCCGGTTTATGGAAGGGGACTTTGCAAATGCAAGTTGTCTGTGAGTTCTCAGGATTCTCTCCTCGTCTGCCTGTAACCTTGTTCTCGCATCGCTGTTTCATCAGGGACGCTCATGGAAGCCGCGTTATCTACGGATTCTCTGACAAATCAAGAATCGAGGTGCTAGATTTCTCGAGTATTCAGCCTTGTTTCGCATCTCCTATCGGCAGGCAATATGGATCAAGCAATCCTACCATCGTTTCATATAAAGAGGTATTCATCCAAGATGTCGTGACTCGCCTCCCATATTGGGTCGTCTCGAGGGCGATGGAGGAGGAATCGTTCAATAGAAATTATATGATCATGATCGACGAGGAGCACATTATCGCATTAGATGTGAGTCTTCCATCATACCCGTGTATTGATACTGATTCTATCTGATTACACTTTCTTCCAGACATCTGACATACGAGTATACTCGTTTTGATCATGGTAGTAGGCGGACATGCAACTATGTCACCTTCGGCTTTTTGGAGCCTAGTTTCCTTAAACTTGGTCTTTACCCCAGAGTCCGAAATGCCTGGAACTCTTGTTTTTCTGCCAATCAACGCTGTTGGTGGGAAGGCACAAGTTCTCAAATCTTGCCCATTCCTGCAGCTTTCAGAGCATATAATTAGAGCCTAATTCGAGTACCTAAGTCTGCATGTCACAGCAGATACAATGCTGCTCAAGTATGAAGGACCTCACTCGATGCTATTCGCGGGCCAATGTGGCTCGCCCCGAGTCCATTTTCACTGCGGAATAAGTACGATTGACCACCCTGACACAGCTCCGTTCTAATTCTCAATCAATTCTTTCAAGGCGGGCGTAGCAGTGCCGGACGTACACTATACAGTATGAGTCCTTGACGGTCGGGCGAAAGTTGATATAAATCGATCTATTTTTATGTAACGAATCTATTGTTAGACTGTAACTCAAGGTGAACGCATTGCTCGCTATAGCTTGCCTATCGCTCCTTATAGGCATAATCTTGCACCTGCATTCACACAAGCACCTACGGCGCAGGATCGGCGCAGGTCGGCGCCGCTTACCTTCCGGCGGGTGTCGATCAACCTTATATAGAGCCAAAGCCTCTTGCTTCCCAACCGTCAAACCGTCGAGCTCTTCGCCCCTCTTCTCTGCTGTGCCAATGTCCCAAAGCGAAAGAATAAACGCGCAGATAAACTTTGCAAAAGTATTTGGATTCAGCTCAATCGCTGCAGCCGCGGTATTCGTTGGACTTTACGTCCCAATGTTTATATTATTCGTCTTCAAATCGTTCAAAATCCCGACATATGTTCACTACGTGCTCTCATTCTTCTGCCTGAGTAAGTGCTTAACGAGTTGCGTTTCATATTTTTGTTCTCAATCGTCGATTCTAAAGTTCGAATCGCTGCATTCACCCTGCGAATCGTACTAACAGCGTCAGAGTCAGCGGGGGAGAACATCGGCATCCTCATCGCAGACGAAGTGCTATTCGGAGTTGGTTTCTTCGGTCTCCTCTACTCAGCATATACCCTCGTCCTCAATCTGTGAGCTCTCCTCCCTTTCGCCGCTTCCCGCGTTTGATAATTTCTTTAGGGAGTCGTTATCGGATCGACCACCTACAACGAATCCAATCATCCGCCTCACGCAAAATAGACGCATGTTCAGGCTGGCCCTCCTCGTAGCAGTTGTCATCGGAGTGGTCGCAGCATCCGGTTCGAACGGGGGCTTAAATGATAACACATCGAGCGCCTTGCGTAAAACCAGCACGTCTATCTTCCTCGTCCTTACCGTCCTGCAAGCTTTCCAGACCATATACCTCGCCCAAACGAGGATCTCAGGTATGTCCCTAACCCGACCTCATTCCACCACCTCATCTCTGATCATTCTGCCTCCGCAGAGCCTGAACGGTTCAAACGGATGCAGAAATCATTTGGCACCCGGCACGGAATCTTTATTCTTGTCCTGATCTCGCTCTTGCTCCTCATCCGCGAGGTGTTCGCCGCCGCTACGGTCGACGACCACGTCAAGCAGAACAACGAACATTTTTGGTACCCCTTGCTTGCATTACCGGAGATACTGGCTGTGGTACTGTATGCTATCCCCGGTTTGGTGCCGAGTAAGGAGGAGCTGAGGGCGAAGGAGAGGGAGGAGTTAAACGGGTATGGGGATATGAAGATGGTAGCTGTTCAGCCTTGAGAAATTTCATTGCCTTTTTGCGTATGGATTTTTATTCGTTCGATAATCACCTGAGAAGTCTCGCGACGTATTATACAATAGTTTCTAGAAATGAATCGTGTAGTACACGGTTAAGAGCCATCTCTTTAACTCCGACAATCGAGCGTCGCGCGCCGCATGTTCACAGTATAGTTCATGAATGATGAAAGCCTCCACGAAACAGCCATCCAGCACGTTCACCCAGCCGCTCCCACCCCACCATCATTAATACGGAAAAGAACATATTTTTAGCTATATTTAACCTCCTATCGTCCAGGTGGCGCAATCTCCTCTGCGCAAAACTGGCTTCCGTCGAGTTATGCTCCCATTCGGCTTGTTAGGCAAAGGAAGCCCAACGTCTCCAGCCTGATATCGCGAGACACCTTCTTGTGCTCTTACATGATGGCATAGCGGGTCTTGGGGAATTGACCGCGCCAAGGGCAAGTGCGCCTCACTTGATGTGTAAGGAAATTACGCTTCGGCAATAGCCGTCGGAAGACATGGGTGAGGCGCGGGCACAGCAGCAGCCTCTCTGTGGTTTTATCAACGCATCGTGGAGCGCAAAGCCATTAGTTACAGGTATGATAGATAGGATAAAGACGAAAGAAAGAGATGAACCTAGGCAGCCAAGAATGCCTCAATGTCGTCCCAGTAGAGGTTGGCACCTGGGAACTGTTTGCACACAAGCTCCCAGGCCCATTCGAAGGGGGTAGAGTAAGTGATGTCCGACCCATCGGTTCCCTTGTTAGTCCCACTGGTAAGCAACGAAATATACTCGCCCTTGGGGGAGACGATGGTGGACCCAGAATCGCCTCCCTTGGAGAAGGTACCGGTCTCGTTTTCATGAGGGAGAATCGGCAACTCTATAGACTCCAGATTTCCCGTAGGGAAGTACTTGCGGGCAAAGGACATATATCTGCTAATCGTGCCCACTGTAGTTTTGGTAGTGAAGCCGCGCTTAATAGCACGACGAATGGGGTCACCTGTGACATTCTTGTTGTCAGGGTTGCTGATTTGTTGGGAGGTGAGGAGAGGAAGGAGGCCGTCGGTGGGGTATTTGAAGGTCGACTTGACATCGTCACGTTCATAAAACAACGATTTGAGCTTCGTCGAGGTGTACTCGGGACCTAGATGGAAAGACGTAGACAAAGGTATAATTTAGATGAGCACATTCCAATTAGACAAAATTAGCACCAAGATTAAGCACGTTCCCAAGCAGATTGTAGAAGTTTTCCTTATACAACTGGACTACGCAAAGGTCTCGAGTATATTGGTGAGGAGGAACACCAACACCGATTGAGGGAGCCCAGACGACGTGTCCGATGACACGCCTCGTGATCTTGCCCCAGCGCCTTTTAATTACCGCAAAGAAGTCCTGGAGCGCGTTGATCTTGCCGCGGAGCCTGTCGCGCTCGGCCACGTGGGTGTTGAGGTCGATCTGCGGCTGTGGGAGGCCAATTCCATGCTGCATGTTGGATGTGTGCGTCTTTATTTTTTTCTCTATAGCATCTACAGAGTCAATGAGTGTTTCGATTTCTGCCTGGATGGAGGCCAGGTAGTTCGTGAAGGCAGGATTGCCCATCAAGACTACATGTATATTCGGCGCAGCGGCTGAAGGACCAGAATCAGAAAGTTCTTAAAATTGTCAAAGAGTATATGGATGGAAACGCACTGCTGAATTTGAACTCGTCGTTGCCTCCATCGGCAAGGAACAGGTTATGACGCACGGTGATGGCATAGAGCGTGTTGTCAACATGGAAGAATGGTCCCATAGTGCCTTGCATTGTCGTCTTGAGACCAGCGATGGGGAGACTGAGAGCAACAGAGACGGGGTCGATGAAATCTTTGCGATGGTCGACGATACCAACTGGAGCGAAGAGGGCTCGGCTAACCGAGGACTTGGGGACTGTCTCGCGGTACGCGATATCTATATCAGTGACATTGAGCCCGTTGAGGAAGCTACGGATGCCTTTGGTGGCATCGAATGCAGTGTCAGCGGTGAGAGTGTTGGGTACTACACCAACCCAGATGGTCGGGTTACTGTAGTGACGGTCACCGTCCTCGATAGGCTTGATAGGTGGGACAGAGTCGTAGTCGAAGTCTTCTTCACCACCGTCGTCCTCTCCCTCGTCCTCGTCTACCTCGACCTCCCCGTCCTTCTTCTTTTCGAGCCAGGTGAATCGAACAAAGTCGACACAGGCGATCTTGATCTTCTTGTCGTCGAGTAGCTCGACAACCTTGAGAACAAAGGCTAGTCAAGATATTATTGCATAACGCGAACAAAGGACACGCACTTTAGCCCGGACCCTTTCCCACAAGCCATCATTTCCGAACTCATGATCGTCTGGAACAGCAACCAGGCGCATGAGTCGCTTATATTCCTCAGGGCCAGTTGGTTCCACGTAGACGTCGGACGAATCCCTGTAGATGAGCTTGGGCCCGCGATCATTTGCACGGAGACCGGCGTAGTAGAGATGTGCCTCGATCCTGGAAGGCTCGTGGGGGGAGCTCTCGACAGTCGTAATGCTGGATTCGCTCTCGCTGCTGGGCCAGAGGCTGTCGAACTCGGAGGAGGAGGAATCGCTGTGTTCATCCGAGGATAAGGCGGACTTGCGTGCCTTTTCGATGCACTCTTTGTCGAATTCGGCAGTCTTCACGTACTCCCCGAGGTCTTCGTCCTCGACGTGAACGCGAGCGTGTTCCGTTAAGTGAAGAACACGAGTACAGGTGAAGAGCAACGAAACGTGAGAAGAACAAACCCACGGTTAAGGCCAGGAGGGTTGGTTCCAGGTGGAGCAGACGTAGTTCGATGAATGAGATTTCAAGAGTAAGCAAAAGTGTTGATAGAGCGAGTTGAGCAAAGTAAGTGTGGTTGGGGGAAGGGAAGGAAGGGCGAAGTGGCAGGTCATTATATCGATGATCACACAGCGTAAGATCGTAAAATGTGATCGTGTGCCATTTTATCTAATCTGTCATTTTTCCATGTTAAATCATATAATATCATATTATCGTGTCCCATAGATCTCTCATGGCTAATCTCAAGCCACGGTGGTAGGTGGAAGAAACCATCTCCAAGGCGCCATTAAAGATCGATAATGGTGAGCACCACCAGGTCTTGGAAGTTGGGTTCCGGTCAGATTCCGAGCAGACACTAAAATAGGTGGTGGCTCCGCTCTCCCCGCAAATTTCTCAGCCAAGAACGTGGACCTACACCCCCTACATCTTCATCGCACGTCCAGCGTAGAGTTCCCGCAAAATTGCCTTCATGGCTTCAAAGATCCCCGACCATTCAATCCGTATCTGTGCTGACAGAGGGGGCACGTTCTGTGACGTACATGCGTGAGTGTGCTGTGCTCTGCTGTGAAGGTGGCACAGTTAGCATTCATGAACTGACCAATATTTTTGGTAGTTCCTATCCTGATCCTGAAAACCTGCACGAGAGGAAGGAGATAGTCGTAAAGCTATGTGAGTTGCAATTGGAACTGCACTGCACGATCTGCTCATTGGCCACGTACTTCAGTGTCACAAGATACCGCAAATTACAACGACGCCCCTACGGAAGGAATTCGACGTGTTTTAGAGATTGTGACGGGCGAAAAGATCCCAAGAGGATCCATACTAGAGACTGAAAAAATTGGTGCGTCGTTGTCCCTTCAACTCTTTATCTCTTTCTTACCAGATCACCAGACTACATCCGTCTATCGACGACAGTAGCCACCAATGCACTTCTCGAGCGAAAAGGGCACAAACACGCCTTGTTGATAACGAAAGGCTTCAAAGATCTCCTGCTCATCGGGAACCAATCGCGTCCAAAGATATTCGACTTGAACATCCGACGCCCGCCCCCACTCTACTCCACGGTCATTGAGGTTGACGAACGCGTGACGTTGGTCGGTTACACCTCTGACCCCCAGGCGGAGGAGCATGCGATTCAGTTTGACGAAGACGGGAAGGTGACCAGAGGTTATCGCGGTAAGGGCTGGGATGGTGTTGGAGATGCAGAGGGCCCCGGAGAGATCGTGAAAGGGTTGTCAGGCGAGGCCGTTAGGATCATGAAGAAACCTGGTATGTTGGCGCATATATCTCGAGCAACCGGCACTGAAGCGATTGCATCTCAGACGTCGCAGCTGTCAAGCAAGACCTCGAAAGGCTCTACGCAGAAGGCTTCCGGTCCCTCGCCATCGTCCTCGTCCACTCCTACACCTACCCAGCACATGAACGCCTCGTCGGCCAAGTTGCACGCGAAGTCGGGTTCACGCATGTCTCCGAGTCAGCCCAACTATTACCCATGATCAAGATGGTTCCTCGCGGCGTCTCCTCGACGGCTGACGCTTACCTTACGCCGATATTATGGGACTACCTCGATGGCTTTTTTAATGGCTTTGATAGCAAGCTGCGCGACGGGTCTCTGCGGAGTCCGAGGGTGGAGTTCATGGGCAGCGACGGTGGTCTTGTAGATTTGAACAACTTCTCGGGCCTCAAGAGTATCCTTAGTGGTCCGGCCGGCGGGGTGGTGGGGTACGCTCTGACGAGCTGGGATGAAAAGCTGAAACATCCCATCATTGGGTACGTTCCACCCTTCTTTCCTCCACCAAATTCTCATCTGGACACTATTACAGGTTGGACGTAGGCGGTACCTCAACAGACGTCTCTCGATTCCACGGTCGATACGAGGTGGTATACGAGACGACAACGGCAGGCGTCACTATCCAGTCACCTCAGCTCGACATCAATACCGTCGCTGCTGGCGGCGGGTCGTGCCTCACGTTCCGGAATGGCCTTTTTCTCGCTGGACCTGAAAGTGCTGGTGCACAACCTGGGCCAGCTTGTTATCGGTAAGTGTGGATATATGCGCATTTTGTGCTCATATATACACATCTTCCAACATTAGGCTGACCCCCTGCATGAAATTCAATAGGAAAGGAGGCCCGCTTGCTGTTACGGACGCGAACCTGCTTCTTGGTCGACTTATCCCAGACTACTTCCCCAAGATATTCGGCAAGTCGGAGAATGAGCCTCTCGATGTCGAGGCTTCTCGCTCTGCCTTCGAGAAGCTCGCAGAGGATATCAACAAAACACAAGAAAAGAAGCTGGAGTTGGACGAGATTGTTTATGGGTGCGCATACATTCACTTTTCTATCGCCCCTCGTTTCTCAACCCCAGCGATAGGTTCATCAAGGTCGCAAACGAGACGATGTGTCGCCCTATCAGAGCACTGACGGAGGCCAGGGGCCATGCGACCTCTAAACATACGTATGTCTCCCACTTCCTTTCGTTTTTCGCGCATATATTAAACATCAGACCACAGTCTAGCGAGCTTTGGTGGCGCAGGCGGGCAACACGCCTGTGAAATTGCAAGTTTGCTAGGGATCAAAACCGTCTTGATTCATCGATATAGTTCTATCTTGTCTGCCTACGGCCTTGCGCTTGCAGACCGGTACGCGGCCATCTCTCTTCCGTTCTCCACTTCTGCCTAAAGCCTACTCGCACAGCGTCTACGAACTTCAAGAGCCATCCTCGACGTCTTATACCCCGCAGAACGTTCCTTCCTTGATTTCTCGTCTCGACAAAATGACGGCGGACGTCCATTCGGAGCTCCGAAACCAAGGCTTTGAAGATCACCGGATCCATATCGAGCGTGTTCTGAATATGCGCTTCGAGGGCACGGACACGGCGCTGATGGTTCTGCCCACGGAGAAGGACGGCGATAGGAAAGAGGACTTCGGGGCTGCGTTCAAGAGGGTATACAAGTCGGAGTTCGGGTTCTTGCTCGATACGAAGAGCATTATCGTTGATGATATCAAGGTATGCTTCCCTTCTGGGAACCTTCGCCGTACTCATTGGGCTTGCTTCAAGGTTCGAGGAATCGGCAAGACCTTTGACTCGCTCGGCCAATCCGTCTACTCCGAGGTCGCCCAGCTATCCCAGCGAGCAGTAGACCATCAAGCGAAAATAGAGACACGCTACAGCGTATATTTCGATAAAGTCGGCCGGGTGGACGACACCCCTGTCTTTTTGCTCGACAACCTAGAGATCGGTGACGCGGTGGAAGGCCCTGCGATGATCCTCGATGATACGCAGACAATCGTGATCGTTCCAGGAGCGAAGGCGGTATTAACGAGCAAGCATTTGTATATTACGCTGGGGTGACGTCCGTGTCTTTGTGCCCATCCAAACCCAACGCAGACATATACTTAACGTTCGGCCCTACTTACCGCCTTTCTTGAACTTCAACTATTTTTTCTTAGATAGGATAAAAATTCTCTTGGCCCAGTATTCGGCATATCGCGGCATGCGATTTGCACTCGACGCTCACCTCTCCAAATTGTCAAGCAACATTTTCATTGCCCACCGACACATCTGCTTCTAAGAACCATCTGGAAAGTTGAAACGACATTTCCAGGCTCCAACCTGACTCTGGATGAGCCTTTTACGGCCTTGAAGACGAAGCTGGAATATGACGAACGCTCGATTGATTGTAGCAAAGAGAAGGGAGTGATCAATTGTACGTGGATGTCCAGATACCGAGGTGATACCTGCTAATAAATGGATTAGAAACGAGATGTCCGTTGCGTCAGTGAGTAAACGGTCGTGTATCTCTTCAGTTCTTGAACTGATAGGTTTTCGAAAGTGGAACAAGCGGCTTGAAGACTCAAAATCCATTACTCGTCTCGTCCGGAGTCATATAAACTCTCTGCGCCTAATCAATCGGCTACCTCAAAAGATCCTGGGGGGAATTTTTCATATCCCTTCAGCGAAAGATCAGTCCGCCCTTCCGACCGCCGCCCAGCGTATCAAGCCTCTTCCCGAAGGCAAACAAATGGATAGCGATCTGTCGCGTTTGCCTGTCGACATCATCGATATCCTAGAATCAAGATTCTACAACCAAGACAGCGAGAGAGAAGACACGAGCCCTGCCTCGAGCCTGAAGAGATTGCCTTGACTCGAAATGCTTAGGCTCTACTCTCGGCGGAGTTGGTCGGAAACTGAGATTTCGTTTTCTTTGATACGACAGGCACAAGGACTCAAGCTAACCAAGTCTCTACTAGACGGCGGTTGGACGATGTCCCGACATAGGAATGTTCCAGACGTGCGCGCTACATACAGACTGCGCCTCGACTGCGGAGGCGGGCTTGAAGAAGCAGCCAGCGGCCAGCTGGCAGAGAGTTGGGATGTTAACGCACGATAAGAGACGTTTGCATGCATGTCATATTTATTTCATCAAAGTTCCAACTGATGTGCTTTTATCACTACTAGTTCGAGGTCAATCTCGTCTCCCGAGCGCTGGATATGTGAAGAAGGGACACGAACGCGATGCCTCTCCGCCCAATCCAAGATGCTGTCGAAGTTCCTGCACTTGTGGTATGTGTTGAAGTCGGGGAAAGGCTTGTCCCAGCCGGAGATCCAATCATACCTGTGAAAATTTAATTGGTGTCGTTGAGGATTAAGGAGGAAGGTGGCACTGACGATATGACACCGATGTCGCTAGCGCACATGAGGTTCTGCCTAATCATCTCGATACAGTGGTCTAAAATTGATCAGCCAATTATCTCGTTTTCAAAGGTGCCAGCGCCGACCTAAATGGCTACGAATAAACTTGGGTCGCGTCGTCCACAAATTCTGGAGCTCAGGATACTCCTTCGGGTATGTGTACTTCCGGAGCATATTCTGCGACAATCGCTGTCAGCACATACATTGTTTCTTGAAGTTCGTCCTCTGCTTACAAGGCAGTGAAGTTGGTGGAAGACCTCGATGGAACCCATATTACCACCGCCGTCTTCGAGTCGGTACCTCACGTTAGAAGGTCTCCCAGCTTTGTGAATGCGCCTCAGGTCGTCATCTGAGAGGCGGATCGTCCACACTGAACAGTGAAGATAAATTTCTTCGTTAGTCGGTGCTTGAAGAAAAACTGATAAGTGATAGATGTTTCTTACGCGCGTTGTTTGTCGTGATGCGATCCCAAGCAGCGTCGATGGCTGGACTTGGGGGTCCCGCATACGGCGATGGGAAGTCGAGAGAGCCATTGAAGCGAATAGTTTCATAGTGAACGGCTTCGTGGGCTGGGGCTAGGAAAAAACTGGGTGAGGAGAAGGAATGTTCTCAAAAAAAGGGCGCGCTCACAGTACATTGATTGCTTTGAAGCGCACTTATTAAATTTCACAGAGCGAGAACGATGTAGAGATACCGCCCAGGTCAGGAACACGATGGTGTACAAGCTGATCAAGGCGCCATGAAGCGCCCAAGGCCACCACCGATGCCTTCTGACCTCGACAGGTCGGATCGTGAGCTGGCTCGAGAATGCTTTCTCTTGAGCGTCCTCGTCTTCGCCGGTAATCAGGGAATAGTTCTGTGAAGTGAATGACATTGAGGTTGAACTAGGAGGAAAGCAAGCTTCAAGATTCTGGGTATCTTGTGGCGCACAATTATCGCTCCCGGGATCCCAGGTGTCGCTTAAGCCGCCTTTTACCCCGACCCTTCAAGACTCTAAATCTCCTACACTACTCACGGGGTGTCGACTAAGGTGATTGCTTTCGGCTAATTTTCCGAATTCCGGTACCCGGTGCCAATTGGAAGGCGTGTATTTTTAGGAATAGATGCTATATTTGGACATTGGGGACAGATCACCGTGATTCGCGCGTGGTTCGATGCGTGCAGGAAAAAGAGAGAAGACATCTTAGTGCAAGTAAGCTTTTTCGACTAGGAAAAGAAGCATCAGACGAAAAAAGACGGCCATGAGCGGGGTTCCGCAATGCCTTTGTCGTTACGTGAAGAGTTCAGTCTGGCGCTTCTGCTCATGGTGACTTCGGCCAGGGTTCGACATTTCTCAACGAATCCCATCCCTACCATATCTAAAAGAGACTCTGAGAATCTAAAAATTACGCGAATTTCCGTCGCAGAAGGTGCTCATCATGCTCTAGGTTCAATAGGTGAGCTTCTCCCGCTAAACGACTCATGGTCATACAAGGAATCCTCATTTGTTGGGCAAAGTCATTCGACGGAAAGCTCCTATCTCCGGCGAGTGTTCCCTCGATTCCCAGAGCCGTCTACAATACATAGGAAGTAAGTAGCTACAGAACATTAAAGATTGTGTTGAGATTGCGCAAGTACTGCATACGCGCTGCTATTCCGGTGATCAGAATTATATTTCTATGAAGAAGCCGACTGAAAAGAAGGGAAATGCATTGATTGGTGTCTCGCCAAATTCTTCGCGCCTATTTACATGTAAGTTCTGGTGACTAAATTGAATAACCTGCCGTAAATCGAGGGGGAGTAAGCATGTCCACGGTGTCCGGGAGCCTAGTGACATGTTCACGGGGGATGTGAACCGCGTTGTCGTTCGCCCAATCGAGGATCTTCTGGTAGTTCCTGCACTGATGCTTGGTGTTAAAGTCCGGATATGGCAGGCGGAACCCTCTACAAGGATTACGTCAGCGTGCGCCACAATTACGGTGTGGGAGGAATTAATTACCTGACCCATTCGTAAGTGATCATGGCGACATCCGCAGAGCACATGAGGTTCTGACGAATTATTTCCACACAGTGGTCTACGCGTTATCAGATACGATCCGGAGCAGAGAAAACTGAGAAGTCATACCCAAGTGCGTCCGGAACGTCTTCGGGCTCGCGTCAACAAACGAGGGATCGAACGTCTCGTAGTACTCGTGATACACGTATTTCCGGAGCATGTTCTATGCCATAAGGATAAGCTTGTATTGCTTTCAGAATGGATAGAAACGCACCAGGCAGTGTAGTTGGTGGGTGATCTCGATGGTAGCCATGTAACCACCTCCGTCCTCGTCAGGGAACCTGACCTTAGACGCTGTGATCTTGACTCCCATTCTATCGAGCTGTTCCTTGGACAAACGAGTCGGCTTCACTATTTTCGAAAGTGTATTAGGGCTTTCGGTTGATTCAGTACAAGAGAGCTTTTACCTTCAGTTGAGATTCTTTCCCATGCTTCGTCGATCTGCGGGTTGGGATGGCCGCGGTAGATCGAGTTATGCTCAAATGTCCCGTTGAACGTCGTGAGCTCCCTGTTATAATCCGCAACAACATTGGCGGGCGCTATTTTTATGAGGAACGTATAGTTCATTCAAACACGAAAAGACGTACAGTAGATGGGATACTTAGGCTTAAGTTGCAAATAGGAGTGAATCCACAAGGCCATGAAGAGGAGGGCCAAGAACAAGAGGACACCGTGGCTGATCCACGGCCCGTAGCGGCGCCAAAAGAGGCGGCGGCGGGACTCAAAGGCTAGCTCCTGTTTCTCAGAACGGAGGAGCGTAGCCAAGGTCTCCTCCTTAGAGTCCTCTTCGCTGTAGCGGTCGACGGGCTTGTACTTTGCAGTGAAGGGGAACATTGCGCGATGGGTAGAAAGTGGGGACTGCACGGCCAAGGTCCTTTACTGGATCTATTCTCGAATATGTGGAGCGTCGAAGGTTCCGTAAAGGCAAATCCGATGATGTCCCCAGAAGCACACCATGCTGAACAGAGAAAGATAAAATTAGTACAAACGGACCCTGGTTTGGAGACGTTAAGGTTGAGAAGCGGGAATTGGAAAGAAAAAGACACAGGCGAGATATCGAGGCTGTCACGGAGAAATCTTCGCCGAACCTCATGCTGCAATTTGGCGAATCGATGGCAAGCAATGAGCCTTTCGGACTCAGTTGGCTATTTTAGGAATACAAAATTGCGAACGCCGTGTACTAAATTTAGAAATGGTTATGCTTCTTTGAGCGCCGTCAAAGACGAATGCAACCCACAGACACCGGTGTAGTGAAATGAGCACATTCCAGGCGCTACAGGTGAACTGTTAGAAGTTCTTCTGGCGGGGACCCCGGTAAGACCCTTAGTAATTGAAGACCATGAGACCTACCATGTCGTTCAAGATTTACGAGATAACACGGATTCACGCGGTATGGTTTTAGGACACTAGGACTTCGTGCTTCAGTTAGCTTCGACCATGATCCCTGTGGAGCTCATTTAAATAGGAGAGAGCCAGAACGAACAAGGCTACGGCCTACTCACCTTCGAGATCGACCTTAATTTTCCTCCTACAAGTTCACCTGACACCATGCAGCTCACTCGTGTCTTCCTCGGGCTCCTCCCTCTTTGCGTTGCCTCCTTGGCTGCGCCAATAATTAACAACGTCGAAATTGCGGTAAGGCACTCCAACTACGAGCCTGATGAGTGTTAGTTATTTTTTTCTGCTCATACTACAGTCGCGGAGAGCTGACCCTTGCCTTGCCTCACAGCCCTCCTGGGTATGTGCTCTCACCGAGCCTTGTAATGGCAGTCGAAGGACTAACTTTACTCTCAGCCGAATACGCCGACAAGCGAGGTCTGTTACCTTAGCATATAGGACAATTTTCGGTTACTGAATTTCCGACAGAGGAATTCACTGACGACATCCAAGCCATCTATTCCAAGCGAGGTGCGATTCAGATTAGACACAATCCTGACGGGACCCTAACTATTTTATGTATAGGGGAGTTCACGAACGACATTCCTTTCGTCAGTGTGAATACTTATTAAATTGCAGAGGAGTTCACGGATGATATCCAGGCAATTTATTCCAAGAGGGGTACGTCCGTTTTTGTTCAATCGGCGAAGGGCTCACCGACATCTCCAAAAGAGGAGTTCACCGACGACATACAAGCTATTTACTCCAAGAGAGGTACCTATGCCTTATTATAGAAATGAGAATAGATACTGATAAGTACCTTGGGTAGAGCCTGAAGAATTCACCGACAACATCCAAGCCATTTACTCCAAGAAACGAGGTATGTTTTCAATAATTTCATTTCTAGTCACATGTCTAACTTCTCTCAGAGGAATTCACTGACGACATTCAAGCCATCTACTCCAGGGGTGAGTAAATAATCAAGGCAGCACTGACGGACGCGATTTGATCCACGGAACAGAGCAGTTTACCGACGACATTCAGGCCATTTATAGCAAGCGAGGTAAGTCCTAACATTTCCATTTCGCTATAGAGCGCGAGCTAACGGGAGGCCACAGAGGAATTCACGGACGACATCCAGGCCATCTACTCGAAGAGAGGTGCGTCAACATCCTCAGGATTCCCGACTCGGATTTCGAAGATAAACAGCGTCAACTATGATAGAGCCTGAGGAGTTCACCGACGATATCCAGGCTATTTACTCCAAGCGCGAGGAGTTCACGGATGACATTCAGGCGATCTATTCCAAGCGCGGTGAGACCCAGTCTTCTTCGAATTTTGAGCTGCCAGGGACTGAGAAACATCTGAACAGAGGAGTTTACCGATGACATCCAGGCGATCTACTCAAAGAGGGGTAAGTCCCAGTTCTGGTCCTTCAGGATAGCAAGAATCTGACACAGTAACTTAACAGAGGAGTTCACCGATGACATCCAGGCCATCTACTCCTAATTCTCTCCTCGTAGAGAAACTCTAGCTGGATGGGTCTTGACGAGGTCGTGAACCGAGTTTTCTTCCGCTTTGTACGAAATTCGAAATCCATCTCGTTGTATCTGCTGTATTGAGTCCTGCCAATCATCAAATATGTGCTGCTGCTTTTATCCGTCTGGAGCATGTGGAATAGTTACGACAGCCGATTGTCTGACCCTGTTCAATGTTCAACGTTGGATGTAGGAAACAGGAATCAAACGTGCACCATTTCTAGAACTAGACCATGGGGCGTCGGAAATGGGCACCATTTCCAGTAGTCCTAAGAACAAGAAAAATTAACTCTATTTCGAGCTTGAAAGCATCTAAACGAAAATAAAAACGACAAATCCCGTGGTCATACCCCAATAACGAAAAGATAAACACATTTCAGCAGTGGTATGTTTCAGTCCGTATGCAAGCGAAGCTCTTCGTGCGGTGGCTTCTTGTACCGGTCCGAGTCTCGAATCAAGAATAGCACAGACGAGCCCACGATGATAATCGCCTATTCGTTTTGATTTTGATTCCAAAAAAGAGAATGGAAGAAAAAAGAAAGTCGCATTGGTGTCAGAACGAGGGAACGTAAAGCGAGGTTGACGTACCGCATGCACGTAGAAGAGCGTTCGCGGAGCTGAGGCGATCGTTCTAAGAAAGAGACAAGACCGGAAGCGATTCAAGTTAGCGAGCGGGCATCAAGGGCAAGGGAAGGGCCGCCGTGTTCAAGAGAGGCCAATTCGGACTGGAGTTCGAACCGGGACACTCACGCTGTCACAACGCTACCCATGACGATGGGGGACAAGATCATCCCCACACTCGAGACCATCTCGATCGCAGCGAGGGCTTCGCCCTGCTTCAAAGGGTCGACAGAGGACACGACTAAGGAGCGGAAGACCGGGGTGCGGCCGGCACCGAGGCCGATGCAAACAACAGCTGCAAAGCAGAGAAGTCAATTACGAATCAACGAGGCTTGAATAGAGGGTAGAAGGGGAGAGAAGAGAAAGGAAAAGAAGAGGTAGAAGGAAGGAGGGACACTCACAGGCAAGCTGCGTTGCAATTGTCGATGTCATCCCCACTACTATGTAGGCCAAAGCCTCCACACCCCACGAGACGATGGTGATGTGCACATCCATGTGGTCGGAAGTCTCTGAGACGACTTGTGCTTGTGCATCTTCTTCTTCCTCGTTTCCGCTGCCGTCTGACGATGAATCGGAAGTAGGTCTATCAATTGGTGTGGGATCTTGTTTTCGTGCGTAGAATGGTTTGAGGACGCGAACGATGACGGGGATGAGGGCTGTGAGGACGAAGACGCCGGTTAGGCTGAGAGTTGTTAGGACGTATCCAGTCTATTAGTACGTGGATTAGTGTGATGAAGCCGAAAATGAAGACAAGAGACATACTTGAGCTGGGGTATACTTATACTGGGTCGTGAAGTAGAGGATCATCCCAACAACGGCGTACGAATCCGCGAGGCTGACGAGCAAAATATGGATGGCGCAGTAGAAAAGCCGGTTGTTATATCGCCCAACATCCGCATCGTATGTAGGAACCAGTCGCTTCAATGGCTCGAATACGACCTTGATACCATGCCCTCCATCCGTCCTCTGCCGCTGAAGTTCCTCTCTCTTCGATGCTGGGAAGGATTCAGGAAGGATGAACGCGATGTAGAGACAGATCGCTACGAGGAAAGACACGCCAACGATGTAGATGGCGATCATGCTGCCAGTCTGCGTCGTAATTGTCCCCCCAAGAGAGAATGACAGTGCTCCTCCCAACGACGACCACCCTGCGATCCTACTGAGAGCTGCAGTCCTAAGGCAAAGTCAGAACGTGGATATATGCGCCTGAAAATGTCGTACCTGTCCTCTGCTCTCACCACATCGACGATGTAGGTGTTGATGACGAAGATGGTTGTTATTGGATTTGATAGTGTCTGGGAAAGCACCCACAGGCCCAGGAAGAGGAGCTGCATCCATCCCTGTGCGAGTTGCGACACCATGACAAAAGACTGGGCGGCTATCCCGAGGACCAAGAAAGTTAATAATACGGGTTTCCTTCCGACCTTGCCAGCAAAATAGCTCGCAGCACCACACCCAACCACCGCTGCGACAAAATCAACACCCTTCCACGAGAACGAAATACGGAAACTCACTCCCAACCCCATCAAGAGCAGCCAAAACGGACAAGAACGCTGCGTAGTACTTGTCTACTTCTGGTATCTCGCATAGCTCGTCCGGAATCCTCCCAATAGGTGGTATGCTGCTCGGATCGTGCAAGAGGTACCACAGCCGACACGCCGCACCTTGCGAGATGAGGAAGTTGGTCGTCGATGGTAGGAGAAGTGCCAGCCGGCATATAATGGCGATAGGCGCTATGAGCGTCGTCGGGGAAAAGCGTCTGCGTTCGCGCGAGCCGCTGCGGCTCCTGCCAACTCGAATAGCCTGGCCGCCGTCGACCGCAGCGAGCAGAGGTGTCTGCTCATCGTCCTCCACTATTGGGCTCCTATGCTGCACCATGACGCGTCCGGGGGGTATTCGAGAGGTCGTCGGGTCTATTGAGAGGAAGAGCTGCGAACTGCGCTTGTTGCATGGCTGCCGAAGTATTTTTGGGTCGTGGTCACTGTCAAAGTCGCTGCGGCCGAACTTTCATCATACGTAATTGCCTTTTATGGGTAAGATTGGACGGATTTCCATCCTCCATCCGCGATGTGAGTCGGTGAAGGCTGAATGACCTACGAGTGGCTCGCAGAATAGCGTATCTGCGGGTGTGCTCGATAAACCAGTGACGAGGAGAACTTGGACGACGTCTGACAGAACGTTGTCGACTTTTTCGGGATGCCGACCATTCCGGAGGAAGAGGGTAAGTAGGCTTGTAGAAATTAATATGCGTGAGCGCTGGGACCAGAGAGATACACCATCGACTCCAGCTTTCTTTGAGAAGTAGGTAAACTCTCGGAAGCTGTGGTAGAGCTATGCCCAGAGAGAATACGGCGCGTAGAAAATAGTTCTATGGCCCAAGCTCTTGATCGCGGTCGTACGATAGAGGGGTAGACGGAAAAGACCTTGGGAAGTGGTATAGATCGTTGAATCAGTTGAAAGAATTGTCGAACGCAATTTCCAGCTTACAGTGTAAGAGGGAGCGACTTGTAAGCCGTGCTTCACGGATTGAGATGAAATCGGAGCGTTTGTTACAGGGTGTAGTGGCGCTACAACTATCACTACTCTTCGTACTCCAATCGTTGATCTGATATCTTCAATTCGCACAAGTCGGAGGATACTCTGGATCGAGGTAGACAGAGATCAGCTTGAGGCTGGAGCGTGAACAATCATCAGCAGATTAGATGTCCTTCGATGGTGTCGGTTCGAACGTGAAACAGATATGGCGGCGTCTCCAGAAAGTTATCAGTTTCGAGATTAAATCATGGAGTAGTGGAAGATGGGATGGCGCCACAGGTTCTCATACTGCCGTACAATTACGCAAATATCCTTCAAACTGTTAGCACCTTTGATCATATGCTATTCAGCTAATGTGGAACATCTAACGGTTACCTAGGATCCTCCCATCCGCCCTTTACAGACTACACTCACGCAATTCATTGAGAAACGTCAAAGTCAGCCTTGATGGCGACCATAAGGAGCAATCCCCGGTGCACGCCAAGCCAACACAAACTACCCAAAAAGGGATTTTTAATTACCTTTATGACGTCCGCCATCACCTCGCATATGCATCTGGACACACAACTTTACCGAAGAGAAATCCGCAAAAACCTGCAATTAGAAAGAATCCAGTCAGAAAGTACAGGGTATGGTACCGCTCGGTGAAGAGCGTAGTATCCTTCTCATCGTCTCTACAAAGGCGTTTCCACATCTATCTTTACACCCCCAATCACAAAGTCCCGTTGCTTCCTGATCATCAGCGCCCAACAATGTCATGACTGACAGAGCGACAGAGAAGCTTCAGTCAACAGCATATGTCGTACAACTCTTACACAGAGTGTCAGTAGTGTCAAGATCTTTCATGATCTGAGCGAAAATGTATCAAAGTTGTTCTATCACGACCTATCACTAGCCTCAGTGCGTTTTGTCACTCACATTCAATAGAAACAGACGGAGAAACCGGAGCCACTTGAGTTCTAGTCAAGGTCCTTGAATCGACCGTTACCAAAAGGGACAGAAAGGACTCATCGGAGGCCCCCCAAACGCACGTAGCGAGGACCACGGTTAGAGTCCGTTGGAGCTTGGAGATGGGAGGAGCGCTCCTTGTTCCAAGGTGTTCGGACACGTCTCGACGACCAGTGTTCGTGGTGATTTGGATAGATTGGAATGAAAATAGCCTTTCTCTGAGGGCTTCACGGAACACGTTCGCCGATGGCACGTTGTGGTGCAGCGATTTTGAGAGGTATATAAGCCTGAGGACTGGGGTGGAGGAAAGCCAGTGCCCGGTGCATCCCCAACATCAAACTCTTAGGTGAGTAACCTCCCCACTCCTCGAGTAAATCGTTCATGGGAAGCTCAACGTCGGATTTTCCTACAGGCTGGTCCTAAATTTGCAAAGAAACACCACCAAAACATCACTACTCGCTTGTCGCATTCGTACGTCGGGTCGCTGCCCTCTCGTCGCCCAAGCTCTAACAATTGCAATATTCTTTTCATAGTCCCTCACTTAACTACCTAATAAATCATCATGTACTTCTCAACTCAAGTCCGTCTCGCTCTCATCGCCACCGCCGCCATCGGTGTTTCTCAGGCCCTTGCCGCCGTACGTCTCATTCTTCTTCAACCCTCCCACTCAAGCTAACACATATATTCACCTTTTCCAGGAGACCGCATCCGCAACCGTCTCCTCCGTCGCTGCGCCGACCAGCACCGCGGCCGCGACCATCGAGCGCAAGCACCGTCACCCGCACCACCCCACACTCAACTTCGCACACAAGCACAAGATCGCGAAGCACGAGCTCGCAGCCAACCACACCAAGTCGGCCACTCCCACCACCGCCCACAAGCACAAACACTCTTTGAAGAAGCATGCTAGCAAGAAACACTCTAGCAAGAAACACCTGAGCAGGAAACAGAGGAACGCTCTCAGGAAAGCGCGAAAGCTCCGCAAGGGGAAGAAGGGGAGCAAATCCACTCCCTCTACCCCAACCAGTGCTTCTACCCCCACTACGCCGACTACACCCACCACCCCGACTACCCCAGTTACCCCAGTCACTCCTACAACCCCCGCCACCCCCGTGACCGCCCGTGAAGACATCTTCGAAGAGCTCGAAGCACGCCTCGGTGGACGCGGTGGACGAGGCCGTGCTATAGGCCGTGGCGTTGGTCGGGTCGCAGGTGCCGCGCTCAAGGGGTTCGCCAACTCGTACGCCCAGCGCGACCTTGAGGATATCGTTGACCTCGAGGCGCGCCGTGGCGGTCGCGGTGGACGTGGTGGACGTGGTGGCCGCCGAGGAGGAGGCAGGCGCGGTGGACGACGCGGCGGTGCTCTGAGGGCCGCTGGTCAAGCCGCCGGCGCAGCTGCTGCCGGTGCCTCTGAGGCACCTGAGGCCCGGGAGTTCGAGGACGTTGTCGAGCTCGAGGCCCGCCGCGGCGGTCGTGGCGGTCGCCGAGGAGGCAGGCGCGGAGGCAGGCGTGGTGGCCACAAGGGAGCCGCTGGCCCTGCTGCCCAAGCATCCGAGGCTCCGACTGAAGCTCGCGAGTTCGAAGACGTTACCGAGCTCGAGGCCCGCCGTGGCGGTCGCGGTGGTCGAGGTGGCCGTGGTGGTCGCCGAGGAGGCAGGCGTGGTGGCAGACGCGGAGGCGCTCTGAGGGGTGCTGGTCAGGCCGCCGGTGCTGCTGCTGCCGGTGCCTCTGAGGCTCCCGAATCTCGCGAGTTCGAGGATGTCATTGAACTCGAAGCCCGCCGAGGTGGACGTGGCGGACGTGGTGGGCGCGGTGGTCGCCGAGGAGGCAGACGCGGTGGCAGGCGTGGCGGTGCTCTGAGGGCCGCTGGTCAGGCCGCAGGCGCAGCTGCTGGTGCCTCTGAGCCAGCACCTGAAGCCCGTGAGATCGAGGACCTCCTCGAGCGCGAATACCTTTTCGAAGAGACCGACTGAAGTAATTTGATGTACCGAGATAGAATGCAGTCACAGTAGTGCACGATATGACGAATATCATAAACTTTTCGTCGCCCTTTCTTGAAACTGGATCTTGAGCTGAGAAAGTGCCACAGAAACGACTGCAAACGAGGACTACCAACGGACAACGGGCGAGACTCCAGGAACGTGCGAGGTTTGATAAGAGAAAGAGGCGCATAAGTTGAACGGAAAATAATGACAGCGCATCGTCTTCGGTGGGAGAACAGTTCCCAAGAGCAGTTGGCCAGTGGTTGTCCAACAAAAGGGTTACGTTTTATATGTTCCGTTTCTCATACGGTACCCATTGTCGTCGGGCAACGGCAGTGTCCCCTACAAGGGCTATACTCGTTAGATCGTGAGATGAGAGCGCTATATGGATGTCGTGGATTGTTTTTCGCAGGTGAGAAATGAGCAAAAAAGTAGACGGAAGACGCAACACGTTCCAAGGTGTTCTGAGCGGAAGACAAGGTCCAAAGTCCCTTGGTTCAGGGGGTTCGAATTCGTCAGTAAAGCGCTCGAGCCTCACCATCCCCGTAAGGAAGGAAGGAAGGAAGGAATATTGATTACCGGCGAGGTCCCAATGAGGAACGACCGGCCCGCAGTGTACTCAGAGATACAAGCTACAACTAAGTATTTTCTAGTACACCTTGGGACACCAACTCCCTCACCGCTGTGTAACTCCAACCACTATCAGAGGAATCCCCGACCTGCGTGGCCTTATGCCAATGCAGGTAGGACATACGACTAAAACCACATGGGGGTCAGGGTGGGTTCTCCCAACCACTGACACAAACTCACCGTCATCCAGGACAGCCATGACAGCCAAGAAGACTCACGGTCTCAGGAGAAAGTGCGGAAATGATAACAACTGGGATAATCCCAGACACGGCCCAGGTATGTAGCTAACCGTGTTGAAGTAGATGGCAAAGGGAGGCAGCCGCAGGCTGCACACCCAGTCTTTGTCAGGAGTGGACTCCGGACCCTCAAGTCAAAGTCTTACTTACAGCCATTCCAGAAAATGTATAATTTTCCGGAATGGCCGTAACTGAGAGACCGGGAAATAGGGGGGATGCGAAATAGCCACCGTTTCGCCCGATTGGGCGTGCTCAGGCGAAGTGCTTCGTCGTCGCTGCTGATGTCGGTGAAGGTGGCTGGCATTCAGCCAGAAAAACTGAGCGCTGTTTTCCTCTATGAAGCCTGCCGCCAGCCGAGACACCTCAACAGCCGCAGCCGCGTGGCCAGTCAAGGCATCTTGATACTAGGCATCGAGGATGTCGGCGCAGCGATGGGTCTCTCCATGGGTGTGGAGCGACCGTCGACAATTGCTTCAGCTGACGCGGCGAGTGCCTCGTTGAAAGACGAAAGGACCATCCACTGCCTGTTGAAGCATCTCGAGGGTACAAGCCTCTCGAGGCATCCCGATAGTTTCCACCTATCGAGGCATCCTAATGGTTCTTGCCCATTGAGGCATCCCGGTGTCGGGGCATCCCAATGGTCCTCGAAAGTCCATTGGGGCAAGATGGTAAGTATAGCGAAAATGAGAGTCATGGTCAAGTACGAAGCCTACAAAGTCATGTGCACTTGCCAGCGCCACCGTTCGGGATTTCCCGACCGTCCTTTCGTTCGGAGATTCCGGCCGAACTTTGTCCATCGTCATCGACGTCGATGCGTACTAGGAAAATCGATCAGCAAAACTATTTTTATTTCACGACTTTGAATTCAATTTTCCTCACTTATCATCCAACCGCAGCCCGGCGTGAAACCTAGTAATGACCCCATATAATCGTTCGCCGACTGCTCGTTAGCGCCCAGGTGCTCTTCCAGATATGAGGGACGTTATCTGCGTATCTTCACTCAAATCTTCAAAGAATAGGATAAGTATGAGGAGAAAAATCATTACCGAGGTGCGTTATCAAATTATTTCCTACGTGCGGAATCAAATTGAGTCGTCAGAACTGAGATGATGGCTAGTTTCTTGCCATAAACTGCGTGCGTACCCACTATTCGAAGGCTTGGCCCTTAGGGCCCTAATATCTAAGACTTGAGCTTGAGGATCTGCGCATTAATGCTCGTCCAAATGGGCTCAAGAGAAAAAGCGTAGTATTTTTCATGTTTATGGCTAAGGTACGAATGAAAACCCGATATCCTGCGCACTGAATACGATGTCTTGACCTGGCCAGACCACGGACGATAGAAGACGATAGAGCCCTCCAGCCAGCCGTTATCTTCACCCGGACCTGGCGGGTAAGCAATGCGGAAGTTCGCAAGTCAACTTCGACCGTCGACACGGATCAATGATTCTTCCCGCTTTATCTGGGAATCCCACATGGAGCACTACCTCCGGTGAGAAATAAGAGTGTCCAAACCGTCCCCCTTCCCTTCTTCACGATCTCTGTCACTGTCAGGGCCTTCTTTTCGCACAGGATGAGCGCCTCTCCTTCACCTTCACCGACGAAAGGCCATGCTGGCCCTGCAGGGCGACGAGGCAGAGCTGGCGAGGATGGGGTACAAGCAGGAGCTCAGGTGTGTCGTGTGCTAGCTGTTATCGCGCTCTTATCGGTGCTCACCTGGGGCATCGTTCGCTCGACAGACGGGAGTTGGGTCTCATGCAGGTGAGTTTGAGTCCACAGACGCGCTGTTATTTATGTTCTGACGCGTCTTGATGGTCGTGGTAGAACTTCGGGGTACGCGAATGCGCCTTTTATGCCCTCGAATGACGCAATTGACCGCTAGGGAACCCCACATGGCCTAGGTCTCATTTTCGATTATTTCAGTCATCACCGGCATCCCTTCGCTCTTCTTGTATGGACTCGTGAGTCGTGTTCGTTGTGGTCGTGGATACAGACATTGAAGGGTGTTTCGTTCCAAAGAATACAGGAGGACCGGCCGTAATGGTGTGGGGTTGGGTGGTCGTCTGTCTGTCTTTTCTCTAACCTCTGCCTTCCAAATATGCTGATAATTGTGCTTAGCATGCGCCACCATGCTCGTTGGACTTGCCATGGCAGGTAATTAATTGCAACTCAAGAAATGCCAAGCGGCTCAGGGCTCAGGGCTGACATTGAACGGTGCATTTCGCAGAGGTTTGCAGGTACGTGCATGCATTCTTCCTTTGGAGGTCCCGAATTGACCTTGACATCCGATGCAGTGCCCACCCTACGTCGGGTGGCCCGTATTTCTGGGCAGCTATGCTTTCAAGGAAGGAGAACGCGGCGTTGGCGTCGTGGATAACAGGTGCGCCACATGAGTTTTCCGCACTGTATGATCTCTAACTCGGTTTGTTAGGATGGTTTAACCTCCTTGGTCAAGTGGCTGTTACGACGGGTATCAGGTGAGCTTAGCCTGTCGTTCCTCCGATAGCACTTTCCTCACGACCCGTTTCCAGCTTCGCCTGTGCCAACTTCATCTCAACAGCCTGCACGCTCGGGGGAACCGGGTTCGAGCCCACCCCAAACACTACAATCGGTATTTTCCTCCTTCACATCCTCCTCCTCCCTTCTCTCAACCCTCTTTCCCCTTCCACCTCCTAGGCATCTACGCCGCCGTCCTCTTCACACAAGGCCTCACAAACACTTTCGGCGTACACCTCCTGCACATCCTGAACAACATCTCCGTCTGGTGGCACGCGATCGGCACGACCTCGCTCGTCATCGCCATCCTCGCCAGGGCGCCCTCGCACCAGTCCGCGAAGTTCGTTTTTACCCAGTTCATTGATGGGACTGGACCGCCCGGCGAGGGATGGGGCGATAGGGCGAGCCATGTTTATGTTGTTGTTATCGGAGTAAGTGGTTCGCGATGTCGTTAGAACGGGCAATAATTGATTTTCGTTGTATTATCCAGATCCTAATGGCCCAGGTCAGTTCATCCGGTCTTTTCTTGAGTTCATTTACTTACTAGATGCATTCGAATTGCTCAGTATACTTTGACTGGTAAGATACTCTCGTGTATTTGATGAAACAGGCACTCATACCTCAAATTTCAGGGTTCGACGCCAGCGCGCACGTATGTGTCTCTCCCTCCTCCGTAATCCCTTCCCTTAATCTTCTCTATATACTTAGATGACAGAAGAGACCCGCAACGCCGCCATGTCCGGTTCTATCGGGATCATTATGGCCATCGGCGTCTCCGCCGTGCTTGGCTGGTTCCTCATCCTAGGCTTGCTCTTCTCCATGCAGGACCTCGACGGCACTCTCTCCTCAAGCACCGGCCAACCAGTCACCCAGATCTTCCTCGACACAGTCGGAGAGAAGGGCGCTATTGTGTTAATGGTGATCGTCATTGGTGCGATGTATTTCTGCGGGTATGAACACCTTCATTTTTTCAAGAGTTTTGGGGATGCTGATGAGAGCAAATGTAAGGACATTCTCGATTACGTCAAATTCGCGCATGATGTATGCGTTTGCGCGTGATGGAGGCATTCCATTCCACAAGTTCTTCGCCAAGGTCAGCCCTTCTTGGAAGTCACCTATTCGCACAGGTACGCCTTTCTTTCTTTCAAATTAATCAAAAGCAAAACGCCCAACACGATTCAATTAGTCTGGCTCGCCTGCACGCTGAGCTTTATCCTCGGCCTACCCAGTCTCGGCAGCTCCGTTGCCTTCGCCGCTGCGACGTCCATCGCGACGATCGGGCTGTACATCTCCTACGGTGCGCCACATTCCTTTTCTGGAGCCGAATTCCAATATTAATTTGATCGCTGACTGCCATCAATTTCGAACACAGGCATCCCGATCATGCTTCGCGTCATCTACCGCGACGCGTTCGTACGCGGGCCGTTCCACCTAGGCATCTTCTCGTACCCCGTAGCGCTCGGCGCTGTTACGTGGATCTTATTCATCTCGATTGCGTTCATCCTTCCTCAAGTCAACGTACGTCTTGCTTTATGTGATAGTAGAATCGAAACTCATTAGAGCATGTCGTTTTCGTAGCCCGTCGACTCGCAGACGCTAAACTATGCCATCGTCGCTGTTGGCGTCGTCATCATCTACAGCGTTGGGTTCTGGGTCTTGAGTGCCAGGAAGTGGTTCACTGGACCTGTGAAGCAGATTGCTGGTACGTTTCTTCGTTATGCAGCTTGCCGACTCTTCTGATTTTTTCTTTCTTTCTTTCTTTCCAATCTTTAGCGGAGGAGTTGGGGATAGACGTAATGGACCCAGCCACCGCAGAGAAATTCGAGAAGATAGCTGCAACAGACACGGCGACTGCGGTTTAATCGCCTTGATATGCACGGATCTATAGCCTTATGTAGAACGATGGCGTTGTCATTATATTCTCATGCTGGTGACTGATTGGAAGAGAAAGGAGAATCGGGGTGAGCCCTGAAATCTGTCTTAGTGAATCTGCTGTGCGATCTGATTCGCTGCCTGCAAATATCGCATCTTGGAAATTTTCATGAGGGTGATTCGTCCCTCATTTTGGATATGAGAAATCAGCAGCAAAAAAAGGCAAATTGGAGGTGGTGAAACATCTGAATAATCCTACGGTTGCATACAGAGTGAGTGGGAGTATTATGTGAGGTGGACTCGTAGCCTTGATCATGAATATTTGTCCTATACTACTAGTCGAATGAATAATTCTACCAGATTCCGGTACAATTTAATGCAGCGTTCGGAAAGTGACATCTCGCCAAGCGGCTCCCTTGACCGGACAATGAATGACGTCGCTGAGCACTGAAGCACTGAAGTACTGAATCCTTTTGTTCTCGATTTTTGCGAGTTTCTTGGTGGTTTCTCGAGCCGAGGAATGCGGATTCGTCCGAAACTCCGAATTCGGAAGGTAAGTATGTCCCACAAGGTTATTCGTCCCTACAACTTGCCTACAACGCCGCTAGTCTCGTTTTCATTTTTGAGAAAGCAATCGTTCTCCAACGCCGCCTGCGATGCAAAATCCCTCGGATCAGTTCTCAAGGCCCGAAGTACCATGGGATAGCAAAGACTACAAGGTAAGCTATTGTTTTGTCACTGTGCTGCCGCTTTACACGATTTTCTGCCTGGTTACTAGGCCAACTATCCGGACATCCTGATCCCATTATTGAAGCACAACCGTCCAATTCCCAGCCAGCTCACCAAGCGCTGTATTCTCGAAATTCAGGGTGATGCCGAACGGTCGCTCCTTAACCTCGAGGCGGAGATATCTTCGGTGGACGTCCAGATCCTGGCGTTGCAACAAAAACGGCAAGAACTCGTTCAGCAAGCTACACCAGGATGGATGACTTTGGACGCATGCAAGAAGGTGCTTGCTCCGATTCGCAATGTTCCGTTAGAGATCTTTCAGGAAATTGTTTTGCATGCTCTCCCACCCCAACCCTACCCCACGCTGAATCACGCACCCATGTCGTTATCGCATGTCTGCAAAGACTGGCGTAATGCTCTCCTTGCATTCCCGCAAGCATGGCAAGAGCTCTTTCTTGAAGTCGACATTGCATGGATCCGCTACCCGCAAACCGCAGTGGAAACCTGGTTCGAGAGGGCGAAGCACCTACCACTCTCATTCTACATTCACTTCGACCATGAAGCTGCCCGCCACCTGCTCCATGAACATAGCGTCAAACACTTCAACCGGGTTGTCCTCAAATTTTTGCAGCAAATTAGCTCTTTCTTCCCTCAAATTCGCCATTTTGGTCTGAGCGCAGATCAGGTCCTTCTCTACTTCCCGTTTTTCAGATTTCTTGCACACAACATCCACAGTCTGACACTACATATGAACAAATCCATCTCGTCTGCAGAGTACTGCTCACACTTTTCGACTGCTATCGATGAAACGTATGGCATGTTCGCGTTCCAAAAGCGCCTGAACCTGAAGAAGCTGTCGCTTGATGACCCCATGACCTTCCGCGGCGCTGGAAGGCTGATGTTTCCGTGGTCCCAATTAACCGACCTCGACTTGAGGCGACATATCTCTCGCGCTAATTGGACTCGCCTTCTGACATTGTGCCCTCAGCTTCGAAAGGGATCTTTTCATCTCAGTGACGAAGACGACAAGTCTGATGAGTTGTCGACCCATGATTCGGATGATGAGGAAAAGGAGGAAGAACTTCAAACGATCCATCACCACCTGGAGGAGCTCCGAGTTCATGTACATGACGAAGCCATCCGTTTCAGCTGGTGCTTTGAAGCATGTCAGTTCCCTGGCCTTCGCCTCCTACGCTTATCCCACCACGAATTCGTCGACGTTGGTCGCGATGGTGAAGTTGGGCAGGACTTTACTCCTGAATTCACCTTTCTTCAAGGACTATCTGTCGAGGGTGATTGGTCGGAATCCCCTGAGCCTCTACAACAGTTATTTATCGCTGCTGCATCCGTCACAAAACTCGCCGTAATGATTGATTTGGACACACAGAGTGTCTTGAAAATGTTGACCTACGGATATCACACCAGTGCCGATGGGCAGCGGTCGGATGAAGACTCGAATACTTCTGTAAAGGAGCCTCAGCTGATCATGCCGAATCTCTCTTCTTTGACTCTTGTTGTCGGCACCATATCAGACGACGAACTCCCAGAAATTCTCAAGTGGATGGAACCAATGCTCACATCTCGTACTACAGCAAATCAGTTCAACCTCCCTCATCACCTCCAAATTTTTCGACTTCTCTCCGAGTCTTCAGTGGACGACAATGTATTCCGACGGATCCAGTCCCTTCTAGACTGCTATTCGGGGTTTGACTTTCGAGTTGGAGGCCTGAGGAATCTGCATCGTGAGGACCCTACTACCTGTGCCAAATGGAAGGCCGGAATCAAGCACAGGATGTCGAGGAGGGAAGTTGCCCGTGCCAATCAGAGAATGGGATGGGCAATGTATGATATTAACAACGATCCAGATCAGTCACTATTTGATTTTCCTGGATATTGACGAAATATCCAGAGTGGATGAGTAGTCGCTTTTGGCGCTTTTGGGAAGGAGGGTGCTGGTGATTCAAATAAATGACCTATTCAACTGTTATTCCTCTATAGCGCACCAGGAAATGAAAATGACGAGTGTGTTATTTATGCAAAAGTCACTCAATGGCGAGCACAATAACCCGGGCCCGAACAACTAAAATCACCGCGAGAAACATACTTGCTGCAATAGGCACCGTATACATCACTGAAACTTGGGTGGCCGTGCATATGCAGCGAACATTAAGCCAGCCAGCAGATGGCTTCATTCATGTAGCTGTAATATGAGGCCGCAATACTGTAGTCCATACACGACGTGTAGCAATGAGCGTCCTACAGAGTCGCTGTCCTTGGGCCTCGGAAAATCTCCCTCATCTTCCCAGCAATCCTATGCACCCCGATTCCCATTCCTACTAGCACCCCCACATCTACCGCCAGCAATTCAAGAACAGCGGTCATGAACCGCGGTGCAAATACCTTCCACACCATCAGATGTCGCCGCAGAATGGCAGCACTAACTGACGTGCCGAGGAGCAGTGTTGAATAATATATCATGACTCCTAACGCGGCTACCGTGCTTTCCGAGGCAATCTGTGCGTCTGGGGTTGACTCTGTCTTTGCCGTCGGAGTGAACCCGTTGGTGGTGTCATCTTGAGGACTTTCGCTCGGTTGGGTGTTCGTCACCGTAGGCAACGGCGCTCGGTTCCACAACCCGGCCAGAGGGACAGCCAGCCCACACAGGAACACTGGCCCGATCGAGTTGAGTACCACGGTGATAACGGAGAATGGATAGCTGACTGTCGGTGTCAACAAGAATGCCGACTTCCACTGAATGGACGAGATCGTTGACTGGTGGCCGGTGCCGAAGAATGCATGCAGACCGAGCAATGCGATAGGAATGACGTCCGCGAAGCGCATTTGAGGCGAAAGGGTTACTGCAGAGTTGGGATCTAGCATGGCTGACGGACCGGAAGCGTTGAGGGCAGCTTCGATGCCTTGCACGTCTCGTGTGCTGTCGAGTACTTCGAGGAAGGCGATGAGGGCGACGGCTGCTAATGCCAGCACCAACTGGCCGGTAAGTTGTGTCGAGATATAGACGAGGGCAAAGAACAACGTCCAGAAAATGAGGTACGGTGCACCGAAAGCGTTGGCGAAACCCAGGACCTTGACTTGCTTCTTCTGATCGACAACCGTCACTTGAATGTCGAGGCATAGGGGCACGAGCCACCAGAACCCAACCCCGACGAAAACGGTCCAACCGAATGCGAACCTTGCTATCAGGGTCCTGCCTGCCCTCAACGTCGTAGACATCTCATCTCCCAACACTGAGGCCGAATCAGCCCATTCCATGACCCAATACCCAGCTCCAGCGATGAGTGCAGGTGTTAACACGGTCGGAAGATAGGTCTTCGCGATGCCCAACTCGGAACGGGTGATTTTTAAGAACCGCTTAACCACGAAAGGTAGGAGCGCTGCAACTGGAACTGCAAGGTAGAGCACTAGTTCAGGTGGGGATGGAAGCGACGAGGACGCAAAGAACGTGACGTGGCAATAGGGTTGCTGCTCCTCTCTGCAAATCGTGCTGATCGACATGAGCCGAACGCACACTGCGAACAGGAACGAGAAGCCGAATATACGATATCGGAGGCGGGGCGTTGGGGCAGAGAATCCGACACGTACGTATGAGAGAATGGAGGAAAAGAGGAGGTAGGGCACGATCCGGTCTTCCCAGAATGTGAACGAGTTGGAGAAGAAGGCGACAGCATGAAGGATGAGGATGAGCGGTGTGGACTTGAGGTCTTCAAAGGAAATTATTGGTTGACTTGAGATAATTAGCCCGATTGAAGAGGCCAATGCTGCGCCAAATAGCGTCGATTCTGACATCCTGACTCCGGCCATGAGGGAGGCGAAGCCAATGTGGCCAATAACACCTGAGACCGATCCAACAACGCCACCCACACCAGCAGCCTTCAAACGACCCCATACCCATCCTTCTCTATCCTGCTTTTGTGAAGATAGTCCTGAATATACGGCCCACGTTGCACAAAGCCCCATGCCCAGCAACGACAATCCTAGCGCCATGAGCAAGGGGTTAAACTGTGCCCACATCGCCCTGCAGGCAGCAAGAGCAACACGGTTGAAGTTGATTAGTGCGACCCACTTCGCCTCATCTGTGCCTTTCGAAAGAAGGTTTGCATACGTAGACTGCAACTCCGGCCATGCATCGTCCATTTCATGGCCAGACGGACTTGCGCGATAGGTCTCGAGGTAACTCATAATCTGAGCAGCATTGGCCTCCAGGGCCTTTCCAAGCTGGCTCTCGCGCCAGAAAAGCTCTGGGATGACCGTGCCGAGGTTGTTGTAAGGAATTGGGAGGCCAAGGAGGAGTGCCATGGTCGGGAGTATGTCGATCTGCTGAATGGCGCGGTGGGCCTTCGGAGCATCTGGGAAGGTGCGGTATTGCAAGAGTCCGCCTGGAAGGCGTTTGGAGGTGTCGGTTAACGGGATCGTCTTGCTGTATATCCACGTCGCCGCTGATGTCTCGAGAACACCGTCTCCGCCGTGGTCTCCTGACCGATCCATCCCATGGTCGCCTAACACCACCAAAAGTGTATCGTCATCCATTTCTTCCACTACGCGTGTCAGCACATCGTTCATCTGCTCCAGCTTTGCCTTCATGCTCGGATGGTCTGGTCCTACTCGATGACCAACGTGGTCGACGCCGAGGAAATGGCCGACCAGGAAGTCGAATGGTTTGGATTGGTCTTCGAGGAGAGGAAACAGGTGCCGGATGACCCCCTCGTCCACTGTGTGAAGGTCTTCGACGTTGAAGGAGTCGTACGGGTGCGTCATGTTGGGAGAGAACCCGTCTGGGAAGATAGACATCCACGTATCGTCACCCATGAAAGCCAGCTTGCTTCGTCTCGCATAAGTCTCATTCCGAACGAACAACACGGGGCATACCTTCTCCCTTGCAACCTGAACTGCGTCACAATCGAATCCTCTGTGATTGACGACCCTCCAAAGTTGTTTCCAATGTCCACAAACGTGGGCAACGACCCCGTCGTGATGCCCTTGATGCGCTGCAGCGTCGCAGTCGGCGGGTCGGCATACGAATTGAAGAGAAATGAGTGATTTGGACGCGTTTTGGTCAACTCTCGCGGCAGCGTGAGGATGCCGTGGTGGAACGGTGATGGTGGTGATGGAGGGTCGGGTGACACGAAGTCGAACCGCAACGAGTCGATGATTAGGAGAATTCCACGCCTATGAGTTGGTTTTATATCGCCATAGAGGTGTTCTGAACGAAATGAGAGGTCGGAAAGCGAGAGACGGGTGAGCAAAAATCCTCCTGTGAACAGATAAATTCCGGCCAAATGGACAGCAAATACCCAGAAAAGGAGGGCGAGGTACGAGTAACGCATTATAGAGGCATAAATACGAAGTTTTGGGAGTCCTTCCGTCGATTTAAGAGGCGAAAGAATCTCGGGAAGGGTAGGAAGGACAGTCGTGCTGGTGGTTGGAATCAAGAAATGTCGCGACACACGATGGAGATAAATCGCTCATAAAAACACCGAGACCTCTCAAGATCTCAAGATCTCAAGGCTCAGGGACACAAGTCGGCCACCAAATCGTAGTGATAAGTCGACAATAAAAGTACATGCTGAACAAAAACGCTTGTAGAAACCAAACCTAACCACTCAACCATCGCAGGAATTCCGACCTCACTAAACTCGAAATCTGGACAGTGAATCTGAGATAAATACGTTCAGCGTATATTTTCTCTGAAGCCGATTGTACTCACCCAGGGAAAAAAAATCACAGATTCTCGCACTGATTCCTGATCTTGTTGACCACCTCCTTCAACCTGATCGCACCGTCGTCATCCAGCAGATCGCAGTCCCACCAGTCGACCGGTGTCCTATGAGCCGAATCCTCTTCGACAGCCGCTCGAGCAGGAAGAATCGCCTGCCCAGCCGTTGTTGTGTAGAAGCAGAGTCTTGTCCCAAATGCGCTGACCGCGTGCAATGTAGGCAGTGGGCAGTAAGGAAGCAAGTCTCGGATGTGCATACGAATGTGTTCATCAGCCGCTTCGCGCGCAGATATTCGGGCAAGATTGGCGTAGGTGTGGAGGTCTAAGATGAAGACAGGAGTATTCCTGTAGTAAATCGTAAATGTAGTTCGTGCAGACGGTGTCGTGATGTCTTCATGTCTGTGAACCTGAGGGAAGACGGTGTAGGGAGTATTGACGGGAAATAGTGTGTTCAAAAGCTTGTTGTAAGCCGCAGGTGTAAAGTCGGATTCAAGATCTGGTTTGATAGATTGGAAACATTCTGTAAGCTCAGACGACCATGGAGACATTTCGACCGTGGTTATTTGCACTGCTCCTAGCAAGTTAGTGAAGTGGAAAGTAATACTTAGGCTCGAACACTCACAGATGATGCGATTTTATTTAAAGATACGCCTTTCTTGGAACTTCAGGCAGAAAAGGGGATTGATTGTGGTGGTAGAAAGGAAAGACAGAAACAAGTCGGCAGTCCAGGTCTAGACCCTAAATAGGGGTCGGATCAATCCGGGCCGCCCTACAAACTTTCGCCGCATTTCACTACCTCTAGGCTCTACAACTTTCCACAAGCTTGACACTGGCCACCCGTCCGATATTCTGGTTCTCCCGCCACGATAAAATTGCGCAAGTACAACCTGCATTTCTGCTGGCCCAGAGTACGCGAAATTCGAGGTCTCGAACTTAAACAAAGGCAGTCCTCACGAAGGATGGAATGTGGGGGTCCTCGTGGATTGTACCTCCAACGAGCGTAGACGGGAGAAGGTTTGGGCAACTTATAGGTACTCCTCATTTTGTGAATCGAGAATTCGGCGCCTGCTAACACCTCCAATTTCCTATCAGGGAGTTCATGCGTCGTAGCTGTGTCGATGGAACGAGGCTGGGGCAGCGCTCGGCGATACCAATTGTTCATGTTATCACCCCTGCGCATGTTTCGGCCACCTCTGCTGCAACCCTGAAGCCGTCTACGATGGATGAAGTACAGCATGATGACATATCCGTTTTCGCCTGTCTTGTACCCATTCCGGAAGAAACACAGCCTCGAATTGTGTATTTAAGCCTCATCACCGAAACCCAGCCCAGATCCCCACTTACGCTCAACCATGGACAAGTTTCCCCCATTGACGCTCCCAGCAATTGAGTACGAAGCCGTTGAAGACCTGGGGCGTGAACTTAAGCGCTACCATCTGCCATCTGGGTGCAATCCGGAAGCCACCACATTCGTCGATATCCTGTATCCCTATCCTGAGCAGACTCCTAGGTGGAATAGGAAAAATGCCAACGAGCTACCGGATCTCTTCCCTGTGAGTATCATCGTTTAATATCACACATCTACTGCCTGGAACTTAAGTAATCGACAACTAGTTAGAGGGACATACCGACGTGAAAACTCCGAAATTGAGAGTCTTGTAAGTCGCGTTAGCTTAAAGTCGATATCACTGAATATTAATATCTCACTCTGGAGTCTTTTCCGAGACGCCAGCTTTCTTTTGGAAAGATATAGAGACAAATACCGCTTTGCCCGCGGGAACCCAACAGTCCAATGGATGCAGCAGCGCTTTGCTGTATCTCCATTGTTCTTCAGAGCAGCAGCTCTTCCAACCTTCTCCTCTGTACAAGAACACATCTCTTTCCCCTATCGTGACCAGGCCGGAAAGGCAGCTAGGTTAGGTATGTCCCAATGAGCGCATCCAAGAATCCCGGCCCCAGTGTGATGGTTCCGGTATTAGATGGCTACTACTATCTACGAGACTGCCCCTACCCCGGACATCGCCTTGTATGGTTCTCTCACCGTCTTGGAGGAGAGCTGGGTTCAACCTATATCACCTTTAATTTGCCCGAGGCCACATCGCGTGCAATTATGGCTTGCACCCCAAAGGCCCTTTTGCAACCCCTTTCCCTTGATTTATTCTTCTGTGAGGGCATCTTGCGTCTCAACCAGCGAGCATTATGGAAGAGTCAAGGCTCTTTATTCCGATTGGTTGACATTTATACCTTTCTACTCTATTCATACTGACGATGATGTGGCAGGAAGAGGATGAGCAGTTAAAGTCATCACTGACCCCGGAAACCGCTGCTGCAACAGTTACCCATTTACATGGTGTCGCTCGCGCTTTTCATTGGCTCCGTGCCGATCTATGTGATTTGCGTAGGACTCTGCATTTTCTTTGCTCGATCGCAGACAAATTTCCTCTTAATTCACCTCAACTCTCCGTCGGCGAGATGGACTCGACAACCGAGTCCCTGAAATATCTGAAGTCCCAGATAGAGGTCATCCTGGATCATCAAAGTGCAGGTCGAGAGCGTATCTCCACTCAAATCGCCCTGTTTTTCAATTTGTCCAACCAGCTGGACAGCCGGACGAACCTTGATATTGCCCGCTTGACGTCCGAGATATCTATATCTACTCAGCACGACAGTTCGTCGATGATCACGTAGGTCGCGCCGTCGTCTCGTCCACGCTAAGTATCTTTGACTTTATGCTTAGGATCGCTATCGTTACGATGTTGTTCCTTCCAGGAACATTCATATCTGTATGGTCGTCTATTCCTTCTACACATCCGTCCAACTGAATCGCAACCTTCAGGCATTTTTCAGCATGGCATTTATCGACTCGACCCCTGACACGCATGGCCGTCCCACCTCATAATTGGCCCACAAGTGTGGATATACTTTGTGACGACCATCGTCCTGACTGCCTTTGTATTTTACGTCTGGCAGTTATGGTTCAAGCGGCGCGCCAAGCAACAGGAAAGAGACCTTCGTTCTAGGGAACTTAACGTCCAGAATCATGTCGTCCACAAGGCAACAATGGAGCCACTGTGATTGCAGAGACGCCGACGCGAGTGGATGGAAATTTTCGGTAGAATTTTGGTTCACTGGTAGTGTGCTATTCCCAGTCATGTAGATTGCGAGCTGGGAGAGCTCGCGCCTCTGACGCTCATTCGCTTGTGGCATTCACACCGAATAATCGTGCCTCGTGATTGCGGCCAGTAGTTCATTCTCTCTCTTTAGGTTATAGATCGAAGTTTGTGCTTCGTATTTACACGTTTGCTAGTTGAACATGTCTTAAGCGCCCGCCGACCAAGGGACACTCGCACCGTACAATAATTATTCTATGTTCTCCCATCTGTAAAGAGTGACTGAGTAAGATATGATTGCGTTTCTCATGCATTTATTCGCGCCAGATATATATATTTGTAATTAATAAGTCGTACAGCACGCCGTGATCAAGGAGGAGTGAGCATGTCCAGTGTATCAGGAAGCCTGGTGACATGTTCCTTGGGGATGTGAACCGCATTGTCGTTCGCCCAATCGAGGATCTTCTGGTAATTCCTGCACTGATGCTTGGTGTTGAAGTCCGGGTATGGCAGGGGGAAACCTCTAAATCGATACCGTCAGCGTTAGGGTGCGCCACAATGACAGTATGGTGGAAATTAATTACTTGACCCATTCGTAAGTAATCATAGCGACATCCGCGGAGCACATCAGGCTCTGGCGGATTATTTCCACACAGTGGTCTACACCTTGTCAGATACGATTCGGAGCATTGGAGAAAATATGTGAATTCATACCCAAGTGAGTACGAAAAATCTTAGGAGCGTCAACGAACAAAGGATCGAACTTCTCGTAATACTCGTGGTGCACGTATTTGCGAAGCGAGTTCTAGGACAAATCGGTGAGTCTCAGACGCCTTGAACAATGAAGGGGGAGTGGCCCACCAGGCAGTGGAGTTGATGGACAGTTTCGATGGTGGCCATGTAGCCGCCTCCGTCTTCATCGGAAAACTTGACTTTCGACGGAGTAATCTTGATGCCCATTCTGTCGAGCTGTTCCTTGGTCAGTCGAGTAGGCTTCACTTTTGTTCAAAGGAAATTAGAAGTTGTAATTGAATAATTACAAGAGAGCGTTTACTCTCGGTCAAGACCCTCTTCCATGCTTCGTCGATTTGCGGGTTGGGCTGACCGCGGTAGATCGATTTGTGGTCAAACGTGCCGTTGAACGTCGTAAGCTCCTTGTTGTAATCCGCAACCACATTGGCGGGAGCTGCATTTATGAGCAATGTAAGACATCGAGACCTTCATGCGACGTACAGTAAATGGAGTACTTGGGCCTGACTCGCGACTCAGCGTGAGCCCACAAGGCCATAAAAAGGAAGGCGAAGGACAAGAGGATGCCGTGGCTAATCCACGAGTTGTAGCGACCCCAAAAGAGGCGCTTGGGAGGCTCGAATACTACCTTATGTTTTTCAGAACGTAGAAGGGTAGCCAAAGTCTCCTCCTTGGTGTCTTCTTCGTTATAGTGGTCGACGGGCTTGTACTTTGCAGTGAATGAGAACATTGCGAGGAGAGTGGAAAGTGGGACCGTGTGATCAGTGTCTGGTAAAGTCGAATCCAATGACCTTCTCGGACCCTGGATCCATACGCAGTTAGCGTGTAGTCTTTGCGAGAAGCAGCCGAGACATCGTGCCATACTGGAGAAGATTCTCTGAGCTATACGCTGAGATCAAGTTTGATGACAAGTAGTGGCGTCTTCGATACGATTGCGAATATCCTCTGATGGATTTAGAGGCGGCGCTATTCGAAAATGGTGCTAAAGTTAGAAGCGACACTGGATTTAGAAATGGTTATACTTTTTGAGGGCACGGCAGGTAAATACAGGCAGCGCAGCGAAATCAGCGCAATCCAGAGATATCAGGTGCACTGTTAGAAGCCCTATAGCGGGGACCTCGGTAAGGCCTCCAGAAGCCTTCGAAGACCATGGGACCTGCTATGGCATTTAAAATTTGCGGGATGCAGAAATTCGCGTAGATTCGTTTTGGGATGCAAGATTTTCCACTTTGCTCGTAATGCGAATAGAATCCATATAAATAGGAGAGGGTTGGAGCAACCCAGTCAACGGCCTCTTCATCTTTGAGATCGACCTCAATTTGCTTCCCAAGTTCACCTGATATCATGCAGCTCACTCACGCCTTCCTCGGCCTCCTCACTCTTTGTGTTGTGTCCTTTGCCGCGCCAGTTGCCAACTATGTCAAACTTTCTGGAAGGCACTCCAGCTACGAGGCCAATTCAGGTCAGTAAATTTCAGTTCATGGTCTGGTCAGAGAGCTAATCTTACCTTGTCTAATAGTAGTTGCCCTGTGTACGTAGTGTTCCAAAATGTTGGCAGAGTTATTGACAGAGTTACTCATGCTACTCCAGTCGAACCTGCCGACAAGCGAGGTATGTTGCCCTAACTTCTAGACTTGTTTGATTTCCCAAAATTTCTGGCAGAGAAATTCACCAACGATATCCACACTCTCCATCCTAAGAGCGGTGAGCACACTCGTCTTTCCTCATTCCACCACTCACTAACATCATCGGAAGAGGATTACAGTGCTTCATTTAGAATTTGTTATGGATGCAACCACAGCGGTGCGTCCTGCACCTCGTTACGAGGTATACAATGCAGCTGACCGCAGGGCAGAGCCTGAAGAATTACCCACTGCAAACATTTAAGTCATTTTCCCAATTGTGGTACGTATAAACATCCTCGTATCTGTGATATCAATTAATACCCGCGCTGGCACCCGAAGAGAGGAATTCACGGAGAACACCCAGGCCAAATCTCTATCCCAACCTTCACGTTCTCGGCCTCAGTAGATGGATTGCGAGTGGACAGGCCGTGAACCGGGTTTCCTCCACTCCAGAAATTGAACATTTGTAGTATCTCTTATACTTAGTCCGTGAATAAAGTATGTGCTGCTGCGTTTATCCACTAGAAACTGGGGAATGGGCAAACCACCGATCGACAGCCCTCCAATTAGAACACCTCCTAACAAAAAATCTACATATTTGAAGCTCGTCAGAAACCCAAAATAACATACATGACACAAGCGAACCTCTTCACGCGCATGCTTGGAAAAAATCGCAAATTTTGAGAATGCAGCCTTGCGTGCACACTCTTGTCGGATATCTTGCATACGTGGACCCGCAGCGCTCAGGGGGCATGGAATAGGGGCGGACCATTTCGGGCCGGTTGCTTGCCTTGAACATATGCTCCATAAATCACTTAGGAGTCCTCGTCTTAACCGGCTCGTCTCGCTCCGTTGTACCTATTCAGGCTGATTATCCGGACGCCTTGGCCTTATCATTGAAGCACAATTCTGCAATCACCAGCCAGGTCACTAAAAATTGCGTTGAAGAAATATGAAGGCGCATAGAGGGGTCACTTGTTGCACCAGAAACGGAGCTATCTTCGGTCGATGCCCAGATCTTGGCTTTACAACAACGACGAACGGAACTCGTTCAGCAAGCCACTCCAGGATGGATGACGTTGGATGCATGCAACACTGTACTTGCGCCTATCCGCCACATCCCGTTTGAAATACTCCAGGAAATCACCATGCACGCCCTCCCGTCCCAGCCTCACCCCGCTTTGAACCAGGCACCAATGTCGTTATCACACGTCTGCCGAGACTGGCGAAATGCAGTCCTTTCCCTTCCGCAGGCATGGCAAGAGCTCTTCCTTGAAATCCATGTTACTTTCTTTCGTGGAGGACATCTACATCGCATGACCGGGACCTGGTTTAACAGAGCAAAGAGCCTCCCGTTATCTCTTTTCCTCCACATCAATCACGAAGGCATCCCCAAAGACGGCCTCGACTCTTTCGATGAATCCGTTCGCGATTTCATTCGTGATCTAAGCAGTGCTTTCTTATCCCAAGTTCGACACCTTGGCCTGAGTGCGGATCAAGTCCTGCACTATGTTCCGTTTTTCCAGGAGCCAATCATATTTCCGACCCTCAAATTGCAGAGTCTGACGCTGAACATGAACAGACCTATCTCGCCTTCGGATTATTCTTCGTACCTCAACGATTCTAGCGACGAGTCAGACGATATCTTCGTATTCGAAACCCTACTTGGTCTCCAACGGCTCTCGCTCGACGATCCGATCACGTTCCGCGGGTTTGGAAGAAGGATGTTTCCGTGGCCCCAACTGACCGATCTCTGCCTCATGCGGTGGATATCTCTCACGTCTTGGAGTAGTCTCCTCAAGCGGTGCCCGCTACTTCAAACAGGAACCTTCCATCTGAGCTACGAAACCGATGATGCCGACGAGGAGAGCGAGGACGGTCCTGATGATAAAACAAAGCCAGTCCACTCTCACCTAGAGGATCTTCGTGTTTTCATCCACGATATGAACATGGACGTCATGCGATGCTTTCAAACTTGCCGGTTCCCCAGCCTTCGACGGCTTCACGTATCTCACGACCACGAGTTCGTCGACATCGACAGGACGCGCAAACCAGTCGGATATTTCCCGGATGAATTCGCCTCCCTGAAAACCTTGTCTGTTGAAGGCGATTGGTCTGAATCCGTCCAGGTTTTATACGAACTATTTCTTACTGCGGATTCCGTCACACAACTCGCCGTTAAGATTTCTCTCGATGCTCTGAATCTTCTAGAGATCATGACTCACAAGAAGGATGACGACTATGACGACGGGCTTCGCGATCGTGAATATTGGGAAACCCCTACAGGGCCTCGGTTTAATTTGCCAAATCTTCTTTCGCTGACACTCGTCATTGGACACGTTACGGATCATGAAACCCCAAAATTGCTCCGGTCGATTCAAAAAATGCTGGAATCTCGCATGGCAGAACACCTCAAACCATCCCAGCGCCTCAAAAAATTCCGCATTTTGTTCAGTCCACCCAACGACGCAATCTCGGACAAAGTTCGCTCCCTTCTTCAAAGCTATCTTCATGTGGGATTTGACTTCGAAGTCGGCGGTCATCTTCCACCGCACACGGGCATTGTTTCCCTTGACGAATGGAAGTACGGCGTTCAGGGAAGGATGGCGATGAAAAAGTTAGCGCACGCTGAACAGAAAGCAAGACGGTTTACGAATGTGACGAGCGATCCTTCTCTACTCTTGCTCCTCAATATTCCGGAATATTACCCGTAGTACCACAATTACTTACTGACGTTTTGTGAAACATGAGATACTCTTGAAGAATTAAAATACTCTCACCACTTTGAACCGCATTCAAAGGGCATGGATGGTCACGAATGCATCGATCCGGTGCTGCACCAAGACTGTTTCAGATGTCATGTCGTGTCCTACTTCTCAACAGGGTCCCGGATATGCAAGCCTTGAGAGTTTGATGGTGTGCGCCACACAAAAAAATTCCGACAAACGATCTTACTGCACTGCTGACACGGCCCACCACTACTTTTCCAACAGATCTCCCATGGAGGTTTGACGGTGAGCGCATAATTAATAGGCACGAGTAGATAATGATAACTATGCGACAATAACCTCGTAGAGTTATAACGAACATACATAAAGAGGGGGTTGATTCGTGGTCTACGGAAAAAAATGAGAGATGACGGTGATACACAGAACCCAAAGAATGAGAACGAAGATCTACCGCTGGTACATTACGCCCCAGAAGACTCTTTTTAAAAAAGAAAAGAACGAAAACCATATCCTTCCATCCATCCATAAATTCACATCCGATTCGCAACCATCAAGGTCACATCCTTCTCCTTCTTCGCCGCCCTCGACAGCATCCTTTTCGCCCGCGCATAACTCTCGTCCTCATCGCTCGAGTCCGCCCAAATATCAATAGTCGCCGCGATCGTCTTGGGCTGCGCAGCGGGGACAGCGACAGGCGCGTGTACATGCCCATGCTCTACATGCTCATGCTCTCTATGAGTATGAGCATCCTGCTCCCAAGCCCAAGGAGCGTGCGCCCTCGCCTCTTCCTCGTCGTCATAATCGATCGCAGGTGGAGAGGGCGAGAAGGTCGGTTGGAGCGAGACGCGCACGCTCTTCCTCCTCCGAGGTATTTGGGTAGGCGTTTGACCTGTTGAGGCTAACGCAGTCGACGCGGTAGACTCTGAGACCTCGGAGCCGTATCCTTCCGCGTGCCCGTTGGCCAATCCCTGCCCTGAGGTACTATCCTTCGCTGCTGGCTGCGCTAGGGGCGCAAGAGGACCAGGAGGGAGTCGCTCGACCTCCTCTTCGTCAGAGTAGAAGACTTCGTTGCCTGTGTCGTCCGCTGAAGACTCGTTCGCCGAATCTTCTTGGGGTGGAGGAGCCTTTCCCTTGCCTTTGTCCCGCCTAACCATTGGTTCGGGGATCTGTGGACTTGACCGTGAACCAAAAACATGAGAAGTTGTAGCCACGTTGGACGCAGGTAGCGGATGGCGGTGAAGAATAGAGGGTCCCGGTTGAGTATGAGGATGAGGATGGGGCTGAGGCGAAGGCGATGGGCTGGGATTCCGCAGTGCACTTCTCAAAGGCATCTTAACAGCAGGAGCAGGAGCAGGAGGTTGGGCATTAGCATTTGGCCCCGTTGCGGAACTCGCAGGTGTGCTGGGTCCGCGAATAGGTTTCTTGCCCTTGTCCTGGACCGACGTCGAGCGTTGGGTCTTCGCCGTCCTTGGAGCTTCGGCTCCTTCGGCTTCAGTGCTTTGCTGCTGCTGCTGCCGCCGTACATCAAACACCGACCCAGGAGCCTTGATCTGGAAAAGGTTTGAACCAGCACTCCCAGCCGCAGGACCCGCACCCGCACTCCCACCCGCGCCCGCCGCAGCCTTCGCCTTGACCTCCAGCGAGCCAATCCTATCCAGCTCGTTCCTCGTCAGCCTCGGAGGGGCTCTCACCACCTCAGCCAGCCCACTCGGGATCTGGGACCCGCCAACGCTCTTCCTCGTGTCCTGCCCCCAGCCCTCGCGATTTCCGCGTGCGACGTCCTCGACGATGCTCATCAGGCTCGGAGGAGCGGCAGCAGGGTGTACGAGACCCCCAACACCTCCTGCACTCGTCGCGTCGGGTTGCGTTGTTGACCCATGAGCGAGAGACGACGAAGCCGGAGCCGGAGGGGACCCCAACGACGCGTGCCTCGCCAGCCCGTCGCCTGTACTATTTCCCATACCCTGCCCCAGCGTCGTCCGCTTCTGCTTCTTCCCTTTCACCGGCCCACCACCCGACCCAGGCGGGGCGCTAGCCGCGCTGAGGATCGATGAGTTCCTTGACAAGCTCCCACCTGGTGCTTGGGACTGTGCGGCCCAGCCTTCTTGTGGGACGAGGGTGCCGCTGGGCGTACCCCCGGTGGCGGGCAGGACAGTGGCTGTCGTGGATGGTCCGATCGCGATAGTTGTGGGTGTACCAGAAGGGTGGGCTAGGGAGGTTTTGCTGGCCATCGCCCCGGTTGACTTGGGGGATTTCGTGGATAGTTTCTTGGCTGAGGTCGACGTTGTCGCCGGTGGAGGCGCAGAAGACGAAGTAACTGGAACTGGAGCTGAAGGAGTCGACGTAGACGCTGCTTGGGTTTTCTTCTTCGTCAGGCTCTTCTTCCTCTTCATCGACGCGAGCGGGGCGACAGCAGCCGTATCGCTCGAGTACCCCTTCACATGCACAGGAGCAGGCGCAGGCGTTGTCTGCTGCCTCGCAGGCTCTCTTGACACCAAGACAGGTGCAGGTGCAGGAGCCGTCGGAATCGGGCCCATCTGAGCACGAACAGGCGTCGTCGGGCTGGCTGAAGCTCCTCCTATCTCACTCGCCGCCCTCCTTCTCCTCTTCCCTAGATCCACAATCATCTCGCCGCCACTGCTGTCCCTTTCCATCTCCTCCTCGATGAAGCTCCGTCGATTCTCCACAGCAATATCAATGCTCGCGCTGCGTCTCTTTCCTGTTGGTGTCATCTCATTTGACGTCGCAGAGGCTCTGGCTGACGGTCGAGCCTGAGCCTGTGCACCACTTGTAGACGCCGACCGGGTAGGTATATGCGCCGGAGTCGACGAGGAAGACAGAGCAGCACTAGCAGCAGCAGCTGAAGCAGCCACAGGCGGCCCCGTGCGGTTCTTCTTCAGCCTCCTTCCCCCACTAGGACTCGAAGCCCCAACGACGCCTGTGTCGCTGACCGACCTCATTCTCGGCAGCGGCTTGCGCGGCTCCTGGCCAGACCCAAGATGTACCGCACTTCCTGTACCCGATCTCGCGACCGCCCCAACCTTAACAACACCGCGTCCAGCTTCCTCATCAAAGCTCGCCGCCCTCGGCGTCTCTGCCAACAACTGACGGACGTTCTTCTCCGTTCGACTCTCCCACTTCGACGGGGACACGCTGGACTTGGACTTGGCGTGCCCCTTCCACCGCGAGCGGAACAGGCCCCCACGTTTGCTGGGTGACGCCGTGGTATCGTCATCCGAATCTGAGGAGACGTCGGCGTCGTCTGCAGTAATAGTGCCAGAGCGGGCCTTTTTGGGGCTTGGATGCTTCCCGAACAGACCACGTAGCGTGCCGAAGAGGCCTTTCGACGGAGAGGTGTTGGATGTCGGTTTTGAGGGCGATGAAGTAGGAACATCGGTTTTCGTGGGTGAATCTTCTGGACGGCCAGATTCGGGTGCATGATGCTTTTGAGGCCGTAGTGAAAATCGGTTCTTCTCCTTCGTCGGCTCAACGACGCGTTCCTCCTCCTCCTCCTTCTGTTTTCCCTTCCGCTTTTCTTCCTCCTTCTCCTTCCTCCTCTGCTCTCGCTCTGCCTCCTCCGCTCTCCTCCTCTCCCTCTCCGCCTCCTCCCTCCTCTCCTTCTCCGCCCTCTCCCTCTCCTTCTCCAGCTCTCTTTTCCTCGCCTCACTCATAAACCTTGGATTCTCCACAACAGCCAGCTTGCCCCCACTAACAAGCCGGTGATCATCTTCCTCCGTACTCCCATCCTCGTCCTCCTCCTGGCCCTTACCCTGCACCGCGATCTCAGCACTGGCCCTCTTCAGCTCCTCCTCCGTAATCCTCCTTTCCAGCACGTGCCGACCCGTGAACGGACTTCCCTGGCGCGTGGGTGTCGAGTACCCAGACGACGTCCCTTGACGCCTGAGGCCTTTCACGGGAGAGTACGCCCGTGACGGCCCTGCAACAGCCGCGGGTGGTTCGGCCATGGGTATGTCGTACGCGTACCCGTCGAGGGCATGTGGGGCCGGTAAGTGCACGTTTCGGTGCGTCGAGTCGTCGTTATGGATCTCGTTCGTCACTGGTGCGAACGGAGTTGCAGTGGCCTGGCTCGCACCAGCACCGGCACCAGGGCTGGTGTTGACGTTAGCGTTAATGTTTGAGGGAGGCACGTGCAGTGCAACAGCAGGCGCGTACGTAACGGTTTCCAGCTTGTATGTCGTGGCCGTTGCTGGCGTGTAGAATAGTGAAGACGTGGTCGTGGTGGTTGTGGTGCCCGAGGGAGGGCGTGGGTCCGCGGAGAGTGGAGGCGGCGGCGGAGGAGGAGGAGGAGGGAGGTCGCCGAGGATGCCTGAACTCATGATGCTACTAATCGGCGGCGGCGGCGCACTAGCACTAGCACCACTAGCAGTGTCTTCGTGGTGGGTGATCTGAGACGCCGATTGTGACGGCCCAATGGACGACACGTCGGATGCAGGACGGTCTTGTTCTATGGTACATGCAGGTTAGTAGCACATAAATAATGGACCAAGACCTCGGCTTACCACGCAACGTTTCCAGCGTCCGCAGAGCCTCCTTGCCCAGCTGGCTCCATGCCCAGCCACACTCTATCATCGCTCGCGCCCGTGCACCGAGGCCATCCCGGACTGAGGCCGCTCTCTTAGCTGCCAGCTCGCGTTCTTTGGCGGCGAGGTGCGTCTCGCAGGCTTGCAGCTCCGACTGCGCAGCGGCGAGTTTGGTTGACGACGAGAACGACGCGGAAAGTGGTCCTAATACAGGTTAGGAGCTCGAAGATGCGTAGAGAGATAGAGAGGACATACGTGACGGAGGAGGTGATGGTGAGTCCTGCAACGACAGTGTTGATGACGAAGGAAAAGGTTGGTGTCCAAGGAGCAACGAGTCCCGTATACTACCAGAGCTCTGCTTCTGCGACTTCGAAGCCTTTATAAGCCTGTTCACACTACAAAACAACACATCAGCCTCGACACGACACTCGCAAATGAAATATAAACAGAGAACGCACAGAATCTCCCGGTCCCGCATGATGTTCCCCACCTCGTCCTCCATCTCCTTCAGCATTCGCATATTGTCTCTCCACTCCTCCACACCCTGCCTGTACCGCTTGAGCGCCTCGTCCGCCGCTGCGAGCGTTCCCGCTATAGCCATGATGACCTGGGACGCGGGTGGGGGCGAGGCCGCAGCATACGCGGCGAACGAGGCTAGCGACGCCGAGGACGTGTCGAGGAGCTGGTTGAGCTGCTTCGAGTACTCCTTCTCATGTTGGAGAAGATTTGTGAGCAGCCGTGAGTCCGCTGGGCGATGTACCATGAAAAGTAAGGTGGGCGGAGGGAGAGAAAGTTGGGAGTGCGACGGGCAAGACACTGACAGTTGCAATTTAGTCAACTTGATCTGATGTAAGCCGCAGTGATGTCATCGTCCGTCCTCGGTCCCCGAGAAGCCCGAGGGTCTCGTCGATCGTCATCTTACTCGTCATCTATTTTCTCCGCTTCTACACAGCTCTGTGGGGATATTGGGAAGTCATTATATTCAGTCTTGTAATTGCATTCGACGGAACAGACACCGGAATGGCTATGAGCCGGGACCTCGGAGTCATCAATTGGGCGCTTAACGGTTCTGAGGAGAATCTTGTGCGACTGTGGTAACAAAGTGAAGGTAATAGATAATGGAAGTACACGCAAAAGCTGGAAGGCAGGTCGCATAGAACAAGAAAAGTCCGACAAGTTATAAATAAACACGACAGAGGGGGATAAGCAAAGGCTACCCTCTCAAAATCACCGATCCCGGCTCCTCGTCCTCGTCCTCCTCCCGAGCAAGATCGACTATAATTCAATATTCAGGGTGAGGATATCCGTCGAGAGCCTCGCAGACGCGCGACATATCGAACACATGGGCAGGTATGGCGACCGGGGAGCACGCTGTGGGAGCATAGACGACCGGGTCACGGCGGTGTAATCCATACTCTAGCGAGCCCTATGGAATATTCTCGGTCATGCCTTGACACGGGTAGGCCGTCCAGGAGGACGCGTCTGTGCTGACGGCAGTGTAGGCGAGCTCGTTGTAGGCGTGAGGCAAGAAGTTGACATGGACGGAATACTGGATGAAGAAGAGGGCAGGCGCGACTTCTTCGTAGGTCCCTGTGTGGTCGGGCTTGGATTAGACATGAATGATGCTCCAATAGTCGAGGACGAGAACCCCAAGGAATCGTGCACGTCTCCCGCAATTGCTGAAGGCGACTACCGACTTGCTTCGCCGTCCTATTCTTCTTCTGAGTCTCCTTAATATACTCCGAGATTCTCTTGTTCCTTCAAGGAAAGCGCTGGAGGGTTTTACGGTCCTTCGACGTCCCAGGGCGGTACTTGGAAGCTTGGAAAACACCTTCGTCTGATGGGGCTCCAAGTCGGCATAAACCTGCGTCGACTATGGCTGGTCCAGGGTCATGCGTGGCAGGCAGGCCATTGTCAGCGCGTCGCGTTGGAGGTGAGGCTCGTGACTTGTGAGCGGGAGAATCCAGACATCCAACGATCGCGGATGGCGGTTTCCGAGTGAGAGGTGAGCCGGCCGTCAATGTCAAGGGAAACGGTGGCATTTATTGTTGGGAGTGAGTCGAGCAGGCGGAAGGACTCAGAGGTTGATGCGACCGATAATCACCCGACGCTCGTCGGCAGTTGCCGTGGACGCCAACGCCAACTTAAACGCCACCACGATGCCTAAGTGCACCAGTGAGATGTTTCCAAATCCTGATGATCAGGCGTCAATGATATTCCATAAACATGTGTGTTCCTGACGTACCGCGTCGGTCGAAGCGTGTAGCTCTCTTTTCTCATGGAGGAAGCAGGGAGGAGGAGGAGGAGCAAAAGGGAGGAGTTCATTTGGAACCATGCCTGGGGGTTGGAAGACTTTGGGGGTCGAGGTTGGAGGCGTCTTTTCGATTGCAGATGGGGTTTGGGAATGATGTCCGCTGGTAGAGCGACAGCCTCTCGTCTGAGTGCCCCATTTTATACCTCCCAGCCCCGGCTATCCTCTGTGGCCTACTGTGGCCCTCTGTGGCCCTCTGTGGCCATATCTCTCGGACATTCACTGTTTATCCATTTCTGGAAGACATCTTCGGTGGCCCGTCTCTCATTACACATTGCTAGAAAGTACGTACCGCACTTTGCCCAGTGGGCTTTAAGTTGCCGTTGTGACATTGCGGGGGGCCGAAGCACTCGTACAAAATCGGAGTTGACTCGGTGCATACTAAGTGTTGCCTAATTAGGGCAGCGTGCGCCACACCATGGAACTTGGCCCGATCGCGGGTGTGGCTCTCGGTGGTGGCCCGGTCTACGATGCCACATTTCCTTTTCTATTTTTTCAGGCAATTGGTGCTCATCCAAGTCATTTATCAAGACATTATTGTTTTCTTTGTACAACTATGACTCGTGTCGAAGGGCAAATTCCTCGGGCTGCTAGTTGACATCGCAGATGGTGAAGGACTCGATAGATGATGTATGAATATGTTTTGCAAGAAGAGGAGTGTAGATGTGACTTTATAAGTAGTTCTGTATCGTTATGAGTACCGAGTAGTATGTAGTATTTCTATCAGCCACTGCACGATTATCAAGCTCTACAGAACCACGCCATATAGCCCTGCCCCAAGTCGAGGAAAATGCATGGCCAGCTGGACGTCAAGGCAGTATTGTGATCCGAAAAACGTTGTGTGTGGCTCATGAGGGTTTCGAGCTGGGTTCATCATCGCCGTCGGCGGCGCGGATGAAGGCGAAGGCATCTTTAAGCTCGTGTTGTTCGCTCAGTATGATCAACAGGCGTGTTCTGTTTGACAAGGGCCGACGATTGAGTGGTAACGTTGGCTAGGCTGGGAGGCGAAAGCTTATGTTGAATACGCCCAGACCCTGAGCGTAGGTGAAGCGGATCCTCTACGACACGGAGCCGAGTCGCATTGCAGGCGTTGTTGCTGCTGCTTGTGATCTCAGGCTTGCCAAGTGTGGGCGAAGCAATTTCAAAGCAGAGCCCTGGAATGTAAGGGTTGCCTCTGCCTCTGCTGTTGACTCGGTGTTCGCAGATATGCCCCGGTGCGCATCTTCAGCTTCGGGTCAGCACACGCTCCGGGCATTGGAGCCTGGAGGGCGTGTTGAGAGAGCTCTCGAGGATGTCTAGGGCTCGCGCCGATTGACTACCCGCGCAGACCTCAACCTGCTTGAAGGGAGTTGAAGGATGAGGTTAATGCTCCCCTGAGAGTTGATAGCCGCCCAGGTTAGCGGACTGCGCAAGAACGATTCGTGTGGGTATCCGACGGAGATCGTGCTCCCGGGCCTGCTATAATGGCCAGGCCAAGATCTGCTGACACCAGCACCCAAGACAGGCGCGCCAGGTGCCATTGACCCAAGTTTCAGCTGGTTCCGGGATCAACACATCGCGACGCAGAGCGCACGGAGAGCACAGCAATCCCAGAAGCGGGGCAGGAGGGGGAGGAGGAGGAGGAGGAAGGGTGGAAGTGAGGGTTGTTTGGGATCATGGTCGGAAGTGGAGGAGGAAAATGTGAGGGTGATTGTCCGTGTCTTGATTAATTGATTGGTGGGCGAAAGAAGGCGTTGTGACTGGCGTGGACTCTCATCTGAGTGCTGCCCTTTATACGACCCACACCAGGCTACCCTTTGTGGCCCACTGTGGCCCAGCGCTAAACCACGCGCCCGGTATCCATTTCCGGAAGACGTCCACGTCCTGGGTGGCCCGTCATCCTGCCGTTCATCGCATATCGCCGTTAGCTGTCGACCCGAGCAAGACAATAGCCTGATAATGGCACTGTGTACGCCACAAAACACCAAAAATAAGCCCGCGGTGGTGTCTGGTAGAGTGAGGAACACGCCGGGGCCCGTGATGTGGCTTCACCCAGTATATTATTATTATTAAAAAAGAAAGCACTGGTCATTACATACTGGCTATGGTCTCTTTCGCTCCTCCGCGGGTGAGTGAAAACCCACAAGCCAGGTTATTACGGTGGCCTGGAACCGCGTAGTTCCCCTCGCCGCCTACATCATGAAGCTTGGTGGGACGGCATGTTCGGCTACCATGGGCACAGCCACAGCGCCTCTTCGCCGCTCATTGTCGCGGACGACAGATAGCATGCGTTGCACGCAGGTGGCAGGAATAGTGACAGTTTCCTCATTTGGACTACATTGAATAGATGATGATTCCAAGAGATGGAGGTTAGAGACGCTATCGTACAGTTTTGGCACTCCGATCTGTAATAGGCGCCTATACGGGTGAAAGAACGACGCGAGAATGGGTGTCCCGCCTTCGGAAATCAAGATATCGTTCGAAGTAAATTTACCCTTACTTGGGTGATGCCAGAGCTTATATATATATATATATATATGCGATACATGGGACGGCACACTTTGGGAGGAACCAACGGTCCCGAAGCACCGTACTACGGGGTTGGACTGAAGCATGTTCTTCACGGATGATTCGTGCTACTCGTTGGCGTCACACACAGAAGAAAAAAACAATTATGAATATGTCTGGTAGAGAGATGGAATTACAGCCGTACTCTAACCGTATCATCACGAGTGTCCGGTGATTGCAAAGGGATGTATGTACTACTTCTATCCGCAGAGACTGAGAAAACGGAACCGCATCAGCCCTGTCCAAAGTCGTAGGAGACGCGTGAATTAAGAACAAATAGGCAGTAACAACTCGACATCCAGGAGCCTGCAGCTGGATGTCCCGTTAGCAAGAGGCACACGAAAACGAATGCCCAGCTTGACTAAGTTGGATAGTGAGGTTGTATGGGGGAAGCGTAAGGTAGCACCACTGGCAGCTAGATTCATCATTGTCATCGGTGGCGAGGATGAAGGCGACTCGAGCGTGCTTGCTCCGTCGAACCAGACCTCTCTTAGCTCTCTTGGTGTTTATATTTTACCACCTCCTTCGGCTCCTCCATTTCCTCAAGGACAAGGTTGATGCTGCCTTGATAGCCGCCCAGCGCCGGGACACCAACATGAAGGCCAACAGCACACCTGGTATTAAAGAGAAAAATATTGATCAGGCAGCGTTCCAGTTCGTCGAGGTGGTGACAATGACTAGACATGTGGCTGGAGCCGAGCTCCGAGTAGGAAGAGAATCTTTTCAACGTATGGTAGATAAAAGGAGATTCTTTCTTACAGACAGAGTAGCGAGACACCAGCCCGTATTCGCTAGGAGTCAAGACGATATTTAGGACCCAAGTAGGTTGAAAATTGGAGGCTTCTTCAAGTTCCAGCAGTGATCATGATTCCGCTCGTGGCCTGCAACTAAACCCTTCGAGTATCTGGAACGAGATTCGGCCAGAGAAAAAATCCAAGAAATCTGTGAGAAGCAGTCTGGAAGTTGTTTTAGGGTGGTCGTCGAAGTTCAAAGTTAACAGTCCAAGTTGACCAGTGCGGACAACGTGATGGGTCGGCTTACATAAGGTGACCCTTCACCTCCACCATCGTGGTGGGATCAGCGCTTGTTCTGGGACAACGACCACCAACATCGCCCTGTCCCTCCCCCAAATCCTCTTCATCACTCGATTTATCGGTTCCAAAAGCTCATCTACCTCTTATTCTCCTCTGAAATCAAGTTGCTACCCACCCCGACCTTGAACAACGATGTCTGACAACGAGCAAAACCAGAGCAATGTTGAACCGAAGGCTGAGGACGCCAATGCCACCATCAACATCAAGGTGTGTGCTCAAAACTGTCTTTGGGCGATGCCACGCTCATCACAATTGTGTTATCCGCGACTTTTGAATAGGTGGTGAGCTCAACTGGGGATGAAGTTTTCTTCAAAATCAAGAGAAGTACGAAGCTCAGCAAGCTGCAAGGGGCGTACGCGAGCAAAGTCGGGAAAGACGTTGGGAGCATTCGGTGAGCCCCTCGCGTCCCATTCCTCTCCCTTTTCACGTTCTCGGCAAACCGCACCTCGCCTGTTTGTCTAATCAATCAATTGCCCCCATTATCAACGCGCCTGAAACACCACAAGACCAACAGCGGACTAACGCCACTCTTGCTCTTTTCTGCAGATTTTTGTATGATGGAACACGGATAAGCGACGATGACACCCCACAATCGCTCGACATGGACGACAACGGTGTGTACCCCGCTCAACATCATCTACAGCGAGACTGACATCGGAGCCCTTGCAGACACTATTGATGTCATGGTAGAACGTGAGAGGCTCGTATCTTCACCTTCACCATCCGCTGACGCGTCATTCCAGAGGTTGGAGGCTACCTTCATGTTCCTCATTAGGTACCCTGTAGAATTCCTCAATCCAAATTGCCCTCGACTACAATGGGCAGGCGCCTGTACATTTCTTGCTGCGTTGTATTATTTTTTTGTCTATGATAATCGCTTTTTTTGACCTTCCTTGCCTTTCGTCCGAGATCTCCACCGTCGGTAGCTGAGCAAACCACCCCTGCCTTGACGGTCTGGCCAGAGCACTGATAAAGGAAAATGATTTTAATTTAGTTTTTTTTTCCTCGTAGAGCAAGGTATGTTCCGATTTGTTCAGTAAAAAGACATCACTCGCTCATTCCTTTCGTCTTAGATATCTACCTAGCCAGGCGAAGGGAACGCTGCTGGGCTCCTGAACCCGTTTTTACCAACTGCACGAACACCCATCTGAACATTATCCTTCGACAACTTGAGGTTCACACTATTTGTCTGTCCAACACGTATGACCCTTGACCAGAGCGGCTCGTCGGTCTGGCGCCACACGACCTCGTAACCCCCATCAGCAAGAGGGTCCGCAGTCCATCTCAGCGTTGAATTGTTCGTCAGCTGGGAGGTGTCGACGACGACGTTCTTCGGCGTGCCCGGTGCTTGGGCTAAAGCCCAGAGGGCGGCCCCGTTGACTTTGGCTACGCGGGCGATGTACTCGAAGTCAACGAACTCGATGAGGTCGCCGTATTGGGTTCCGTTGACGACGCGGATATCTTGGTGCTGGTGGGCAAAGTTCTCGTGCGGCTCGGTGAATCGGACTGCTGGGAAGCCTTGCTCGAGGAATGGCCTCTGGTCGCCTCCCCGAAGGAATCGATCTGGGCGGTAGATGGTGCGTACTGCAAAGATTGTGATTGTTTAGCATTATTGCTGATTGCTTGCAGATAGAGAGAAGCAACTCACCGTTCATCTGCGTGAGGTAGTTCTGCCCCACTTCTGCAATGAAACGCCCAAGCTGTCGAGCTGGCGAATCATTCTCGCCTCCTATCGCCGCCAACGCCGTGTTCTGAGCCGCCGTATTCGAAAGCGGAAGCCCCGACACGAACATCCGAATATCGAATGGGGCGCGCGTACCATCGTCTCCGACCGAGCTACCCACAATGTCGTTATCCAGCATGCCCTGCACATCCACCCCATTCCGCCTCAAAGTAGTCGCGGTGAAGTTCGCCCCCAGCAAACCCTGCTCCTCGCCCGCGACCGCGATGAACATGATCGTCGCCGCTGGCTGATGACTTGCCATCACCCTCGCCAGCTCTAACGAGATCGCCACTCCAGAAGCATCATCGTCGCCGCTGGCTGATGACTTGCCATCACCCTCGCCAGCTCTAACGAGATCGCCACTCCAGAAGCATCATCATTCGCCCCCGGAGCGTCGTCAACGAAGTTCAGCGCATCGCTTACCCGCGTATCGTAGTGTCCAGAGACGACATACACCCGATTCGGGTCCTTAGAGCCCGTCAACGTCGCCACGACGTTACTAATAACAGTGGGGACCGGGACGCGGTTTGCGACCGGCTGGAGGTAGCTCGGGACGGTGACGACCATGCGCCCGTTCGAGGCTGCGGCATAAGAGTGCAACTCCGCCGCGATCCAGTCCCTGGCAGCGCCAATCCCGCGTACGGGGTCGGTCTGGCTGGAGAGGGTGTGTCGGGTGCCGAAGGAGACGAGCTTCTCGATGCTGGCTTTGATGCGGTTCGGGTCAATTTGCTTGAGTATGGCCGTTATCTCTGGGTCGGGCTGCTGGGCGCGAAGGATCTGTCCTGGCCCTGGAGGCCAGACGGACAATGGTACTTCGAACTGGGCATATGCTGAGCATTGTGTTAGTGAATCAGGTTGGCTCGGGTTTTGAAAGTTGCTCACCAGCTGTTACGGCGATGGCCAACAGTGATAGGCTTCCTAAGAAATGCATGATGGACAGCTTGGAAGAACAGGCCCTCCAGTTTTCGTCATTCCTCATGGATTATATATCATGAACAGACGCTATCTGAGGACTTTCGCGTCCATATGGTGATCTGCTCTTGTGATCGCGACTTGAGCGCATTCGGTGACGAAAGGGCTTCGAGAAGATTTGCGACCTGGGAAACTCCCTGATATTCCATGCTTCCCGCCTATTTTAACGAACCGATTGGGAAATAAGTCGCAAACCAAGACACTAGGAAGAGCTAGGAAGAGTGTCGTTCTTGAAGGCCGCGCGCGGTCTAATCATAACTGTGTATTGTAAAAATACCGAACGCCTCAGATCGTTCCACGCAATCAAAGCTCGATAAATAGACCAAGTTATTCCGTCCGAATCCAACGGTTCTAAGGACACAGAATAGCAAACGCGGGTTGAATGGATTTGAGAGGATGGCTAGCTGGGTGTATTCTATTGAACCCTCATTGACTGACGCAACAACGAATACCGCGAAGTAATTCGACGACAGATTCAAAAGAAAAATATAGGTGAGTCAAGAAAGAGGGAGAGTTTGTTCACTAGTCATTCATGGGAGGGAAATTCTCAGCGTAATATTCATAGTTGATTTTACGGAAATTGTTGAGCACCATATTGTAGGAGTTGTCTTGGTAGGTTCCAAACCAATACGTGTAGCGCTTGCCTCCGGAATGGGATGCTAATAAATGATATTGGTGTCAACTTTAGCTTCAAATAGCGACCAGCCAAACGACCGGCCCGAAGTGGTCCGCCCGCAACCTTGAGCTTGGAGAACCTCGGTGGGCTCCTCTATTACAATTATGGCGGGGTTTCCGAAGTAGAAAGGGTTTTTATACCGAAATTCTGATGCAAAATTCCGAATTTGAGTGGAGGCAAACGTACAAGATATGATCGTCAAGATAGTGTAGGGGAAGGAAAGCACTTCGCCAGTCCTTGCAGACACGCGCCAGGGATAAGATTGGCTGCTCCTAAGTACGGGGAGACAAGGCGATCTCACACACGTCCGAGTCCAATCTCATGCAACTCGAAATTACACCTTGAACAAGCTCTTCTTGTTTTTGTTCCAGAACAAGAATTTGGACATTAATCTGCGCGATGCCCCTTACCATGACAGTGAGAGAGTGGGATATCAGCTTGTCCTAGGTCAAACTTAGATGGAAAGCGCTGAAACGATAATGTTATACCACTGGAACGATTTTTAAACAAATATATGGAAACCTGAGATTGATATTCTGTACTTATTACCAATCAGATGAAATCTGCTCCATCTCTTCCGGCAGACGAGCTGCCTCCCTCCACAAAATCCTATGCTGAATCCCAAAGTCCCAATTAACCAGCGTGCTATCGCCCGTCGGAACAGAATGGACCAAGGACTTGTCAACCTTGAAATCAAGCCCGCTCTGCGCATATGGTTGCAGGGCATCCATGATTTGTGCATTCAAATTAGGTTCCACCCTATGGGCCGTCGTAAAACGGCGCAGGTGTTCGGATAGGTCGAGGGTCGGGGCGGTCCTGGAGTAGAGCATGAGGGTCATTGCGTCGAGGATCTCTTCGAGGTCGCCCTCGTCTGGGTCGAACTTGAAGGGTATAGCCAAAGTCTTGAGATGAGGTACCAGATCTGGCTTCAGTGGGTCATCGTGAGTGAGGAGGTCAAAGATCTCGGCAGGATCTAGCTGAGGCACGTATAAACGCAGGCTCGTAAGACCAGGTATACTCCGTAAGAGTATCTCGAGACGAGCTACAGTCTCCTCCCCGGAAGAGACCAACGAGAGCCTTTCCAGATTATTTAGTTGGTAGAATACTGATGGATCGATATCTTCATCAATCCCGGGGGTGCGAGAATGCGCGAAGTCGACCTGGAGTGCCTTTAGGTTCGTGAAGCAACAGCTCGTTATGCATTGCCCGAGAGTGATGTCAGAGCTGGAGATTCTAAGACTGAGGTCCTCAAGTGCGGTCAGCGGCACTAGGTTGGGCTGTTGGTCCGATTCTTCGTCGCCACTACCATCCACAAGGTCCTCCGCATCCCAATACGCGGAGCCAGAATCTGAGTCACTATCGTCAGCGTAATCACTAGACGATAGCTCAAAGGACCCCGTTTGAAGCTGGCAGCATTCTCGTAGCAGGCGAGCCCATGTTTCCAGAGACATTTTGTCGTTTATCGAGAGTGACGTCAGTTGAGACCAAGGATAATTGACCTGATAAAAGGCAAAGGGTTTATCGAGCACCAATCGGCGAAGATTAATTGCAGCCCTTCCCAGAATGAGCTGCAGTCCGCCATGGGCATCGGTACCGGGATTTCCATCCCTTTGCGTTCGTGAATAGTTGTTGAGTGTCAATGATTCGAGGGTTGAGACCAAGCGGGGAAGAATGGGCATATAATCGAACACCCAGCGCGCACCCAGGCTAAGATGGCGGAATTCTTCAATATCGGTGTCAAGGAATCGACGAACCCGATGATTTCATCAACGTAGAGGCTGAACTCGTCTTCATCATCATCAGTTTTCGCAGAGACAAAGAACAGATGAAACGAAAGTGGTCGGGTCCTGGCACGTCCGAACCACTCGAGAATCACCGGGATCAAGGAGTCGTGACGATTCTCCGCGTTATAGACCTCGAGATAGAGCTCTGACCACATCCCGGGCAAGGAAAGCACCGCGCGCCGCCAATCTCGCGACACATGCGAGAGAGACAAAGGCGCATCGCGGAGGGTGAGTGTTGGTTGGAGTGGCAGACAGTACAGGGCTATTTCCTGGAGAATCTCGAGGGGGACGCGACAGATCGGAGGAATCAGTTTTGCATATTCGCCCAGCCCTGTACGATGGGGCGAATGTCTTTGAATGAGAATGGCCTTTTGGTTTTGGAGAGCCAATATCTGTGCATCGAGCAACGCGAGTTCGATTTGGGCGTTTGCAGCTGTGGCACTGGTGTCCGTCGGGAGCTTTCGGGGGGTGCGAGATATGAGACTGCTTGGTGGGACATTTTCTTTCAGTGATTCGAGCATACCACTGGAAGAATCCGCCTCAGTAATAAAAATGAGTCTCACTGAACCAGATCTTGTACCAATAAAATCCCACCTTGCTATTCTTCTGATTGAGTGCCTTCATGGAGGTTCAGGGGGTAGAAGTTGACGATGGTGGCAGTCTACAGAGAGTGAAAGCCTCACTTCCGCCGGTAATTGCCGAACCGGTGGCCACTCCTCGATTTTGAGGCCGCAACAGAACAGAATATAACGTTGATTGAATAATAACAATGTACCTAACTGTATGCAAGAGTGAGTATAGAAAGACAACCTAATAGACAAGAAGGAAAAAAAGTCGTAAATGAGGATGAGGGTGGCGTAACGAATTATACTGTTAACAAGGGCGAATCTGCATGATCAAAGTTCCTGGGCTGTATAATCTACTCGATATCGTTATTTTGGTTTGGTTTATGTGATAAATGAGGTGAATGGCTGGGAGGGGGAATGGTGATGAATGTGATGAACGAAAATAGAGTGTGAATAGGTATAGAAATGGCAAGGGGCTGAAACCGGCGGAGGTAAGGTAGTAGGTCGTCAAGGGTAAACGGTATTAGGAAGTGGTGTGAGGCGGAGAAGAGAGACAAGGTAGGCGGAAACATGAACGAGGTAGCGCATGGAAAGTGTGAAAGGGTGAGTATGAGGAACGAAGCGGAAAGAGGTAGGGGCAAGAGGGTAGAGGCAAGAGGGCAGGCGGATAAGGTCGTAGAATCATCTAGTAGACAGAGTCAGAGTCGAGGTCATGAAAACATGAAGAACGTGGACAATGCTCATGAACATTAATGCGTTAATATTGACGCATCATGAAGTGATAGACCGGAACGGGAACGGAATAAGGGATAATGAAAAACACGGGGCCGGAGGAGACGGCGAAGAAGGGGAATCGGAGGGGGGGGGCATTAAAAGCGTGATGATAGATTCAAGTTTTGATAGGTTTGATTAGTTGTTTCGCGTCGATAGAATGAATTCCGAGAGGTGTCGTCGATGTCGACTAACGTCAGGGCGTAATAAGAATGGCGAGGTCATTGACAGTCGAATCTGCAGAGGGTGATATGTCGGATGTGTCGAACCTAAATCGGAGGTTGAGCCCATTCGGGGTGAAATGAAAAACAGGCGTTGTCGAAGAACTCCATTCTCTCCTTCTC